ATTTATAATCATCATTCTCTTGTTTATTTTTGGCACTAAACATTTCTTATTCTTTTTTTGCATTAGAAAATCAATCATTAGACTTGCATTGTTATTGAATTCATTTATTATCATTTAGTTGTATTTATGGATAACCTTTAAAGACATTTATTATCATTTCTCAATTTCCCTAATGTACTGAAGAAAGAAGTTTCGGTACATCAAAGTTATAAATACATTAGATTCAATCTCGAAATTTCAATGTTCAAATGTTTATGAGTCAAGTCAATTAATATTATAATATTAATTGACTTGACTCATAAACTGTCTGCACTAGTTTGCACTAGTCTTGTTACAATTTCACAAAAACTGTGTAGTTTTTCTATCTGTAATGGGCATGCTGCAGATATGGTGCAAATGAACGTACATTTCATAGTCCTAGTGCAAGCGTATATTAAACCTTAAAGAATATAATTTTTCAGTACATATGTAGTACAGGCGTGGTGCAGAAAATAATTGTGGCTACAGATCCCTGCAAATCTATTGCAGATCTAAAAATTTCTAGTATTCAAGGAATCTCAGCAAAAGATCGTTTTTGTTTCAAGATGTTCTAGACAACCTTGGTCATCGGGAAAATCTTCACTTCCCAATATTGGGTCCCCCACACGATAATATATGTAGACATGTATAGCTGCCAACAGTTCACAATCTTTGTCGTCTTTTCCTTCTTTTACTTTTTTGTATTCTCTTTTGAAGCGAGAAAACCAGTAATCGTTTTCCCGCTCAGGAAAAGGACCAAATTCTACATCTTCCTCTTCGCGGTTCTGATTCCATAAATTGCATTTGAAGTCCCAACTCAACGAACGATCATTAAACTTACACTGTAAAATTTATATTATTATTTTTAGTTTTATTCATAATATATCAAAAAATATCTATATCGTTTCGACTTCATCCCCTATCTTATATAGTCACAATAATCTTACCATAAACTCTTCGAATTTTTGATGCATTTCTTTTATTTCTTCTGGTTTATAATTTTTATAATATTGTTCATCATCTGGAATCTTAACTGTTAAATGATGCTTGGGGTAATAAATTTCCATTGGGGAAAGCATGTCTGAGAGGTTATAACCAATGTGGTAATCGTTATATTGTAATATATCTTTTTCCGTAACATAATATATATAAATATATATATTTTTCAACAGTGTGCCGTTAAAGTCAAATAACGCCCATGGTTCCGGGCATTCACCGTAAAAACGCTTTATCCAGTACTTTTCTTCCCTTAATTCATCACTAAACGTTATCGTCCTTTCGTTCCAGTCCCACCTCAACGATCTGTTATTGAACTTATCCTGTGAAAATGTTTTTTTATCATTTCACGTGTCATTTAAAATATATTAGAAAAATAATTATATTGTTTGGACTATATCGCCACCTTACCACAAACTCTTTGAATTTTGCCTCCATTTGATTTATTTCTTCCTCTGACCATTCCATCTTTAAATGATGAACTAAAAAAATGATTCAGCACATTAAATTTTTTAAATAAAATTCAAATAAACTTTTAGACTTACATTTTCAATCGTAGCTAAAGAATAGTAGATTTAAGTTCAACAAAATAAATTATACTGATAATATTATTAAAACTTCATCGTCTTATATACGTTTTGGTGATTCTCATTGATGTCATTATTGATATCGATTAATTGAAAATTTATGATACACTTAATTTATATGTCATTAAGATTGAGATATAAATGTGTATCAAAGCTATTGGAAAAAAATTACAGCTTACAATTTAATGTTTTTTATTTTAAATTATCTAGACATTAATTGATAATGCAACAACCTAGTTTGTTGATTCACTAATTAACGTCATCATTACTTAACAATAAAATAACAATTACAAAAATACTATTGAACTAATGTAAATGTTAATGTTCAAAAATGTTACTGTTTATTTAAATGCTGTTGATAATTAATTTTTCTTTTTTAGTATGTTTCAGAATTTTACGACATTGATTAAATATAATAAAGATTAGTTATTACAAAATATGTATCACTAAAATATATTGTTTGAAAAACAGGTTCAATTCCTGATAACTTTTCTAAAAAAAATTTATCGATATAATAAAATATTCGTTAATTAATTAAAATATTTTTACATATTAACATGAACATCCATCAATCAATTTACACTATTATTTACAAACAAAAGATAACAAAAAAAAGGTAACATGAGAAAGGAAATAACTGATATCAAACAGTATAGTATTTATTGTAATAATTATTATAATAACTTAGATTGAATCTAAAAATTGTCATGATTACATATGAACTAATATGATCTAATATTTTATTATTTGGATTCTTGTACATCTTTTGCATTAATATAGATAATTATTTCTTCAAGATGTTCTAGACAACCTTGGTCATCGGGAAAATCTTCACTTCCCAATATTGGGTCCCCCATACGATAATGCATGTAGACATGTATAGCTACCACCTGTTCACAATTTTTGTCGTCTTTTCCTTCTTTTACTTTTTTGTATTCTTCTTGAAAGCGCAAAACCCAGTATTGCTCTTCTACTGGCCCTACTGAAAATTCATCATTGTCATATCCGGCGCTCTTCAATAATGAATACCACCGGCTTAATGAAAAATCCCAATTCAACGAACAGTCATTAAACTTACACTGTAAAATTTTATAGTAAGTTTTACAAGTAAATTCACAGTAAAATCTACACTGCAAATCAAAATGCATTCTTGTTACACATCTAAACGTGTTAAATATGATGTTAAAAGTATTTTAAAAAAAATTATAAACACTTGGAAATAAAGGGAAGCCAAAAATGATTATTTTATCATCAAAAATATCTCCAACGTGACTGGTATTATTCATCATTAACCATCACCTGAGACTTTATTTAATCCATAATAACCCTCAATCGATAAAAAATTCCCCCCTGAAAAAAACATCTACCATTTAATCATCCAGAAAAAACCATTTAAAAATCGTTTATTCAAAGCGAGGTCTTGCATTATAAATAATGAAATCACGATAACATTGACCAAAAAAATAATAAATTAATCACCAAAGTAAATTGAATTAAACTGTTATACATATAAAGTAACAAAAAAAAATTGATCATTTAGTTAGCTAAAGAGAAAAACAATTTAGGAGATAAAAAAAAAAAGCTTAGCAGACAGAAGGCGATGTGAGTTTATTAATTAAAAGTGTCGTGAGTTGTGCAAATCATGCATCGACGATAGTGGTATGCATTTAAACTATGCATCAGTAGCGATGAATGCTTTAACGCTGTAGAGATAATCGTGTACGCCCAGGGTGAGTTATAACGTTTACAAGATGAATTGCAGAAACTGCTCCTTTGATGGCTGGAGGGATTCGCGCGCTCGTTAGTCCATTCGTGCAATCGTTTCTCTGTGAAAATGCATATAATTTTGGGTTAATATAGCAACAAACAAAAAAACAAAAAAATTAAAATACCAAAATAATAAAAATGAATATAAGAAAATAATAGTAAGGCAATAATAATAAAAATACAAATGCTTACACGCACAACAATTCCCCAAGCGATAAACGACGATTTGAGTCAGACACACAATGACGTTTAATGTTGCGTGACGAGAGATGATGGTACGCGTGGTGATGCGTCACGGGTGTCACCCGTAGGGCAATACTGATACTCCCATAGACATGAGTATATAGCTAACCACAATAGGAGTAAAGTGCCGCATCATTGCACCCTACATCATTAACAAGCCTTGTTGACACTTGTGTCATGTATTTTATAACGACTAAAATAGATAAATAGTTATCAAATTCTTTCAATTAAATCAAATATAGGTACTTACTAAATCTTTCATCTTCTATGATTGATTGCTTTCATTTTTACTATCCAAACTTTCAGCTAAGATATTAAAAAATCACTAGATGTGATCTAGGGAATTTTTTTAAATTGGCCAAAATTTTAAAAAACACTATTTCAAGATTTTTAAAAATCACTAAAAAATCTGGGGATATTTTTACTTCAATAAAAATAATTAAACAATCAGTAATTATTCAGATGTCGATATAAAAAAAATTAAAGTCAGAATGATAGAATAGGAAATGACAGGGAGAATAGTGGATAAAGATAACTGAGTGGGAGGAAGAAGAGTAAAAAGGGTGAGAGAGGGTTGAGAGGGTGGAAGGAAGAGAGTACCAGTAAAGAGTGAGACGGTAAACCGGTAGCCCGCAGAGTATCGACCGGTTTCTTGAGAGTCGTACATGAAAGAGTAAAAGAGAAGAACATAAGTATTGAGAGAGATGAAAATAGATCGGGGTTGCCGACAGTCTGCTGCTCTTTTCTTATATAATCCAATCAATGTGTCTATTAACTATCATTAAATTTATTCCATTTATTTATTTGCTAGTAGTGTGTTGGACTAGATAAATAAACGAGTGTAACTAATGGAGATGTTGGGAAAGAGAATGATTACTGGTATATATGTAAAATGTAATCATTTTCAACGACATTTGTCGGCAAAATTCCATGGGGTGTGGCCATGTAGTAAACATAGCTATAGTCACCCAAGAGTGGTGTTCACGTTGTATTGCTGATTTGCGGAGTGCAGACTGTGAGGCTAATAACAATAGGTCGTTGAAAGAGAGTAGGGAGTGAGTAGAGAGGGAGTAGTGATGTTGAAGCTACCAAGCAGGCGCATCGCCAGCCCATTACAATGTCCAGCCCTCTCATTGTCATCCCAGACGTTCATGCGCACTAAACGTATTGTTTTCACTCCTTTCAACCTACCACCAACCAGGTAAAACTTGTTAATCATTGTACTTACATCAATCAACAGCACTGGCGCCATCAATTCATCTCATCATACAGCTCATCTCTTGATAGTCTTGATGGTTCCACTTGATAGTTCATCATTCAGATCAACATTAGATTGGCTGAAACAGTAGCTGATTGCCTCCAAGACATCCCCAATCTGATAATCAAAATTCCTCATCAACATGCAGCGACATCTAGATGATGTATCAACGTGCATCAATGATCTTAGTCTTCTCATGTCTCTCAATCGCAATATTTTTAATTCTCTCCCATAGCATAGGGTATGGATAAATAGTCCTCATAAAATCACTTCTTTCTAATCGATATAATTCACAAGTCTCCACTGCTATTGCTGTTGCGACCCTGACCTCAGGCATCACCAAAGCAATCTCACCAAAATATGCACCATCTTCCAAGTGACAAATTTCCTTTCCTGAGTCTGTATAAATAGCTACTGTACCAGTTGCTATAAAATACATACAATCTCCTGGTTCTTTAGCTCTCACGATCACATCATTTGTCAAAAATACCTCAGACTTTAATTGACCAACAATTCGGGTCAACAATGATACTGGTAAGTTATGAAAAATCTCAACATGCTCCACCAATTTCCGGCACAAATGCATACGAATTTCTTGACGCATCTGTGCTGATAGAGTATTAAGTATCTCAGACTCTCTGAAAAATTTATGCTGATATTTAAATTCATAATAAGTCAAGAACCGTTGTTGGACAACTCTTGGTAACTGTTTATGTCTCATATATTGCTTTAGTTGAGCAATAATAGCTTGATACTTGAGTTTCGAACTATTGTCAGCTTTAAAAAGCCGCATGGCTTGACTAACGATGTAACATGACACCAACACACAAACAGCTTGCATTGCAACCGCAGTGTATTGATCTTCATCAAAGACTGTCTCAGAAACGCCTGATCTTGTTAAAATTGTAATCGTGCGAACGAGGCAATGCCAGTAGCAAATATCATCCTTTTGTTTCCACAAGTTATTAGTATTAATCCATGACAATTCACTAGGTTGTTTTATTGTTGATAATGATGCTGATGCTATTGGTACTATCCAGGAGATGCATGCCAACCAGTGGAGGATGATCATCAATAATGGAATGAAACTGATCATGCCAAAGTATCCTCTGGGTAACTCATACATTTCAGCTATTCTGATGATGTAAGAGTGAGTTGATGGTAGTCGGAATATATGGACAAGGCTTGCCACCTCGCGAGCTACTATCCAATCGTTCCAAGCACGTAGAAAGAATAGATCTGTTGGTAGTGAACCAATAACATCAGGGATAAATGTATCATGTAGGATATAATTACGGGAAATTTTTTTTCTATTCATTTCTACGGTTCCTCTAGATTTGTTAAAATATCTGTAAAACAAAAAATATTTATTCCATCAGACTGCTGAGTATCAGGATGATGATATCATTGAAAAATTAATGACATTACCCTGTCATAAAGTTTAGAATAATGTCAATGAAGCATATTAGAAGTAATATATTCTTTGTTATTGTCCAGTATCTAAGGGTCCTGGTGATGTCGAAAGCAGCTTGATAAGGGACATAGAGTAGGCTTGTTATTGACATGATGAAAATAAAAAAGTCCCACCAACGTCTGTGGATTTAAATTGAATAAATAAAAATAATGATGGGAATTTTTTAGAGAAATGTTTTTAAAAAAAATGCTTACCTAAAGACGCTGAAAGGGTGTATAACCTCAGTGTCATGCAGCAAATGTCGTTTTTTTTCATAAACAATAGCACTACGATTTTTTAAATAACCCAAAGCACGAGGATTGTACATAGATGCCATAAAAAATCGTCGTGAAATCCGTAAAAATTGTTCCCATCGTGTTTTACAAGGGAAACTATAAATTTTCTCGACATTTAAATCCAACTCGCACTCGTGATCCATCAATCTTAACTGCAATAAACAGAAAAAATAAATGAATAATGTTATTTTCAAAAAAAATGTAAACAACGAAATTTACTTTATCTTATGTATGCAAGCAAGGCAGTGGTGAAGTCTACTTTACCATTACCGTCGGTAATATTGCCGATATGTCGGTATATTGGATAAATAGTCATCTTGATTATCAACAAAATTATAACGCATGCGTAGATGTTATTTATGCGCCAAGAAGATGCGCAAAGAATTATATCTTGTATTTTTTTTATCTTACGATCTTTTTCTCTTTCTCCTTCTCTCTTTTTTCGTATGAGATTGTTGACACTTTTCCACCCATTCATTCACTTAAGTAATGGAGATATCATTTTGTAAATCTCAAAATATTTTACGTATTTACATTTAATTATTTTAAAATAATTAACAACATAATATTACTTAATATTAAGTATTAACTAAACAAAAGTATCGTTCAAGATAACCAATGTACGACAATGTGATAAGTAACCTATAATATTTGGCATCGAACAGTCACACAAAGTGAGAGCTGTGGAGTTAAAAAAATTCGTAAAACAATGTAAGTATCATTATAACATTATAATCATCAATAATAATAGTTTTATAATAACCTATATTAATTTTAATAACAAATATTTATCATTAAAATCATATAAAAATTATTTTGAGTTATTTTTCCTTTTTTTTTGTTCGTTTTCATTTTTTTTGTTCTTATTATTTTTTTCCACAGATGTTTAGTCTTATACCTATTAAACAAGAATATTCCGGTGTAGAAGAAGAGAATACAGGACCAAATGGTTTACAGAGTCATCCGGAATATCCATTATTTACACATCAGGACGTGGAGTACATGTATCGACAATTGCCCCAATTCTGGAATCAATCACAGCTACAATCAGCATCCAATTCAGCTGATTCATCAAAAAATAGTCCTCAAGTTCATCAAAACGTATCACAAACAGTAAGAATAAATAAATTATTATAAAATAATTGACAAAAATATTATTGTTACCTTAAATAAAATGATTTTAGCATCCAGAAAGGCCTGTAACAAGTACCAGTTTCATGCAGGAAGGTGTATTTCACGGTCAAAATGACGGAAAGTCACGTGATAGTCAATGTTTACCAGAAAATTCCCAATTGATGTTAAATCCAATGATTCAGCAGCAACAGGTTGCTCTGAATCATTCCTTTCCACTGATCAGGACACCAGTGGTACCAGTGAAGCAAACAGGTCCTGGTAGGCCACCAAAAACATCAGAATCATCACCAGTGAAGAAGCTCAAGTGTCAATGTGAAATTTGCTTCAAAGAGTTCGGCCACAAAAGTAATTTGTTCATTCACATGCGAACACACAATGGCGAAAGACCATACAAGTGTAGTCAGTGTGATAAATGTTTCACACATAGCGGCAATTTGGCAATACATATGCGCACACATAGCGGTGAACGTCCTTATGCCTGTCAGATATGTGGAAAAATGTTTAGCCATAGTGGTAATTTGTCAACACACTTACGTACTCATTCCGGTGTTAAACCTTATAAATGCAACATTTGTGGTAAAGAATTCCGACATAGCGGAAATTTATCTATACATGAGCGAATTCATTCTGGTATAAAGCCATTTCAGTGTAAAGTTTGTGGCAAAGAATTTTATCATAGTGGTAACTTGACAACCCATATGAAAAAACATCCATTATCTGGTAATAATGTTGAAGAATCAATTGAAGTTGATCAACAACAAATTTTAGAACAAAGAATTGATATTGGTGATGATCCTATCAGATTGGATACTAGTGTTGGCTCAAGCCCATCTTGTCCAACTATCCAAGTCACCAATCCACCATCAATGTCTTCATCATCATCAGACTCAGTTCAAGATGAACGTGATGATGGTAAATCATGCTCGTTTGTGCCGCCAACGAGTTAGAATTTTCATTAAATCTTGATGATTTACCTAATAAAAGAAAAAAAAACAAGGAAAAGCTGTGAATACTAGAGATTATAAAGATGGAACACTTCATTACGCTGAATAATATAAAATGTTTAAAAAAAAAAGGGTATATTGAAAAAAAAATAGATGTGTATGGGAAATAGAATCTCTTATTGAAGACAAAAAAATATGAATAAAAACCGTACTTAAGTAATATTGATTAAGATGAAAATAAATGAATATTACTGAAAACTTATTTTAATTATATATTGTTAGCTGATATTATTGCTAAGGTGGTTGTCAAATGAATTGTCACAAAACTTTTTTTATTATTATCCCTTTCACTTTTAAAGAATAATGACAATGATAAATTGTATATTAAGAGTATCTTTTTTGTTAAAAAAAAAAATGAATATAAAAATGTGAAGATCAATTTTTGCCTCAATTTATGTGCAACTAATAAATCTTTATACTTAGAAGTTGTGTTTTCACTTAGAACTTTCTCACAAATAAACTAAAAATCATCTTCAATGATTAAAGATGATTAATTTATAACCATTATTATTTTTCCATCAAATATCTAGTGTTTTTTAACAATAGATAAAAATAAATTCTAAATATTTATCTCAATAATTTTTCTATTTCTCTATATACAAAAAAAATCTATTTAACACGATTTAATTAATCATTGAAGAATGAAATATTTTTTTAATTAATAAAAAATGTCTCTAGCATATTAAATACCTTTGAGTATCTACCAAAATCGGTGCTAAGCATCATTTCAATTGAATCTCAAAAACTTCTATAATTTTAATTTATATTGCAAATAATATGCAAGACAAAATTTTTTAATTTTGTTCATCTTCTAATTCTTCAATGATTAGTAAAAATTCAGTTGTCTGTTGCTAATTATTTCTAAAAAATTATTTTATTAAAATAAATAAAAAGTACAGTTCTAATAATAACTCTCGAAAAAAGGAGTATTTCTAAAAAGCAATTTAAATTTGAAAAAAAGACAATTCTAACAATTGTACGGTCTGTGTTTATTATTAGAAAACACTGTACATTGACGTATAATTTCCTCGGCTGCAAATAGGTCTACCAGTGAGTGCCTGAATGATTACAGAGTACAGGTGGTAACAAGAAATGCAGGTAACACACCTATAACCAGTAAGCTGATGCACTCATCATTGAGTCTGCTCACACATTTCTCCCATGACCGAAGAAGAAGAAGAACACGAAGAAGAATAAGAAGAAGGAGCTTGTATGAGCTATTTTCATCCAACCAGTTTGCTCTTATCCTCAGCAAAAAAATAGTCACAAATAGAAATGGCGCCGCCGGAAGAAAGAGATGAAAATAAAGTGATAAATCAAATAGATACCATTTTTATGGTTTAAAAAAAATTTAAACAATTTACAAATAATGCAACTAAGTGATATATATTATTTATTTAAAAAAAAAAAAAACTGCAAAAAAATTAATTTTTAATTAAAAATGAAATGTGATTACCTAAAAATACTTGAAAGGTTGTGATCCTCTTCTGCAACTTGTATTGCGTGATATATCTTATAATACCTTTTCTTTTTCCATTTCTTCTTCTTCTTCGTATTCTTTTTCATCTGACTCCATAATCTACTACCAAGAGCCAAGCATAAAGGCTAACGTACGCTAAAGAAAAACCGTTTTATTGTACTTAAAAAAATCGTTTATTTCTTGGCATGCTTGGAAACATTTAAATTATTGGCATATTATCAGCAACTAAATTATCATTTATTTAAATTTTTCATCAGCAACTTTACATTATCATTTATTTTTTGTTTTAAATTAAATTAAAAAATTTTTTGTGCATCTCTAAATTAGGAAATAATATCTTTGATGTTTCTGAATGTTTTAGCATAAAAAAATAATTGACATTAAAATTTTTTAGAAAACTATATCAAGTTACTGATGAAGTAAATTACCAGTTATTTTACTAACAATTTCTATTCACTAAAAAAAAAAAAAAAATTAAAGGGGGGAGAAAAAAGCAGAAATCCTAGATGTATTTATAGCACAGAGCAATTTATTTTTAACAAAATAAAAAATCAACTGGAGAAAATAGACACTATAAATGACCGTAATATTAGCGTAGTAAAATAACCGGTTAAAAGGTGGCAATTTAACCATAATTTTTTTCACCTTAAAATGTTTTTTTAATTTTTTCTCTCCCCCCCCTCTCTCCCCCATTTATGATACTTATTTCATTAAATAGAGAGTTAAATTTAGAATACATATATTTCACATAGGTATTGGCTACCATTGACCTCAAAAAAAAAAATATATATATATATATATAACGCGTTGAAAAATAAGAGCACAAAGAGAAAAGATGAAGAATAAAAAATGATAAATAAAAGATAAAGAGTACTAGAATGTAAAGAAGAAAAAGATGATGAGGTGAGGGAGGAGAAGGAGATGATGGTGGTGGTGGAGGAGGAGGAGGAGGTGGAGTAGGAGAAGTATAAGAGCGAGGAAGTAAGAACGAGACCAAATAAGTATAGTTGAGAGAGGTAAGCAGACGAAGAGGACGTAGGGTACAAGATGGAACAAGTTCTGACCCTCAGGAGGAGTTGAGAGTCTCGTCGTTGACCAGGCCCCAAGTATTTGCCAGTGGTCTTTACTCTCCTCGACCGACTCCCAGTTGTGATCGTTTCTGGATCCGTCTGCCTACCAACACCAACATCCAACCATCAGGACTCTAAAGGACCACTTGATCCTTTTACATATATTTTTTTACGTCCACTTCTTGTTTCATTCTCTGCAGGTCAGTATATAAATACACTTGTCTATGACTTTCTCTATTTTATTCTTGCATAAGTTGTTTATCTGTTAGACGTTCAGAGATATTTTTTATTATTATTATTATTATTTATTAACAAAAAAAAAAAAAAATAACAAAAATTGAAGAATTTATTTTTGTTTTATTTAATTTTTTTTTGTGTTTTATGTTGATGTCAATGCATTTGATTAATTTTCCTGCTAAATTGTCTTTTATTCTAATCTTTACATAATCATAATACGAAATTGGATAATATCCCGGAAGCTCTGACTTGTAATTGTCAATTTGTTTATAACTCATAAATCTTAGACGAATTTATTTTTCTTCCAAGTTTTTTTTTTTTTCTAACCTTAGAAATTTAGATTTAAATATCAATTTTCAATGTAACAAAGGAAAATCCTTTGCAATTAAAATATTTTAATTTATTGAAATTAATAGAACAATAATATTTAAACAATTTTTAAAATTACTACTATGCTCATTACTTAGTTAGTAAACAATTATTTATAAAACAATAAATTCTTAAAAGCAATTTCTTGCTATGTTTTATTGCAAAATAAAATCTAAACTATTTGTTGAATTTAATCCAAACAATTTTTTATAGCTAAAGAATGTTGTGGAAAAAAAATTATAAAATCCTAGTGACATTATTGAATGTCAAATTTTGATTAAAAAAATTATTACAAACTAAAGTAATAATTTCTTCCTCTAGAAAAAAGAGTTGGGCAATAAAAATAATCAACTTTTTTTTCACCACCATTAATCCTAGTCATTATAAAGGATAGTATTAAATAATTAAATGAGCAACGAAAAGGAAAAAAAAAAATTAAATTGATGGAAAATGTTTGAAATCAAGGACGTTTTTCCTTGTGAAAGCCAATAGAGTCTATCAACATACTACTACCATACCAAGAAGGCAATGGCTAATATACTTGTGTCTAATAAGGACGGTTGTTTTATACACTTATATGTATATATATCTATGAATATATTTATCTTAGAATAAATCTTTATAATAAAAGGTATATAACTTATAATTATCACGTAAAGAGACTTTACTGTCTTACTGACGACTATGAAAAAATGACAATTATGAAGGTGACGATGATTTCATTGTAAATATTATTATAACACATTTATAAGTCTATTAATATAACGTTATATTTCATAGTTATTTTATCACGATTGCTTATTATTTATGCTATATTGACATTGAAAGCCGTTAGGATTTTATAAACAATTACTTTTGTAATTGTTTCAAAGCTTAAAATAAATCAAAACAAGCTTTTAATTATTTTAAAGTGCTCAACATTTAATATTTAATGTTTATAAACTAAAAAAAAAAAATTATTGAGCTATAGTTAATGAATAATTTGAATAAATTATTATTTGAGAAAGATTAAAAAAAATAAAAAACAATTAAAAGTAACCATGTAAAAAAATACTTCTTTGAAATCAAAAAAAGAAACAATGGTATTAATTATATTTAATTAATAAGTTCCTTCTCTGATCAACTATTCGTGATGATAATTTTTTTATAATAATTCTATAATTAATCAAAATTACAAACAAATTCTAGAAAAATCTTATTCCACAATTTAAGAACATTTTAAAAACGGAATAGTCTTTGTATTGAAGTGTTTCAAATAAATGTTGGAATATTTTTATTCTAAAAAATTGAAAAAAAGAAAATAGTTAAATACTAAGTGTTAATAATGATCAACAAAAAAAATATTAAGCAATTTTAATTCCCGAATAATTGATTAAGTATTTAATAATTTTAATACTCAAATTACGAATTACAAAAGTAAATTTGTATACAAATTTAAATTATCAATTACTTGGGCATTCAATCATTTGGGGAAAAAATTTTTTTAATTATTAATTAATTAGTAATTTCATAAGAATAAAATAGAGATTTTTTTTTTTTTTTTTGATAATTTCACAACATAATCACACAAGTAATAGAATAATGTTGGAATATGTGTATCAATGATTTAATTTATGTTTTAATGATAAATTATGTGTTTCAAAGTTCACAAATATATTCTGATGATTAAACATAATTCCCATCAACACCAACATTTTAAAAACAAAACAGTCTTTACACTAAAATATTTAGAATAAAAGTAAAAATATTTTCATTTAAATTTTCATTCAAGAATATTAAAAAAAAAAAAAAATAGTTGTTAATTGATGAGTGTTAATAAACACTATTGGTACCATGAGTATTAGTAAGTATTAATTATTTATTCAAACGTGCTAATAACATTCTGACTCTAAAAAAAAATTTAAAAAAAAAAATCAACCAAGAGTAGAGCAATCTAAATTGAAGCGTAATTCAATCACTCAAACTCTCAAGACCTTCCTCCAGGTATTTAATGATTATAATACTATGAAAAGATAAAATATTTGAATAAACCTCACGCATGTATACGCAATATATTCTTCCGTGTGTTTTTATCGTATCAATAATTACCAGTGAGGCGCCAGAGTATTTTGTAGACTGTAAAAAATATTACAACAGTTACGTTATAAGTATTTGAATAAGAAACATTAAAAAGAGTTAACATTTTAATAAAGTATGTCTTTTTTATGATTAAAAGTTTATTTTAATCCTTCCAGGAGTCTAAAAAAAGCCACAACAACACGTGAAGGGGAGTCCAAGTTAAGTAGTGAAGATAAAAGAAGAAATTGTGAAGAAATAAAAAGACATAAAGATTGGAAAAGAATGACCGCGAAAGTAAGAAAAACAAAACTGGTTCCACCGGACGGTGGATGGGGATGGGTCGTCCTCATCTCTGCCCTTGTAGTCAACTTCCTTATCCCTGGTACAGTCAAGTCCTTTGGAGTCCTCTTTGTTGAATTTCTTCAAGTATTTAAAGCATCACCAACTGCTGCTTCATGGATGCCAGCACTTTGTTATTTTCTCTATAGTTCTCTAGGTATAATATTACACTTACTTTTTTTTTTTGTTTATCAATTATTTATCATACACTTTATGTAATACTTGTCTTCAATTGATAATTCATGCAAAAAAGCAACCTTTCATTGGAATCACTTCGCAGAATTACTCTTAGTCATCTCTTTTGTTTTTTTATCCAACCAATTAATTATGAAAAATACTTTGTCATACTTTTTTTTCTTCTTTTTAAAATGATAATTAATTTTTTACAGGTCCTTTATCGAGTGTGTTATCCATTAAATGGTCATACAAAACAGTTACATTAATTGGGGGTGCTTTTGCAGCATCAGGAATGATGCTGAGTTGTTTTGCAACATCAGTATCCTATTTATATGTCAGGTAGGATTATTTTAAAAATATCACTTTTAATTTAATTGTTTTTTGTCTTAAGTCTTCCTGCTGTTGAATTCAAATTGATCATTATTTTAATTTAAAGGTTTTACTTTCTTCATTGATGAATTATTTTCATTACAGTTATGGATTAATGGTAGGTATAGGAGCTGGATTGACTTTTCCCCCAACTATCTACATCGTCACAGCATATTTTGAACGACTCCGAGGTTTTGCTAATGGCCTCTGTATATCTGGTAGCGCAATTGGTACTATTGTTTTACCTCCATTTCTTCAATATCTACTCAACCACTTTGGTCATAGGTAAAGAAAAAAAAATACTAAATTCACACCATTATAATAACTCCCTAATGGCAAATTAATAAAAAGATTAATCATTCCAATTTTTCATTCATCAATAATACATTCATTTCTTGTTTCATACTTACAGAGGAGCAGTACTCATCATGGGAGCAATAACACTAAATACACTAGTGTGTGGACTGCTTTATCATCCGGTGAGTGAACATATGAAAGAAGTGGTTATAGAAGGAATTGACAATGAAGCGTTGACATTAGATGAGACTCCAGGAGATGAAAAAGCTCTAGATAATAAAGAGAAAAATGAGAAAAATTTATCTAATGAAGCTGATGATGAAAAAGATGTTGATTTTAATCAGAAGAATGAGGATCATCTTTCAGAGTTGTCAAAGTATCTGGAGAAGACATTAAATCAACCAACTCTAAATATTATTGATGAGAAATGTGAAATAAATGAAGAGAAATCAGAAAATTCACCAAAAGTTGATGAAAATAATGATAAAGCTGAAATAGTAGCTGAACAAATAACAATAAATAATAAAATAATTCATGAAAATATTGTGGAGAAAAGAGAGAAGAGTTTAAAAAATACTGAAGATGATCCAGAAGCTGGTAGATCAACAGTCAGTAGAACTAACTCAAGAAAAAGTGTAAAAAATTTCCATCTATCACGACAGCATTCAATAGTATCAGACATGGGTCCAATAGCATTGAGTCCTAGGATGAATGTTCCAGGAGTATTTCGTCGATTATTTAAAACTCCAAAAAAGTCGAAAAAGAAGATCAGCAAATCAGAGTCAAGGGATGAAAAATTTACTCGAGAGAATTCAACCACCAGCGAGGATTCAACCAAAAAATTTTTTGATTTAAGCGTATTAAAAGATCCAATTTACCTGGTGATCTTGATCTCCAACTCGACATCAGCAATCAGCAACACCAACTTCATGATCCTGCTTCCTTCTTACGCCATAGCTGAAGGCTTTGATAAAAACATGTCAGCTCTATTGCTATCAATAGTATCAGCACTTGATTTGGTAGGCAGAATTGGTGGTGCTTCACTATCAGACATTGATTTTATACCAAAGTATTATTATTTCGTTTGTGGTCTTGGATTAAGTGGTATTGCTTTAGCACTACTACCAATGGCATCAAGCTACTTAATGCTTTCATTCTTCTGTGCATTATTTGGATTAGCATCAGGAATGTACATCGGTATCACAACAGTTATCTTGGCTGATATGCTAGGCACTGAGAAACTTAGTTCTTCATATGGGATATCATTATTTGTCAATGGTGTACTTCAGTTGGTTGGTCCACCAGCATGTGGTGCCATTTTTGAATCAGTTGGTTCGTATAAACCAATTTTCTTTGCTTTTGGTATCATCTTGATCCTCGGTACTGCCTTGTGGGCTGCTGTGCCGCTCATCAATCGAAACAGAAAGAATGTTGATGTGGATGCTTGATGTTAATTTGATTAACTTTGATAATTATTCTAAAGTTTAAATGAAATTATCAGAAATTCTTTTTTACTACTTACTTGATTAGTTAAATTTTATTTTCATCATTAGTCCAGTCAACAAACTTGATATTAAACATTTATTCATCTTCATTATCCATTAATTGTTTCTAAATAATCCTAGGAATATTTCAATCATGCTGAATAATCCTGATTTATTGACTTTGATGACTGGACTATACATAGTATGTTTATAATACCTCGAATTTAGTCGATAGTAGCGCATTTTGATCATTCCATTTTTATTTTTTAATGCCCTAATTAGCACCTTAATGTAAATAATTAATCATAATATCACATTAGACATGAAATTTAGTTCTAATTTAATATCATACCTGAACAAAAACAAAAAAATTATTCCATTTGTTATAATACATTTTTATATCTAAAAAATATTTACATAAGTTAATCAAACTTATTATTTGGCATTGATATAAATTCTCATTAATTTTTTCATAATAATATCAATAATAATAATAAAAATAATTAATCTAGTCATAATTTATAAGTTAAAAAATGTACAAAACAAAGAATTTAAATCAAAGATATTAAATTTTTCATTTTTTTTTTTTTAAAACAAATAATAATAATCAAAAATGCTCAAAAAGATTTTTTTTGTTTTTCATTGCATATTAATTACTAATAATGAATTATTTAATTCAATTATTATTATTTTTTTTTTAATTACATTGAATTCATCTACGGCATTTACAAGAGACTCAAATAAGTTTTTATTATTATTATTCATTTTTATAATCTAGTATTTTTGAATGTATAACTATTATAAATACCTGACATTTAATTAATTAAATTAAGCTAATTAATTATAATTATCCATACAATTGCTCAATTCCTAGTTTTATATATACAATAATAACAATGATAATGTCAATGAGTAATTACAATTAATGATAATAATTATAATCAATAATCATTTAAATAACCGATTAATTTTGTCTATGAATTAATCATTCAATAATTAATCAGTTTAATCATTGTGAATAAATCCCACAATTATTGGATTCATGAAATCAATTGGAAATCATATCAATTCCACCTGGAAAAATATTTTATATTGTTTTAATTTAGATTTAAATGTAAACGATTAAAAACACATTTCCTTTTCTTACAATTAATTGAAGTAAATTGTTTTTTCTTTATTTCCATCACTTCAATCCCACATCTTTTGACATCCTAGAGTCCTGTGGGGTCTCTACGACTACCACCAAATGACACAATGCTTCTTAAACCTTTGACTGATGTCTAAAATTTAAAAATAAATCGAAGAATCTTCATTATTGATATATAAATCTGCATCAAGTTTATTAAAAAAAAAAAATTATGTTGGATAAATTGTGTGATATTTACTTTCTTCTTTGATCCATTTAAAAAGTCCTTGTACATTTCAGAACGCAGATATCGAGAGTAACTATCACTTTTCATCAAATGATAGACGTGTGCCTAAAAGAATATCAGACTTTTTATTAATGAAAAAAAAAACAATTAAAGAATGATAAAGACGAGGTTGGAAGAATTAAATAAATGAATTTCATTTAGTCCAGTCAATAGAGCCTTAACTTTACCAATATTCAATTTTATTCCAAGACCTTCAACTTACAGCAGCAACATCAAAAGACCAACGATCGGATTTTTCTAAATTTTTTTTAGTGATCTCATACGAACGAGAATCAACATTGATAGGACAGCTAGCATCAGGCCCAAGGAATTCATTCCAAATATCATTAACACCAATTTTAACATCTTTCTGTGGTAATGTCTTCAAGTTCTGTACTGCATCCCAGAACCTAAAACAATTAAAAATTATTTAATCCATCAATCAATAAACCCTAGAGTCTCCAAGACCCAAAGAATCATCAAAGTAAATCAAGAACTAACTTGAGATTCTCTCCACTGAATTCTTTATCCAAAAATTTAACAAACTGATCTCGACCAATAGGATCTTGCAGGAGTTCTTTCAAACTGAAAGCCCATCTCTTAACTCTCCTCACAGATATTTCTTTGCTAAAAAAAATCAATACCATCAGTTAGGAAGAAAGAAGGTCCAATCATAATAAATTCTTACGCCAATTTATCTTGCTCCCATAACTCAGGGCTATCAGAGATCCAAGGATTACTGAATTCTGGTTGAGTAAAAAGTGGATCATACTCGATATACTGTTCAAAGTATCCAATGAGTCTAATTAAAAATAAATGATAAATTAAACGTATCTTTTTGAGTTGTTCATAAGTGTGTGATCAATCAAATAACTTACGCTTCAGCAACTTTGGACAGTTTGATGTTTCTTCTATCAAGTCTCTGCTGTAGTAAATCAATTTCCTTTCGTAGTGCCTCAATGGATGGATTCGTATCCTGTACATTAGTATGTGTGGGTGATATTCTTCCACAATCAACACCAATTTGAAGATGTTTACTTGCCTTAACATTTGATTTATTGTTTCTGCATGCCTTCTTTATGTCCAGTTCTGTTGTGTTAACACATCCAGGCTATAAAAAATTAATTAATATAACTTTTATAATTATTTTTGTTGATAATAATAATCACCATTGGTCTGTGTACATCCCAAAAAGCTCGCTCTTGACTATCAAGAATCTTCCTTTCCAATTTGTCTCGTTTTTTATCAACCTTACTCTGTGCTTCAGCTTGCATAAAAATAAATTCCCATTTTCTTGAAAACATCTTCTGGAGTCTTGCTAGATTTTCAGCCTCATAATCCGCCAATTCCAGTCGTGTTTTATTTTGCATCGTTCGTTTACATAAGTAAACAGCTATAAATAAATAATAATAATAAATTTATTTATCCTAGATTCGTTTTTTTTATTTTATTTATTTTTTTATTCTTTACCATAATCAGTATTTTCTGGTTCCCAGCAATTCGATGGCCAGAAATAGGGTGTTTGGAATCGATAAAATGTATTATCATTTTTTACAGTAAGGCAGTGATCATCAATTGGAAATAAATAGCCATGGGAAGCCATCAGGTGTGCCATTCTCAGTGATTCTATATAATATATTGTATATTAGTTTTTTTTTGTTATGTTATTATTTACACTAGGGTCCTACTGAATTTTATTTGAACTTTGAATGAAACATCAACATTTTGAATAGTTCAAAATAAATTATAATAGCTAGAGATGATTGTAAAGAATTGGTCTTGAATAAAAAAAAATAGAGCATCATGATTGATCATTATTTAGACATCTTAAATAATAATTTATAATTATAAACAAATAATTATTTCCATCAGCATCCTTTAATAATAAATCATTAAAACATAATCACCTTGCTCATCAATTTCCATATTTTTCATAATCCATGCAATTAAATCAGTACCAGTAAAAACCGACGGAATTTTAGTCATAAATGTCTTGACAGTTTTAACAGGAACACCATCATTTTCATCCAACATTTTTTCTATTATCGTTTCCATCTAAAAAAAGATAACATTAAAAATAAATTCTATTGTTAAAAGTAGGATTAAAGTAGCTCTTAGAATAATAAAGTTTAATGAAATTATAAATAAATGATATTTAATAATGACCTTTTTATAAACAAGATAATTAGGACTATCCTCAGTACAACTGGCATTTATTTTAGTCTTTGATGATGTTTCATTAGTTGATGATACTTTAACTTTCGTCATTGTTTTATCTTCTTTCGTTTGTAGACTATTTTTATCATCATTCTTATCATCTCCATTAGCTTTTTTCAAGCTTACTTCACCATCAACTGATTTCCGCCTACTGGCTGATTTTTCCGAGCTCATAGTGACCATATCGCTAAGAGAGTTGGATCATTGCCCTTCTAAATCATTCAGAAAACATAAAACAAAAAAATCTTTAAATCTTTTTTCAACAATAAACAACATCCCCTAGATGTCATAAATAAAGAATTATTTTAAATCAATATTTTTATTTTTGTTTTAATAATTTATTGATTAATTAATCAATTGTATTCAATTAATGCATCAAAGTGTTTAACTTTTGAAAAACGATCGTTATAAAATTGAGTAAGAAAAGGGTATGATAAGTATTGATTACCAGACTTTTCTCCTCTTTCCTCTTATTCACTCACTCCTCTTTATTGTCTTCCGTCTTCTCTTTTATATATCAACATCAATTCATGTTTATAAACACACTCATACATCAATAATTGACCACAATTATTTATCGGAAATGAGTAATAAACATTTTAAAAATATTTATTATCATCAACGGATATGAATAAAGTTATTCTTAGTAATGGCAAAATATTTTACATTATTTATCATGTAAATCAATTTTATGTGGTTTCAGAAAATTCAAAAGTGACAATGTTTACCATCAATTCATTGTTGACATTAACCCTCAAGTATTTGAATATTACTCACTTTCACTTCACACTTGTTTACAATATTTTTTTTTCTTTCACTCTATTTATAAACAATACAAAATAAATATTATCCTTGGTTACTTTTTTTTTCTTTTTATTATTATCGGCCAGGATCTCTGACATGTAAACTGAACGTGCGCATCACGACTGACTGAAGGCTACTGATTTCAATCAAATGCGACTGCGTACAAATTTTATTATAAATTAAAAATCAAAAGAACAATTTTTAAATGTTAACAATAAAATAAAAGCACTATTTTCAATAATAAAATAAATAATTAGAAATAAAAAAAATATTTTAAAAAGAATAAGATTAAAATTTCTGTGTTGATCTTCTATGCCGACAGTCGGCAAGCCAGTTTTATTGGCGGGCAAATTAATTCTACGATTTAAAAAAAATTATTTAATATAAAAAAATAATATGAATGAATATAAATGACATTAAATTTTATCAGCTGAATCAAATATTTATTTATTCATAAAGCATATTATTAATAGTTAGATTATATTTAAAATTAAGTAATAATAGATTTTTTTTTTTAGTGACAATGTTAATAATAATAATAAGAAAAAAAACTATTATTATTATTGTTACGATTGTTTGTTTGTTTTGTTTTTTTATTTGTATATTTAATGTATATTTAATATTTACACCATTGTTCATTCATTCATATATTATTTATAACATTTTTCAAATCAACAATCAACACACTTATTTATGAATTTTACGCCAATAACAATTTTTTTTAAATTTCTTCTTTCATCTTACACACTTACTAAAAATTTACCTTTTTTTTTAAACTTTTTCTTTTGTCTTTTTTCAAAATTCAGTCATGCTTATGTACATAAAAAGATCTATGATTATTATTATTATTATTATTATTTTCCATTTATTTTTACAATATTTTTATTTTTTTAATTTCTATTAAACTTCGTAGATAGTACTATAGGATGCCGGGAATGAGATCGTAAAAATAAAATATTTATACATTTGTATATATATATATATAATATGTATCTCTTTTTATACAATAAAATTTTTTTTTTCTTTATATCATAATTAATTTAGAAAAAAAGAAGAAAATAGATTTAAAATATGAATTAAAAATTTTGTATAACTAAAAATAAATTTTCAAATTTCCTACAATAAAAATTCCAAAAAGTACGATTAATTCCATCATCAATTCATTCTTAGCTTTGCTATCAATAAATCATTATTATCATTTACTATTTATTATATATATTGTTTATCTATTTATTTATTTGTATTTAAATTCGCCATTTAGCGTATCGTTGATATTTTGGTTCGAGTTGACTTTTGACATCTTCAAAATCATCATCTGTCGACTCGTATAATTTTTTACGTTGTTTATCATCCTTATTTTCTTCACTGCTGATCATCGTTGCTTCATCATTAGACACTAAAAAATGCCAATGAATCAATAAACAGCCAATTTATTTAAAAAATTAATATTTAAATAAATTTAAAGAAGCAACAACAAGAATAAATATTAATCAGATGATTGACTTAAAATGGAGATTTTAACACCAATGGGTATCACACAGAGGCATAGGATAATTAATAGAGTAAATTTGTTTTGATATCAAGATAATTTTCTGCTTTTACAAATAAACCAAAAAGGAATAGAAAGGATTGGTTGACATAATTAGAGGGTTCAATCAATGCCTATAATATTGATAAAAGCAGAAAATAATCTTAGATACTCACCTGAACTAACTTCCTTCGACACTTTGATAAATTAATTGGTCAACATTAGTCTTATTATCATCTAAAGTTGGAATGTTTAAAGCTATTCTTAATTCCTTTAAACATCCTTGATCCTCCTGTGTCTCAGGGACTTTATTACAAACTGGTGAACACTCAGATTCAATACCCGAGTCAACACTGCCTTGAAAATGTTCTTTCGGTCGATTGGAATCATTATAATGATCATCAGAAGTGGAAATATTTGATTCTTCAATGCCTGAGTCTTGACTATTACGATGATTAATTGATCTATCGATAAATAAATTCATTTGAGATCGTGGATTAACTTCATGATGATCATCAATACTCGATGCTTCTGATATACTTTCATAAATAATTGGAATATTAACATCTTTATCATCATCTAATAAATTATTTACATCACACGTTAAATTACTATGATGAGTATCATTATTAAAATTAGGATAATTAATACTGCTCTTCGTGTTGCTATCACAAATTGATTGGACATGATTAAACGTCCTTGGTAACATTAAACATTCTTTTTTATCATTATCTACAAAGGGTTCATCTATAGCAGCAGGTACGTACGATTGTTTCACTGGTAAATTACAATGAGCATTATTAAATGCTTCATCCATCTCTTTATCATTTTTTTTACACTTTGCATCATGACTAATAACATCAAGAGCACGTGATTCACGTAGATACCTTTGAAATTTATCACCTAATGCCATCATACTATTAACACTTTCATGAAATGGATTTTTAGCTGAGGAAGTATCAAATGCCGAAGTAAATATACCACCAGGATTATGAAATAGTCCAAGTAATCTATCAAGACTTGATGTATGTTTAAGTGTATCTGGTTCATCAACTATTTTTGGTGATTGAATAGACGCTGTTGTTGTTGTTGGTGCTTTAATAGTTGTCGTTGATAATAATGTAACATTATTTGTACCAATATCTTTGATTAAATCATCACAACTGAAATCACCATCAGCACTTGACTCACTGTCGATCCTTAAGTCTTCTGGTTCCGCCCGAAAAACGCTATCAGAATCATCAGAATCAACAACTTCAGGTACATCCACTTTTAATTCAGGCAAGTTGATTGGTTGTGACGTTGTTGTTGTTGTTGTTGTTGTTGTTGTTGGTGGTGGTGGTGGTGGTACAGGGTTAGGAACAACTGTGACGCGGAAGCGCGAACCATCTCCAGGGAAGAATGATGGAGATGGTAATGATGGTGGTGTAATAGGTGAGGATGATGCTGACGAGTTAGTGGAACTTAGGGAGGCTTCGGACACTCGTGAAACGACGAAACGACCTCGCGAGGGACTGGGAATTGGGCTGGCCACGGGCGAGGGAATCGGGCTCGGAGCCGGAGAACGAAGACGTCCTCCGCTGGTACGTTTTGGTACACTGCCTGGCATCATCATCGTTCTCCCGGTGACCTCGCTCGCGGTCGCCATTAGAGGAGGAGAACGTGGCAGTGTCTGACAAGTCAGCGAGATCTTACGGGAGCTCACGCTGGACAATCGACTTCGATGCTCTGAACTGCTTAACTCTTCAGTACTTTCATCTGTTGACAGTGTCTCTTCATTCCTCAAACAGTAACTTCGAATCTCCTGAATCAGCTCGGCGTATTGTTCTATCAATGGCGGCTGTAAAATTATTTTTTCCATTAATAAAATCATCTTTTAAAGCTTTCAGTAAATATTTTATTCGTAGGGGAATACATTAGAGTTTAAATTTAAATTTTAATTGACAACATTTATAACAATAGCAATTTGTGATAAACAAAAAAATTAAAGATGTCAAAATTATGGATTTCAATTAATGAAAAATGTATCCAGACTACTGTTCATAATTTTAAACTCTAATGGAGATGAATAACATCTAGATAAAAAATAGATTCTACAAATAGTGTCTCAATAATTAAATCAAATACTAAATGACTGATAATTAAAGAATAGTCTAATTAACCGTACTTGACCTTTCTCTAGTTCCGAATGGCACTTAAAATACAACAAAATATCAATAAGAATAAAGAATCAAAAAGTATCAACAACAACAAAAAAAAAACCATTGACAAATAAAATAATCTACTCACCGATTTACTCCAAGCTTTATCATCCAAATCAATTCTTGTGATACTAGAATTCTTTTTAAGAGCAATAGACAAGAACGTCAAGCCGGTTAATTGAAGATTATTATCACGTAGATCAATTCTCTGAAGAGTATCATTTTTCTCAATAACTTCAGCAAGTGCAAGTATTCCTTTTTGCATCAAACCTGTCGCCTGTACTCCCAACTGTAATAAACTATTATTCTTCTTCAAAGCATCTTTACAAACTTCCAGAAATTCATCACCCATCAAATTCTGTCCAATGTTCAATGTCTCCAAGCTTTTAGAGATTGCCAACAGTTCAGCAAAACGACCAGATGATTCCTTAGTGATGTGATTATTCCACAGGATCAATATACTTAAACCCTGACTACCATGAGCTTCTTTTGATTGTGTCACCAAGCCATCAAGTATATCTCTAACTCCATGATCTTGTAAATTATTATTACTAACATCCAGCAGCTGTAGATGATGATTAGCTCTTAATAAAGCTCCTAATTGAACAGCATCAGGATTACCAAGTCCATTATCAGCTAAATATAACTCCTTTAATCCAGTATTATGCTTTAAAGCAGAAATTAGAATAATAAAGGCTCGACCAGCAAGCCCACAATTCTCCAACTTTAAGACATGAAGATGGGTAACCAATTGCAGAGGTCTTTTAAGTATATTCATGTGCTGTTGTGTTAAAACAATATCTCTAGCTTCAAGTTGTTCAAGACATTGAGTTTTTTTAATCATTTGTGAGCAAGCTTGCCATCCTCTCTCACCAATATTACAATTACTCGAGATATTAAGATGCGTCACTGACTCATAATATTCAAACATATCAAACAATGTTTCTGCACTTTCATCATCTAATGATGCTGATTCCAAATCGATTTTTTTAAATTGCAGTCGTTTTAAAACCTCCTCCAGTGGTTCACAAAAATTTCTACTCAGTTGTTCATTTTTTAACGTCAACTCCTCACATCTTTCATTGATTAACTCTAATTTCTACATCAAAGAAAAAAAAAATTAATTAATCCCATTTAGAAAAAAATAGAGAAATAGTGTTGGATTTGTTTCAATTAATAAGATTATTAAATAAATTTATAACTTTAACTGATTAATTACCTCTAATTGAGCGATTACTGAGTCCAATGGATGAGTATGATGCCGATCACATGACTCTTTGTACGCCAAAATTAAATTCTCAATGCTTACATCTTGTGCTATAATTTTAAAATAAATTATTTAATATAATTATTAAAGTATTAATCATAATATCATCATCATTAATTCATTAATAAATGTAACTAATTAATAAATATATATAATTATTTATTATGAATCTAGTAATCTAATTAATGATTTTTTTTGTTGAGTTTGTTTGCAAGTGATTACATCACAAATAATACCTTAATGTGTTGTATTTAAAATTAGGATGATGTGATTGTGAAATTCAAAGTCTTTTCCAATGACTCAATACGATAGAAAATTTTATTTCTATTTATAAATTAATTAATAATGACTTTTTTCGGTTATTTATTTATTTATTAATAATAAATTTATTTTTAAAACTTGAATTACCTTGTTCCCATGGATTAGCTGGCTCTAAATAACCAGTAACTAAATCCTTATCATTTGGTGGAAAACTTACACTTCTTGGTGGCCATTTCTTCTCAACTGGCCTCAATTTATCATCATCAGTAACTAAAATATCTTCTGTTGATGATGATTTAATATTTTTATCATCAATATTTAATTTTTCAACATTAATTACACATTCCGACGTTACTATGTTGTCTTTTGGTGTTTCAATATTACTTATCAATGACAAATCTTCACTTTTCGATGCTTCTAAACCTACTTCTTGTGTTGATTCTAATGGCAATGATTCTGATAAAGCAGTTGATGATGATGGTGTGGATGATGATGATGATTGAAACAAAAGTTGATCGCAATCTCTATCTATGATGTTAAAACTTTCGTTCATCTTTTCCTTGAACGTATATTTATAAATATAATATTAACTTGAATGAAATTCAACTTATAACAGAGTTATAGATGTTCTTTTTTTTTTTATTTTATTTTTACTTTAACAATTATATTTATATTTATTGTTATTTAATATTGTCCACCACCACCTCCACCACCTCTTCTTCCACCTCGTCTTTTTATCAATATACTTTATTTGTTCCACCTTTGTTGAATTTTGTTGAAAAAAAATAGAAATAGAAAAATAAAAATAATAATAACAATAATAATAAAATAATATCATCAACAATGGTGTGTTCAATTTATCAATAATATTAGCATTTCATTGATTTACACTTCACACACGACAACAACTCACAGCAGTGTCAAATAATATTATATGACGAATCTGCGAGTTTGTTGTTTGTAGATAATTAATAGCACCCATTTAAACTATCACTGTCTATTCTTTCATAGCGGCCATCATTGTTGCCGTCTACATTATCTATAATTTATACATGAAACATATATTGTGCGACTATAGTTCAATTATTTTGTTCCGTTTTTTTATTTCGCTAACTTTGCCGGGAAAATATTGTTCCGGTTCTTACAACTTCCCTCGAAAACGTGACTTTAGCTAAATAATTCGATTATTCATTCAACCGCCATATTGAAGTGCATACTTTTGGCGGCACACGCAATCTTGCAATTTTTAGAAGCATTTATAATTTATAAAATTCTTTCATATCTTTTATATTTTTATTAAAATAAAGAACAAATTTAATTTTACTTTAAAATTCAGAAAAATTAAATAAACAATTTTTGTAAATTTTTATTGGCTATCCATACAGAAGTTGACATTATTATCGACTGTCGACGTTATCGACAGTTAGTAAAATAATTATTGATTTCTAATTATCGATCGAGTGTTTTTAAATTTGAAAAAATTTTAATGTTTAAAATTTTTTAATTGAATAATAATTGTTTATTATTTATTTATAAGAAAAAATAATTTTAATCACCGTACAGTAAATTAAGAAAAAAAGGCAACTCTTTGTAAATAGTCAATAAAAAAATTTCTTATAGATTTAAAAGTTGAACTTGCAAGGTTTTTTTTTAAAAAAATATTATTAAATAGATTATTACATTATTTTGTTTAAATAATCATTGTTTAAAACAAGAAAAAATATTTTTTATTTAATAAAAAAAGAAGATTCACTCAATCGTATTGGAGTCGATGAAGAAAATTTTTTTTCCCTATATCTTTGAATAAAATAAATAATAAAAGAAAAACCATCAAGAGTTCATCTGACGATTATTATAAATATAAGTTTTTGTTCTTCGAACAATCACAGCCCTCTAATTTACTAAGAATTGTCATTCGACGAAAGTAATAAAAAGAAGTAAGTGAAAAAAAAGGTATAAAGGCAGGTAAAATAGATAAAGAGTGAGACTAGAAACATAAGAATAGTAGAGAAAAATACAGTAGAGGTCGATTACAACGAGACAGTTGTGCGGCAATGGTTGGTGTAAGGGCCAACGGAGGTGGTGTGGACCGTTAGTTGGCCCCGCAACACTGGCGGGAGCGTTGTCCGGACATCGTGCTTGCCTGCCAGTTCGGACTATTATTTCTCCGCACCCCACAAACCCCCTTCCCTTTTTCTTACACCATCATCCACCAATACATTCTCTACTTCACTCTTTTTCATCATCCTATATGCCACCCGACCATATTACTATACACACTGCACACAAATCTTTTCGTGTGTACACGCCACCTGCTGCTATTACTTTATTATTCCCCAAACTATGTAACCATTAACCTTGACTTTGTTTTTCTTTGATCATCATCCGAATACACTTTTTTTCGTCTATCATTTCAACATTTCATTGCTCACTAAACTCATTTTTTCCTCTCAACTAAATAAATTAAATAATAAAAGATAATTTTTTTAACATTTCTATTAAATAAAAATTTTTCCCCACTTCTTTTATAAATAAAAAAATTTTTCAAATATTTTTAAAGTCAATTTAGTTATAGAACCTTTCTTTTGTTTCTTAGGATATACTTTAAATGGCATTACCATTATCTAAGTAAACTAAATTTAAAGATGTGACTTTTGTTTTCATCTGTAAATCACTCAAATAAAATATTTAACAGTACTACATTTAAATAATTTATGTATTTCTATTACTAAATCTTTAAAAGTTACCTATTAGAAATTCCATCACCACCATTTTCTACTGCTCTAATTTTCGTCCTTCAAACGTCTTCCGTTTTAAAATCCTTAGACTCTGACATCACATTCAAACCATTCATAAACATAAAATAGGACCTTAAAAAAAAGAAAGGATATGCTTCTCTTTTGTAACTGCATATTTTAACTTACATTCAGGTAAAACTATTTTAACGTTATTTTTCGGTAATATTGAATCCCTAATTTGAAATATTACGCTTATCCTAATGTTAACAAGATGTTGTGACCTCATTTACTTTTCTACTGAATTGTCAACATTTGATTTACAGTTTAAAGGTATTATTGAAATTAATATTTAGAGCACAATCTTGACCTAGAAGGTTTCTAGAGAAATTTAAGTTACTTTTGTTAAACAAAGGATAAAACAGTGTTAAAATTGGGCAGTTGACTTTTTATTCTTTTCTTTCCTTTGTGACTCAGAGGTCACAAGGATAATCTTTATGATGAGTAACAATATTATGGTAGGTTTTACCCAATATGTCATGTACCATAAATTTCGCACGGTAATAATGACGGTAATACTGACCGGATTAATATTAAAATTATTTATTTACCTTGTATATATTTTTAGTAACAATTTTTGTATAAAAAAATATTATTTTTGCAATTTTATGTAAATATATTTGATGATAAAACAATTTATGAAGCAATTTAGATGTTAAAAAATCGATAAATTATGATTTTATCATTAAAGTTAGATTTTAATGATGACATAAAAAATATCTAACATTTATATTTGCTAAAAACACTAGTAATTTATCAACCGCAATATTCTAACATAAATTAAAAGCGTAAATATCTCTATTTATATAAAATAGTCACTAGAAATTCACAAAATCATTTGAAATGTCTTCGAAGTATTTGATTTATCATCTCGTATATTATTATTTTTTAATGCGAATTCAAATGAGAAGATTGACAAGCCAAGAAAGCGAGAAAAGAAAAGACAAACACTAGACTAAAGAGAAATAAAAAAAATTCCCTAGCAAAATATATAAATTTCAAGTAACATTTTAAAATAAATCATCAACACAACAAAATATGTTACACATAAATAAGTGAAACAAATGAAATAATTGTCAATTTTATTGACTTTTCTTTATATGTAATCGATGTTCTATCTCATGCGTATAATTTACGATAACGAAAGTAGGATCACACAATTTTCACTCTCTGTGTTTTCGATTATGTAAGCGAGCTTCAACGCGCGTATAGCTCGGGTTTACGGTTAATAAAACAGTTACGTTTGCCTACTTATAAAGTCTATCTCACTGGTTACGTCGTGCGACGGAACACTGTACTCTCGCAATTCTCCTTCTAACGTTTGTAAATATAAAATGTACATACTTACATATCTAAAGACTTTTTTATCCATTCCACAATCGCATTTCGGGAAATTTATGTTCCAGTCCCAATAAATACATTCGAATTTTTATACAACAGAAAAACCACTTCACACTCCAATAAAAACAACTTTTAATTATTTTCATTGATAAATTCATTTTTTTTTCACTTCCTTGATTTTTTAATGTTTAACAACAAATCTAGGGCGTTATAAAATTTGTTAAATTCAAGCTCACATTGCAGGGTAATATTACGGACTTTTTTAAGGAGAAAAAATTTTTTTTTCTTTAAATTTCAAGTTCTCAGGATTAGTTGACTAACTGTAATGAGATAATTAGTGAGGTTTAGATATCGAAAGGTGTAAGAAAAAAAAGGTGTTCAGTTAATTGTAAAGAAATGATAGGAAATGACACAGTAAGATATCAATAATTCATTGATAACCATAAGAAAAATTAAAATCAAAGAATCGAAATAAAAAAAAAAATGGTTCTCTTCTAAACCAAAGTTTAATGCTCTTTTTAAAGTTCATTGGCATTGAATTTAGGCTCTACTGCTTTGTAACTACATCATCATAATCATCATCATCATCATCATGGTGATGTTGAGTCATTAAAACCGGTTGATAATAAAAAAAAAAGTTTATCCAATTTAATCAATTTACCATAAAAAAGCATGAATATATTTTTTTTTACCTTCGTTCGATTAAAATTGAGAGAAAATAAATTCAACGAAAGAAAAAAAAAACAGGTCACTCATGCTTGGTATTCCGACATTGAGAGATACCAAAATGGCTGCCATAGGTACTATATATGACCTTGTCGACGTTGTGCGATTGTGTAAGGATAATCCAACGTATCTGTTTCTACTCTACCAACTTATACCACACACACTTATTTTTATCTCTTTCTTTCTCATTTCTCTTCTCCTTTTTGTCCCGTCTTACATCTATACTCCACCACCTCACCTTACCCAATATACATCCTTCTTCTTCTCACTCTTTCTCTACCATATAAACGCATACGAGAAAAGGTGAATGTCCTCACTTCGAATCTTGTCCTCCTTCTTTTCTCTACACTCACAAACTTGTCCATCCTCTTTCCTTTAGGTTGAAAATTCACTCTTGTACTCTAAAATCATTATCAAGTCATACTAATAAAAAAACAAATTCACGTCTCATCACACATTTATTCATAAAAATTCGAATAAATATTTTCTCAGCATCACTCATCACCTAAAACACTCCCCTGAACACTCAAATATTTCTTATTCTCAAAGTTTAAATTAATTACAATAATTAAAGAATTTTTATTAAATAAAAAACAATTATTTTTTGTAAATTATCGTCATTTTACCAATTGTCAAATGAATTAGTTAGAAAAGCACCCAATAAATGACGACGAGATAACGGTGAATCTTGTAAAAATAAAAATTAATTATAATGCAGGTAATTTGACGGCAACATTAAAGAATAATTGTTATATCACTGGAAAAAGTAAAAATGTTAGTTTTATTATATTTCTTTAAATCATAAAACAATTAAATCGTTAGCAATCCACTTGATTAAACCAATTGATAATCTAAATAATTCTTCAACTAGTAAAATGACGGTAATTTACAAGAAATATCATAAAAATACTATTTTTCCAATTATTAATAGCGGATATCCTTAAGAAAATGCAATTGAATCAATGAAACCAAAAAGTTATCAACCGGATAGCATAAATATGTAACAATTTTATGTAATTTTATGATTATTAGTTTCGATAGATAAAGAGTAAAGAAAGATAGAGACATTGAATTGATAGTATGAGTGTAAGAAAGGTGTATAGATATACATTTATAACACTTATAACAGACCTATGAGGACTAAGAAATAGAAAAGTAGGAGGGGGGCAAAGCAATGTAATACAGTGGGAAGAGGTTGAGCTAGAAGAGAGTAGAGTGAGGGCCACTGTCACTGCCACGGTTGTTGTATGGTGTATGAGGTAATATCAGATTCCATCTCACAAGAGCGCAACTACACTTCTAACAGTCTTCCGTAATTTTCCATCACTCATACTCATTATCTTTATCAATAGAATTGTCAAAAAAAATTCATCATCTCTTTATTTATTACTTTTTTTTTTTTGATCCTTCATCAGTTTTATTCATTTCAATTGCATAGAAACACCAATGAAGTGGTCGCGGATGCGTAAAAAAGTATGACCATTATATAGGTATATCCTCGAGCGTTCAAGGACGCTTTTATCCGGTGTAAGACTCGAAGCCGCTGTGAGAGGGTTCACTCGTTCTTTTGGAATGTGAAATAATGCTTCTTCGAGTGATGGTAGTAGTAGTTGTTGTTATAATCGTATGGAATTCTCACGAGTCTTAAAGCATCAGAGCTACGAAACTTTAAATTTTCCACTATCTATCATCAGTAATTTGTTTTAAAAAATTCATTTCCAAGGGATATCCCTAAGAAAGTCATTACTTTTAAAAAACCCCATCTTATCAGAACCCTTGAGCATTAATTTACAAAGTTACGTTGATTTATTCTATCTAAACATCAAACTTTTGACGGTTGGAAAATTATCAGGAAATTTATTCAACATTTAACAGCAGTATTTTTGAACTCTATTATATGATAGAAAGATTCTCACATTTATTATTTTTTTAACATTAAATCTTAAATAATTTCATCATCTCGAGATATCGAAAACGAAAAAAACAACCAGACATCCATTTTTAAACCTTCTAACATGCTTTTCAATGTCTTAAAAAGTCAAAACAAAATAACCCATTTAAATAATCAACCCCATTACAATAACGTCCTAATGGCAAGTTAAAAAACAAAAAGGAATAAAATTAAAACTCCAAAATCGTTTAAATTCCTCAAAGACTCCAAATTTTCCGAAATAAAAAGTCAATAAAATTACTTATTGTCCCAACGTCTAAATTATAGTTAGGAATCATCAAGAAATAAATTCCCGGAAACAATATATATATATATATATATATATATTTATATTCATCATTTTTCCAGGATCTCCATAACCAAAGTAACGTCGTAGTAACGTTTTACTAGGCATCTAAAGCAACTTAAGTAAAACGAAACGATGCGAAGCGAAGCGTACCGAGGCGAAGGAAGCAAACGAATGAACGCCAGAGAGTATAGTAGATATATAAGAATGTTAGGTCATTGACTGCCTGTGGCCGGCGATCTGCGAGTATCCAAGGACACCAGCTCGAAGACTCGCGGTCGCTGTTTTCACTCTACTCTATACCCCTATATACATCCCATCTCTATATAAACCAATACACATCTCCAATATAATTCATTATCGATTGATAAAAATAATCAACTTGAAAAATAAATAGATTTTCAAATTCCTAGATGTTATAAAAATAGGGCATTTTATTGTACTTTTAAAGAAAATCAAGTTTGGTGAGATGGAATAGAGTGGAAAGATTCAAGGGGTCTCACCTGTCGAGGTCTCCCACGCTCGTAAGGCCCAATGGGTCCGGTGATGAGGGGCCCCAATAGAACCCCTCGCTGGGTCTGTTCGACCTACGGAAAAATGGGATCATCTTTTCTTTACTATTTCCTATCCTTTTTTCTTTTTTTTTTTTTTAACCTTCTTCACTTATATATAACGTATTTATTGAATATAAAGATATATTTAAGGCCCCTATCGAATTTCCATTTTTAAAAGCGGATATCCTTCAATCTCTCACGATCATCATCATCAGAAACATCTGGATTAGTTTTCTCCAGTGTTTGCATTGTTATCAATTCTTTTTTATTGTGCAAAAAAAAAAAATTCTTTCTTACTAGTAAATATTTTGCCATTTTTTTCTATTCATTTTATGAAATGTAATAAATTTTATTTCGACTGATGATTTATGGGAAATTAATTTGACAAGTAAAAATAGTTAAACATTTTTACAAGCTTTAGGAAAATTCCATGAGTAAGAGAAAAAGTCATAAAATTTATTTCTTTAAGCCTTTCATCGTGATTTTTACCATGTTTTTTTTTTTCCTAACCCCTTTTTTATGATTACTAAAAATATAAAAAGGGTTTTTTTTCCAGGTAAAAAAATGTTTTAAAAGATATTTAATAATTTATATATTTTTCTAGAAATTGCTACCAGAATAAGAAAAATCATTTTTTCTTTGAAAAAAAATTTTTAATTTTATTAGTTTTTTTTTTCCTCGAAAGAGAAACTTTTTCTTTTTATAAAAGAATTTTTTTACCTCAACAAAAAAAAAACATAACAACGACTTTATAGTGTTATTTGTGATAACAATAGAACCACCAACAGGTACCTGAATAAATAAAATAATTCTACATTTATTTGAAATGTAAAAATCCAGTGTGATCTAATTTAGTGAAAAATTTAAGCCAAGGATGATTATGTATACATAACTTGTACTTGTAGCCTATAATGCACTCGGGGCACGAGGTACCGCAAGCTCCAGAGACACAACTTTGTTCACTTTTGCTGCTCGTAACGGTAGATCCGTCAAGAGTATAAGCGAGTCAACACACAAGTCTTCTTTCTGCTTTTACCCCCCTCAATGTTGCTCTTCTCTCTTCTTCAAGACTCTCGATGTTGTCTGATGTGTGTGATCACATGACACATTTGGCCTTTAAATTCTTACACGTAATTCTTACCACAATAGGTGACTTTGGTGTTAGAAAATCCACCTGACAATCATATTAATCAAAAAGTCATCCAAAAAAAAACATAATTCCCCTATTCTTTCTCTCCCCTTAGGGGCTCAAATCACAGTCATTTATTATACCTGCGTTCAATTCATCGGTTTATTGTTGGTGAAGGATTATTCTATGTAACTAATCACTTGATGATGATTGAGGAAAAATTTACAATTATATATTTTAGTTATTATTCGATTAAAAATATTTGGGGTTCAGTATTTTCATCAATTATTTCCAACAATTATTAAATAATGAGTATTAATACTCTCCTAGGGATTTTTATCATTTTTCAAATGAATTGAATATTATTTATATTTAACAGGTGGTTTGAAATGTATTAAGGGTAATTTAAATTCAATACCTAATGTAGTTACATCAGAACTAATTTCAAAAAACATTGATGCCATTTTTTCTAGGGTTTTTTTTTTATTTTCTGGTCACTAAATATTTTTAAGTTGCAAAAATTTATTTAATCTTTCTTGAAATTATTAAAAAATCTAGTATTTGTCCTGTCTAGTTTTAAAAAAAATTTACTAAATCAGTGCTACCAATTATTTTAAGGTTTTTTTTTAAATTTTCAGTCACTAGACATTTTTACACGAAATAATTTTAAAATTATTTAATCAAGATTATTCTAAGAAAATTATTTTTCCCTAGTTAATCGTCTTGAAATCAGTGCTACTATGTCTTCTAAAATTGTCTAGGGTTTTTTTCCGTTTTTCAGCAATTATACTCCATTTCCACTGCAACCATTAATCTACACTTTAATAAAAACATTCAAAAACCCTACATTATAATTATTTATCTCTAAAATCAACTAAAGCATTGTCATCCAATCTAGGGGAAATGATATGTAACCATCACGAAATAAATGAATGACTGTTCTTCCAATTATCAATGGCATTTATGTTAATTAAATTCAGGTACCACAGACAGGTATAGTAATTGTATAATTAATGGCATCTTTTAATGTACGATGGTACAAAAAGATAATCACAAATATGATAGACAAAAATAAACAAATATGGTCTCTTAAAGTCAGGTTTTTGGAGTCTGATATTATTAAGTGAGTTGAAGGAAGGGGCATAGAGGCATAGGATAGGTATGTCATATAAAACGTAGCCACGTAGACCCTTACTATGTTGGTATGGTGCTTGAGGATCGAGTGGGTTCATTGGACGCCAGCGGCCGCCAATTTACCGTTACGTCTTCTCAGAGCGAAAATTTACCGCGCTGGGAGTAGAATATACATAAGAAGAAGTAGAAGAAGAAGAAGAAGAAGAAGGTTTCAAGAGAGAAGGTATGGTGGAGATGATGTTGAGATATTTTACGTCACATATTTATGGCTAGACTATGAAGGAGATTAAAAATAAAAAATGACCTTAAGACACATCAGGGGATTTTAAATACTTTTGATTAGGGATTAAAAATTACTTATGTGTGTCGTGTACCCTGACAATGTCAATTTAACGTTACGGTCAGTGCGCATGTGCAACTTAAAGTCACGGTAAACAGGTTTGACGGAACAAAACTATGCTTCTAAAATAAGTATGCATCATAAATATGTACTTTTCATTCTTTAGCCGTATATCCCTTTTGTTCAACAAAACGTGTGAATTCTTTAAACTTTGTTTAAAGAATATATATATATATATATATAAAAATGTATATAACCATGACGAATTGATGACGTAAACTCACTGGCAAATATTTTTTCTCATATAACGGAATCTCTGAGAAAGTAAATATTAGTTCAATTACTTGTGTGTATATATTTATTTATTTTGCCATTTATTTTTTATTTTGTGCTTTTCTTTCTTTTCTATTACTTTATTTGTAATCAGGTGAATTTTAGAAGTTTAAAGAACATTTTCAACCTGACATACTAAATATTATTAGTGATAAATATAACTCTTCATGCCGGTACCCGCTTTATTTTATTTTTTTTTGTCTATTTCGTGGTTTATTTTTATTAATCTTGCAATTTTTATGGAGAAATGGGTCATTTTTGTCACGTTCACATGTCATGAATATTTTTCAAATATTTTTAGCAGTATAGTAGGATAATATAAAATGTTTTATTTATAATATATTTTATTGATGGTTCATAATATATTTAAATAATGTAAAAAAAATAATTCAATGCTCATAACATATTTTAACAATATAAAATTAAATATATATTGCTCAAAAAATATTTAAATAATATTTTTAAGATTTATTGATGTTAAAAAATGTTTAAACAATCAGCCTTCATGATTATTTATTATTAATTAAATAAAAAAATTATTATTCTAATGATTTAAATCATCACTGAATAAAGAATCCTTCATTAGATAAAAAAAAATAATTCCCAACAAATGACAAGCAATAAAATTCCCTTCAAAAGATGACAAACAATTGCTAACCACCGTCATTACCACAAAACATAAAGAATTTTGTGCATAAAAATCGTTAAATAGTTTAAATGATAATAAATGCAGGTACCCGTTTTATATATGAGCATAAATAATATCTTTTTACTATGTCGAGGAAAAATGCGAGGTGGTAAAAAAAAAGAAAAAAAAGAACGAACGAATTAAATATGAATATAATAATATAAAATAGAATAAAATCAGATAAGAATCGTGTAAGAATACACTTAGTTGTTCCCACTGTCAAGTTCACATAATGCTAGATAATTGAGAATATATTTGAAAGTAAGTAAGAAAAATTCTCAGGTAAATTGCGCAATGATTAGTGAGTCTATGGAACATGGGCATGAAAGAACTGAGCCGTAATAAAGCTACACACATATACACAGAAAATACATATAAATGATTGTCGGTGGCGGCGGCGGAACCTGGTGCGTCCGCAACAGTGGCAGTGAACTCATTCTTTCTCTCTTACACACATTTGTTGTTTTTTTCTTTTTTTTTTTTATTTTCATTTAACGTTTTTATATATGTATGTATCTCTATATTAGTATGAGCCATGTTGTGTTGTACTGTTCACCGTAAAAGGAAACAGACACACACGGTATCATCATCACCAGAATGACGAAGGAAATAGTGTAGCGGACTTGATGGTAGCAAGGTAACGACGTAATACTTGAGGAAAAAATATCCTAGTTGGAGAATTAATGTTTTTAAATAACAGGTGAAAATATCATCCATATACAATGCATTCAGTTACATCCAACTATTAAGAATTATTTTTATCATTAAGATTAATGATTAATAACAATTTATTAGCAACAATTAATTAATTAATTAATTACTAATCATTATTAAAACAATCCTGAATTTAATAAATATTAAAAAAAAATTTTTTTGCAATTATTTTTTCAATACTTCCTTGTAAAAAAAAAATTTCCAATTCATTTTCCCCATATTTTATTAATTAATAATTTTTTTTAATGCATTTCCTTAATATTTAACTTTACAATAAGCACGTTTTTCTAATATTCAATTTATCAATGATTTTTAATTAATTAATAATATATTTAAAAAAAAAACTATTCCTTAAATTCATTATGACATTATTTTTTCAATTGCAAACACTTCTGAACCTTTTTATTAATTTATTTTTCCATCACATTCCCTTAAAAAAAAAATTCCTTAATGCATTCCAATTAACATTTTTTTCCCCAACTTCATTTAAATGTCTTCCCTAAAAGATTTAATCGTCAATATTTCTCCACTAATTGATAATTGAAACAATGCAGTGATTTATTTAAATTAAATCCACGAACTTCCCTATTCTTTTATTTATTCAAACTAAATAACCGTAAAGAAAAGCCTAAATAATTACACTGGAAGTAATCGATCGACACATCCAACAATTAAAACTCACTCAAGTACCTGTATTACGTCAAATTACGTACCGCTAATACTAAAGCTGATTATTTTTATTCTAATTAACTGTTTTTACCGTATAAAAAAAAAGAAAATTAGTTTAAATATTATTCTCTGCACAAAGTAAAATAAAAAAGGAAAAAGCTATATAATTAAATTTTCTACACAACGAAATAAAAATACCATACAGCGCACATTTAAAATTAAAAATAAAGAGAAATAAAAAAAGGATCGCGAAAATGCATGATAACTATTATTATTCCGACCATATAAGATACCTTAAGTGTATAAAAAATAATAATTTTCATTTAAATTGTTAATAAGAAAAATCCAACATTAAATACTAAGTTACATAATAGTCACGTTCTTGGCCTTGACATTGTATCTTGATTACTATATGTAAGATTGTTGCACAATTTATAAGAGAAATCACTGATCTATATCCGCAAATCAAAACCGTTTTTTCCCCTAAACGGGAAAAAATCCCTAGACAATGAAATAAAAATTTCCTACAACTAAAAATTACTAAAATTGTTGCAAAATTTATGAGAAAATTCACTAAACTATATTTACAAATTAAATTCATTTTTTCCCTAGATAAATAAAAATCCCTAGATAATAAAAAAAATTCCCTAGATCTAAAAATAATTAAAATATCATCAAATATGACTCTTTATGATCAAAGTATTATTACTCGAGTTATATAAGCCACGACATAATCGTTATGTGAGTGAAATTGTGGGTCTATAAGACGAGTAAAATAGACAAGAGCTAGAATGAGGTGGAGAGGTGTGTGGAGGGAATCAGGAGAAACAAATAGAAGAGAAAGTTCTCTTTGGACCACTTTTTTGTTAGAATTAATATTATCTGAATGATTTTAAAACAAGTTGAAGAAAAATTCCAGACCCAGTTGGGTGAGTTTTGAAAAAATATTCAATCAATGACAGCATAGTCAGGTATTATATCAATAAATAATATATAATAATGCATAGATTCCTTTTCTTTCTTACCTATTCTTTCACTTGAGAAACACCGAGAATATATTAAATGTAACATTTAGATAGCTGTTGACCTTGCAGAAGTTAATAAAGAGGAAATGTAAAAGTATGCGGAAGCAAGAAAAATTGTGTGACAGTGACTTTGTGCAGTAAAATTGTCGTAATTCTCACATATAATACTCTCGTGTGTTCAAGTATTGCTGTTGCTAGCGTTCATGTCTCTCTCACTTGTTACACTAGTTACCACTTTTTCTTCGTCGTTGTTTCATTTTATCTCTCGTCATTAATAATCTAAAAAAATATATGTATATACATTTATTATTATCTATTCTAAACGATTTTATTCTTTGTTATTAAAAATAAGTTGCAACCACAATTGTTATATATTTTACAATCATTTAAATCTCTTTTAATATCTAACTTAATAACTTCTAAAATTAACTGTTAATTTATTAATAAATTTTTTTTTACATTTCAATGGACTAATTATTAATTATATTTATTATTTAAACGTAAGAGTTATTTATTTGATAAACAAATTATATTTTCTTTATTAATCGATCAATTAATGCAATCGATAGTTCATCATTTAATTAAATAATTTTTTCTAATAAAGAAAAAAATAAAAATTGAATTTAAAAAAAATTTGGTTGTATTTATAAATCGATTAATCGATCGATTATTGCAAGCAATATTTTTTTATTTAAATAAATCATTTTTTTCTAGTAAAAAAAAAAAAATGATAAAAATGATTTATTTATTTTTAAGAGCCTTACAAAAAAATTATAAAGTCGATATATCGATGAATAAAATCGAATAATCGATTAAAAGTAATGAAGAAAAAAAAATCCAAAGTCGAGATATTTATCGTGAAGATTAAAAAAAAAATATCTCGATTTAAAAGTCCACATTGGAATGTGGAAAAAATCTGGTTACATCAAAAGGATATTTAGGTTAAAAAAAAAAAAAAAGCCAGTTAATATATCGAGGGATGTAAAAGATAGTGTACGGTGTTTTTTAAAATATAAAACTCGAGCTTAGAGGGTCCGTTTTACGAGGACTTAATGCATGAGACACGAATGCAGCGCTAGCTGAGAACGGTAGAACCGCTTCAAGTGCGTCAAGGGGCAACCATTGCTCTCGAGACAGACACATTGTGGGATCGAGGAACGAATGAGGAGGTGGAGGTGTAAGAGGGTGTATATGAAGATAGTGGGGAGAATGAGAATCGGTATTATGGAGCCAAGGTAGCTGGGTGAGACGGAAGGAGAAGTATTTTATACCGGGGCCAGCAGGTACAGGTAAATACCTGTATTAATGGTGGGGGTAAATGACGACTGCTCACGGTCGGGGCCCAGGGTCCCGTCCGACATCTCGACTCAAGCCCCAGTTGCTCGCGAGAGACTCTACCGAACTCATCAACACGACAACGGCACACGAGAACCACACCTTTTTTTTTTTTTCATCCGTATTACAATTCTTTATAAAACCGCTCTCTCAGTTGATAACTGTAAATCGGCGCGAGTATAACTATTTTATCTACGTACAGTGGCGACTTGACATCTGTCAAGGACAAACGTGATTTATGTCACTTGATTTTTTATTTAATGTTTACCCGATTTTTATTAAGTTCAAGGTCAAAAATATCGCGAGGTGAATTTTATTCATTTAACAATAATTCTTATAACGACTTATTGTTATATTTAACTAGAGTATTTCATCATTGTGAGTTTTATTCAGTTATTTTTAATAATAATAATCATCATCAACATCAACGACTATTTAAAGTGAAGGATACTAACTTAGTATCCTGATTAATAATATTTGTGGTATGAAAAAACCTCCAAGAGTATCTTCTAAAGACAATCAATATTAATTTAATAAATAAAGTGAACCGGCAAAAGAACATTAAATTGACTAAAAAATGCCGAAAATATTTTTAATCAAGAATCGACTGCACCAGCAGCAATTAAGACTACTTGAAGCTCAACATCTCAGTAAATCACCACCACCAAGTGGAAAGGATAGTCCACTAAGTTCGGAACCACTTAGTTTGATTGTTAATAAGCATCAATGTAAGTATTAAACTAGGTTTTTTTTTTATTTTTGTCCATCATATCGGTTATGAACGAAAAAAAGGATGAAACCACTTGACAACAGGTGCCGACACCTGCCAGGATCACTCATGTGTTATATTATTCTCATTCTGAATGATATCCTACCTTTTATTCTCCAAGTATCCGGTTATGAACTAATAGAATAACGTGTTTAAATTATTCAGAAAGATCCTCCTTTGATAATCAAGAAATTGACCGTCATATTACCGTAATGAGTTTACTGTTAAAAATCAGCTGGATTCCATGATAAAATAGTTGATGATAATATTAAAATACAGTTGCGTATAGTTGAATTTATATGATGCATTCCATCGCATCTTAAAATGGACGCTTGAAGCGCCGCTATACGGGTTTTGTTTCCTTGCTAAAGTTAACGATACCCCCGCGCTACTACTGTATGTACTGACTACTGAACGAGTTTCCCCTACCATCCAAAGACACATCAAGAATATTGTGAACGCGGTTGATATAATACGGTACCACGATCACCGAATACCAAGTCCATGATTGCCTATGCCGTGCACGCGCATTCCAGAATCTCAGGGCCAGTTAAAATCATCGTGATTAGAATTGTCGAAACGTTCATGTTCTATTTTACAATTATTCTCGTGTCTAAATCATCTTAATTCATGTTTTAATCAACTCATTACCCTTATTTTAGTAGAAAACGATTACCCACTTGATATATCGAATACTAAAAAAAAAATCGATTTCAATCGATTGATCGATTATCAACGAAGAGTATTTTTTTTGATTTATTTTAGATCGCGATAAAACTGATGATGATCGAGCAACAACGCCTGAATCATTACGTAGTAATTCACCGGCAAATTCACCACCTCCACAATGGCAGCCATCAACAACACCAACGAAGACAACACCAAGACGTTTTATATCAAGTATTCTAGGTGGTGATGTGCCTTACGGTAGCAGGAGTCATGTGTTAACTCGTGCAGAACGTAAAGAATACGGTAGTCCACTCGTAGTACCTTCTGAGAAATCATTCCCACATAAAGCAGAAAAGCTAGAACTACCAAGGCCATCAACACCACCAGCAACACCTAGAGTTGAACCACCAACAAGAGTATCAGTTATTCAACGAGTTCCACCACAAACACAACCACCACGTCAAGAGCATACGAAAATTGAGATACCATGTTTAAGTGAACCTGAACAGGATCAACCAATAGACTACGCAGTTCCAAAGAAGAAAGAAGAAATTGATGATGAACAATCTAGAGAAGGTGCTAAAGCTTCTAGAACAATGGGAAATTCAATAGCAAGACCATTACTAGCTATGAGACTATCAGGACCACAAACAGTGAATGCAGCAGCAGGACATGGACGATCGACGAGTTCTGGTGGTAGTGGATCTAGTTCTGGTGGATCAAATGCAAGTTCTGGAAGCACTGGTGGTGGTGGATCATATTCAAGTTCAAGTTCAGGTGGTGGTGACGGTGGTGGTTCATTAGGTGGTGGTGGTGGTGGTGGTGGAAATGGTGACGGTGGTATGAATCCTGGTGGAAATGGAGGTAGAGGTCATTATGGTCCAAGTTCACCACCGTCTGGTTCATTACCACCATTTTATGAGTCACTCAAAGGTGGAAATAATCTGGCCAATTTTGTTAATCAGTACTCTGGTACACAGAATAATGGTTACCTTACACCAACCCCATCAGTTGGTATGGAATGCGATACTGGCCAACAAGAAGTCTCCCAACACAACCAATACAATGCTCAAGAAGGCAAGCAATATTCCTTACTACAAAATGCCTGTGCCTCTTACGGATTAGTACTTAAGGAAGAAGAAGAAGAGGAAGATCTAGCAGACTATAAAATTCAACCGAATGATCTTTTATCTGGCCAATATGGTGCTTACGATGTCACCGATTCTGGTATGATGGTTGATATGGTTACAGGGGCTGTTGTAGATCCACTTCAATTCACAGCCACATTGACATTCAGTTCACCATCAGATCATACTGCCCTTCTAGAAAGTCTAAGCGATGCTGCTGACCTTTTCCTACCACGGCTTCCAACTGACGACGGTGGCAATGACCTTCTAGAAGATTCACTACACTCACCAGCATCAGCTGGCAGTGGTATTGGTCAAGATGGTCAAATGACAACTCCTGTTGAACCAAGTGTTGATCCATTCCCAGAACACAGTATGGCATTGACACGTGGATTTGATACATCACGACATTATACCACCAATCAACAATTCTCCATCTCCAAAATGTCAACCATCCCCTACTCCGATGAATCTAGCTATCAATCGCTTGCCAAAGAACGACCTGAATTAGCACTACATATAAATCAGAATCAACATCAATCAGAACCTCAACTCCAACAGCTTCAAATTCAAGTCCAAATGCAACAACACCAGCAACAATCATCAACTTCTCCTCATCATCAGCACCACCATCAAGGCCTTCTAAGTCCTGGATTAAGTTTCTCTGGTAGTGGTGAGTATTTTAACCTCAGCGTCAATTAAATGATCAACACTTGGGCAACTTTTGATGGTAGAAATGTCATTTCTAGGGTTAGATCTCGACACTGGAAGCAGTACTGCTGGAAGTTTACCAAGTCCCGGTGCTACTAATTGTTCTGTTGATGCAGTATCAACCAGTACATCACCACCATGCGGTCTAATGGAACATGCACCAAGCCCCGCTGGAGTTACAGCTACTGTGAGTGCCACCACTGCTATCAGTGCTATCACTGCTGATCCTCCCCTAACACAACGACCTGGCGTTCTTCAACAGAGGGTAAGCAACCCAAATTGATGTAGGCAAAAGCATATTCTTTACTATCAAACATCTCTCTTTCTCTACTTCATTTAAAACTCCAATGAAAAATTTCTATCATGAATAATTAATTATTTACTGATCTTGATGATTATTGGAATTCCATCAATCTTTTGATTAAAAAAAAAAAAAAATGTCAATTATGCAATGCCAATCAACTTGAGTAGCTTAATCTCTCCAACGTATCCCAAAAGAAAAACCACTTGATAATGGTGAACTAAAAAAATTATTTCTTCTGTTCAGTTGGGTCTTCCGGGTGATTGTCAGTTAGAATTCGTGAATGGAGGACATGGAATAAAGAATCCGTTGGCCATTGAAGGACAACGACAGGCATCAAATCGGGACGAAGAGAGAGCCAATCGACAACCTTCTAGTAAGGTATACACAAAAAGCAACCTTTTTTTTTTCATCATCATCATCATTATCATCATCACCACCACCACCACCATCATCATTAAATAAAGAAAATTTTTTTCCTTTTTTTTCCATCATGATTAATCTTATGTTCAATTGTTTTATTTAAGGATGATGATCCTAATCGATTTACCTGCCGAGTATGTAGCAAAAACTTCAGTTTACAACGGCTACTTAATCGTCATATGAAGTGTCACAGTGATGTCAAGCGTTACTTGTGTACGTTCTGTGGAAAGGGTTTTAATGATACATTTGACCTTAAACGACACACGAGAACACATACAGGAGTTAGGCCGTACAAGTGCAATCTCTGTGAAAAAAGTTTTACTCAAAGGTGCTCACTAGAGAGCCATTGTCTCAAGGTTCATGGCGTTCAACATCAGTACGCTTACAAAGAACGAAGGACTAAGGTAAAATAATCTCAGATAATTCTGCTGCTTTAATAAAAACACAAAAAAAAAAAAACTAAAAGAATTATTTTCCTACAATTTTAAAGGTCCTTGAGCTAAAATATTATTTTGTATGACCCACTAAAATTGCCAATGACTTTCCATTATGACAAAAAATAATTTATTTAATTAATTAATTATTGATATATTATTATTATAAAAATTAATTATTAAGAAGTTATTATAATGGAATTCATTATTGAAATTCGTAATTTGGTCATTCCTTTACGTTTTTAAACATTTGAAAGCATATTAGAAAGTTTAAAAATATATGTACGTACGTACAAAATTACGCTCAGACCCGTTTGTTGTAAAATAATTGATTTATTAATGTTAATAATTAATTGAAACTTACTAATATTAATTTTCTTTCTAGGTTTATGTTTGTGAGGAATGTGGACATACAACACAAGAGCCAGAGGTTCATTATCTTCACCTAAAGGATAAACATCCTTACAGTCCTGCACTCCTAAAATTCTACGACAAACGACACTTCAAATTCACCAACAGTAATTTTGCAAATATGCTCTTACAGGTGCGCACTTAAAAAACATAAAAAAAAAAAAATAAATTCATAAATAAACTAAATAAAAAATAAAGAGAAAATAATTAATTTTATATTATTAATTAATTAGACTGTCAACTCACAAGTGCCTTATAAATAAAGGACATTGAATAAATTAAAATTAAATAAATAATTATTAAATAACAATTAAATCAACAAAATATCAACAATTTGTTGATTTTTATTATTATTATTATTATTATTTTTGTTTATTTTAAAACCATAAAATAAATTGTTGACAGTATTTTTTTTAATAAGAATTAAATATTTTATCTGTTAAATAGTTAAACTGATTATGATTAATGAAATAATTGAAATAAAAAATATTTGTAGGAAGGATAAAGAATATTTTTTAGATAAAAAAAAAAACGATGCGTTTACACTGATGGGGATCGTCGGTGAAGGGATATAGAAATGAATATCAACTGGTAATTAATTAATAAATAAACAAATTATATTTATTAATAAACAATTAAGGTATCCTTAGGCATATTAATTATGCCATCATCATTATTTATAGGATCCTTGAATTATTTAAATAATAAAACCAAGTCTTGTTTTTTTGCATTAAAAAAAAATTTTTTCGACTCTAAATTTAAATTTAAATTGTTGATAAAAATTTTTTTTTAATAAAAAAAAAAAACCAACAAGTTCAATGTAATCATTGAAAATATATCCTGCGAAGGACTAATTAATATCTAGACGCTATATGCGTTAGGGTAACCTGTGATATATGGGAAATGGGTTGTCAATATGTTTTTTTTTTTTTCTTTCCACAAATGGTTGATTAATGGATAAATAAATTAAACAAAACCACGTAAGAATGATCGAGAGATAAAAATTAATTTGTGTATTAAATAATGAACACAAATTTTTAATAATTTTTAATCTCACGACAATGTTTTCTATGGAATAAAATAAATATATATATATAAATATAAATAAATATATATGTTATATATACATAAATTGTAATTAATAAAATAATTAAATTGACAGTATAAATGACACTTTAAAAGAGAAAAAAAAACAAACGGGGGTTCGTGCAATTTTTTTTTAATTTTGTTTTTTTCTATTTTTTTCATAAAACGTATAAATATTGAATAAGGTGACAGGATAATTGATAAACAATTAAATCCACAATTAATTAATTTAAATTAATTCATGGATTAATGCACCTTTGGGAATCATCATTACCTATTTTTAGAAATAATTATAATTATAAACCTAGCTATTTGTTTAATAACAATCAAGTATTTTTATAAATAATTAAATAGTTTAAAAGAAAACAATAATAAGGAGAATAATAAAATAAATAAATTCATTAATGAGTCAGTTGTGGTGCTGAAAAGAGAGATAGAATATTTTTACCCGATATTTTTCGAACTGACAAAATAAAAGAAATGTAAATAAACAATTTGGTAAATCCATGAAATATTATTAATTATAAATAAATAAAAAAAATGGAAAAAAAAAATTTTATAAAAAAAAAAAATTATGTAAATCATGACAAAAGACTTGGTGTCTTATCAGTAATTGATGCTGTTTTCTCAAAAGACTGTAAATAATTTTTTTTATTATTATTATTATTAATTATAATTATTTACTTTTTAATAAATTAATGATAATTTTTTAATTATATTCGCACAATACTTATCAATATTTTATATTGCTTTTGATTGTATTTTCAATTTTTAATTATTATTTTTATTCATTAATGATCATTGTAACTATCAATTATAAATATTATTATTATTATATGATTATTAAGTTAATATTAATTAATTAATATCTATAAACAACGTGAAATATTATTTCCATTCTTACATGGCATGAAAATACTCAATTGAATGGTACAAGTGAAAGCACTCCAATATCCATTTTTAAAAAATGTAATTACTATGTTTTAAATAATTATCTGAAATTTTGTTCTTTAATATTAAAATAAAACTTCTTATTCATTTTAAATGTTTAAAAAAAATTGAGGAATGTTAAACAAATCATTTAAGATGAAGAAAAAATATTATTTTGAAACTTTTATATTTTATTTGTTGTAGAAAATACTTTTTTATATTATATATATAATAAATAAACCTAAACAAACAAAGTAGAATCTAAATCTGAAAGAATAAAAAAAGAGTATGAACATCTTTATAATAAAACAATAGAACAATTCTATTATTTTTCTTATGATAAATAAAAATAATTAATTAAATAAAATGACTGTAATTTATTAAATTACTCACTAGTTTGTAAATTACAGTGCTTAATAGGCACTAAAGTAGCATCTTTCCTTTTTTCACTGGTATTTTCTAATATACTCATCTGATACACCTGAAAGAATTATTTTTTTTTTTTAAATAAATTAATGTTAAATAATGTCATAGTTTATTTATTTTGTTTCATCTATTATTATCATTTTTTTTCATCCAACAAATAAGTGTATGTTTTCAGTTAATTAATCTTTAATGTCATTATCACTATTAATATTGTAATAATTATTATATAATATTGCTATTATAATTGAATATATAAATAAAAAATAAATTTAAAAATTTTAAATAAATGTCTAAATATATTCTTCTCTCCCTAAATCATTTAAATATTTATTTATTTATTTATTATCAATAATATTAATAACCTGCTCATCAATGGCATCAAACTGCCACTTCCAAGTATGATTGTACAAAAATGGCCTCAAATCAAACCTATTATCCTCCGGTGAATAGGATTCAACATGACAAGATGGTGTAAGAATGGTCATCTTATGTCGATTAATAGCATAGCATCGATAAAAATGTTTGACCTTATCAGCAACTTCCTTGGGAGTTGAATTGGACCACAAAGGTACTAATTTACAGAACATGGAGAAAGGTCCAGCACAATGGATCTTCCTAAGTTTCCCATAAGTTGAAAGTTCTTTATAAGTCATTCCCATATCAACTTCATCCAACTGTGCTAGCTGGCCATCTTGAAGAGGTTCCAATTCAGCAGTAGCTGGAGCTTTGATAATCTTATCCAAAGCTGTTATATTATATTTAACTCTAAAATAAGCAATAAAATTCTTCAAATCATCTTTAGATATTCCACCAATAGGATTGATATCAGCACTGCTGCAATCATATTTTGTAAAATAGCCTCTTAAAGCTTCATCAACGTTGCTGGATCCAAGAACTAGGAGGCCACCAGGACGATTTCGAACCCAGAGCATCAATTGGGCGAAGAAGTAGGATAATACCATGCGCAAACGTGCCTAGAAGAGGTCCAAAATTAGCATAAAGCATCAAGAAATATATATTCCATCATTTAAAATGAAAAAAAAATATTACCTGGATGTTTTGAAGAGCTAGATTCTCCCTTGGTGATCCTCCATGAACTCTAAACTTGGGTGTTAATTTAGTTACTTGCTGAAAGATACCTAAAATAGCTGATACCGCAGTATCCAGCACAATATTCCGATGATAAGAGCCTATTTGACTAGCCAGTTCAGTAGCCCTAGCTTTAGTTTCAACTGATGAATTTTCAGTTCCCATGTAACAGGTAACCAAAAGTGTATTACACAGTTGCTTTGGATCCTTAGGAATATACTCATAATCTCCAACAATTTTTTGAACATCTAAAAGCACTTGACGATCTGAAAAATAATTTTAAATTCCACTTTAGATCGAAAGATAGTTTATATAACATCTTGAAGGTTGGAATAACACTTACCTCCTTGTTCAACAGCATCAACAATCATATTACACATGGAATAGACAAGGCAAGCAGTAGATGATGAATCAATACCACCACTTAACGGTAAAAAAAATCCACCTTGGCATGATCTCCTCAGATAATCCCACATCCAACAAGCAGGTCCCATCGCTATCTCTTCCTCAGGTGTATGAAGTTGTGTTTTTCTTTCATTACTTTCACCATACTCATTCTCAAAAGGATTTAAATCCGTAGGATAATCAGTTAATTGAAAGCTCATACTCTCTGATGACAAAGCAAAATCAACTTTAACTCGAGGATATGGTTCTGACTTGGCTGCTGAATGTGTTCTACATCTTATTATATTTCTATACACTCTAAAAAATATAAATAATTTATTTAGCTAGCAATAAATCAAATGTTTTTTTAAATTTTAATAATCTAAGCACAGCATACCTGATGTCTTCTAGATCAAATGTAGCAACATTAACTTCAACAGCTTCAAGGGAAAATTGCTTTCCTTGGGTGATAATATCACCATTCATTGATATACTTGATGATCCATTGAAGTACATTCTTCCTCCATCACAACCACGTAAATTACTGTACATGTAGCAACCACCACATTTGGCAGATGCCATTTTACAACGATCACTTATTTCATGTGCCTTACGAACAGCAAACACTGATGCACTACTGTTAGAAATAATCTCAACACCATCAAGTGACAGATTTATGTGATTACTTGCTGGATGCCAAAGCTCTTCACATATTTCAAAACCAATACAAGTCTCTAGAGTATTAATCACAGCATCACCAATTGGTACAACATTTTGTCCAGTTATCTGAGTTATAAATCTTGGCAGACAGAATTCTTCAACTACTTTTTCCTGTTTAATTTATCATAAAAAAATAAATAAATAAATGAAATGTTATTTATCAAATATTCTAAAAGACTTTGATAATAAATACCTTAGACCATGGTGAAAACCATCTGCTCTCTCTATAGAGAGTTGTATCACACATTCGCATTTTTGGTCGTATCAATAATATTTGACTGTTGAGAAAAATAACTCGGCAATTGTATGTAATATTTTTGTGCATAACTGGCATACCAACATCAACAATAATATTACGACAAATAGTTGAATCAAGTAGTCTTGCTAAAACTTGCCAGCTATGGAATGTGGTATCACTTTCATAAAAATGATCTTCACAGCCATATCCACTGGAATATTTTTAAAATTATTATTTAAATCAGAAGAGCAATAAAGTTGGACTAAGAACTTATTAGTCCAGTCCTGGTGCAATCAGTTATGGTTTTTTCCATGTTATTTCCATGTTACGCAATCAAAATTGCACCAGAATTAGACTATATACATTCCTAATAAATATTTAAAAATGTTTTCCAATAAATAAAATAAAAAAAAAATGTTTTACCTTATTTCTAACTCAGGTCCACTCCTAAAAGTAGCTCCAGCTTTTTTAGCTTTATCAATACTCTCCAATATTCTTCCTAAATTCCCTTCAAAGTCCATTGCCCATTGATTCAACGTACAGACAGCGACTTTAACAATTCTCCCCATCTTGGCAATCCTTTGGTGACCCTGATACTCGAATAAACAAGGCCTCTTTTATACCAATATCCTTCAATTTTCCAATAGTAATCTATAGTCATCAAAAATGATTATTAGTAATAAATGTACCTGCTTGCCTATTTTATAGCCAAACTGACTAACTTGATTGATCAATAATATACAACTACTACTTATTCAAACATCAATCAACAAAAGACTTCTTCTCCAAAGGCTTTGTTATATTTATTAGTAATTTTAATTGTTATTTAAATAAATATAACAAATGAATAAACCATGGAAATAAAATGGATTTATTTATTAACAGTCGTGTTAAAGAAATGCAAGCAGTGTTATTTCCAATCCAACCAATTCCAGGTAATTTATTATTCCTTTTTTATTTTCAATATCAATAATTAAATTAAATAATTTTCTTTCAATTTTTGTAAATTAATTAATTTTAAAAAATGAATTATTTTATTACCAAACTAACATTTAATGTCAACTAAAAAGTGTAAATGAATTTTATTAAAATAGAATTGTGAAGTAAAATAATAATAAATAAAAATAAAATAATATTTGGGTTTATGATGAATGCTTAACCATCAAGACTAGTCCATTGTATCCTGATTGATGAAGGGAAAATAATGCAAGAATTACTTGAGTCCAAGAACACCGATAATACTGGTGAATACATCTAAAATACCAATTACTTTTTTCAATTCCATACTTTACATTATTTTTAATTCCACAATTATGAAAAAATTGAAGAAGAAAATTGGAATAATGATGTTTTATAACTTCCAGGAGGTTCAATAACAACACAATGTCTTCAAGATCGCCTGGGATTTACTCGTAAGGATATAGAATCAGTGTTACCGATAGCATCAAGTGTATTTAAATATCGTGAAGTGGAGATTCAATTAACGGACATTGTAGCACAAGAGCCAAGATGGCCCACCGAGTGTAAAGTTATTATAACTAAATTAATTAATTAATGAATAGAGCCTTAACATTCAATTAAATGAAATGACTTAATTAAGATACTTAATTCCAGGTGATTCAAGAAAGAGTCCGCCATATAGACTACAACCCACCAAACCCAGAGCCTTATTATTCTCCAACTGGCCGTGAACCAAAACCTAAACCAGTCAGTGAAGAACTTGGAACAGTTGTGTTCAATTATTGTCCAACAAGTGTCACCAACTATGTAAGCAAACTCATCATCATGATCAGAAAGAAACCAACATGAATGTTAGATCAAAAATAACAATTTATTTTAGTTCAGCAGATCGTGTATTGGAGGTACATCAGTCCTAACAGACTCCAACACTTTATCCTACTTTCTAGAACAATCAACTGAACCACCAGAGCCTCAAATAATTCATAACAACACTGACTTGCACTTCGAATCACGATTTGAATCAGGGAACCTAGGTAAAGTTATCAAAATTACTGATACCTATTATCAGCTACATCTGAGGAAAGATTTGTACACTCAAAGACACATGCAATGGTTTTATTTTCGAATATCAAACACTAGGAGTCGAATAATGTACAGGTTATCAATAGTGAATTTATGTAAAGAAGATAGTCTTTATAATGAAGGTCTTAAACCACTGCTATACTCCAATAAAGATGCTGATATGAATTCAGTTGGTTGGAGACGATGTGGGGAGAATATTAGCTACTACAAGAATGATTCATCGTAAGTAAAAATGAAGAATAAAATTTTTGATAACTTTAAAAAAATATTTGCTGATGATTTTAGTGATGAAGAGAAGGAGAAGCATACTCTAACTTTCAACATCACCTTTCCTCATGACCAGGACACAGTTTACCTAGCTCACTGCTATCCCTACACCTACAGTGATCTACAGGTTTCCAATTATTTAGTCTAAATCGTCAAATTAAATTGATGACATGTTTTTATTTATTTAGGAATATCTAGTGAAACTATCAAGTGATCCAGTGAAAACAAAATTCACTAAACTACGTCTACTTTGTCGCACCCTGGCTGGTAATTCAGTTCATTATTTGACAATAACAGCACCTAATTGCACTGATGACTCTAGAAAGAAGAAAGGTATTGTGATAACAGCTAGAGTTCATCCTGGTGAAACACCTTCTAGCTGGATGATGAAAGGAATCATTGATTTTTTGACTGGGGAATCAAGTCAAGCTCGAGTAAGTATGATGCTGATGTTGGTGATGGTCTAGAAGTTTTAGATCGAGTCTTGATGTTCTAAACCCTTTTTAAAAAATAGCTAATAAATTTTTTATTAATCATTAATTAGGAGTTAAGAGAGAGATTCATTTTCAAATTAGTACCAATGCTAAACCCAGATGGTGTTATTGTTGGCAACAATAGATGTTCACTATCTGGAAAGGATTTAAATCGTCAATATCGTACAGTAATGCGTGAAAGTTACCCTTCTGTTTGGCACACTAAACTCATGATACGCCGATTAATGGAAGAATGTGGTATTGCCATGTACTGTGACCTTCATGCACATTCAAGGAAACATAATATTTTTATTTACGGCTGTGAAAATAAACGTACTTCATGCTATGGAAAATTAGCTGAACAAATATTTCCATTAATGTTACACAAAAATGCTGCCGACAAAGTAAATCAATATAATTATCAAGATGATAATTTGTTTATGTTAATTTAAATAACATCATTTTGTTTGCAGTTTTCATTTGAAAATTGTAAATTTTATATTGAAAAAGGAAAAGAGGGAACGAGTCGAGTAGTTGTTTGGCTAATGGGTATCCAGAATAGCTACACCATGGAGGCATCAATGGGTGGTTCAAAGTTAGGTTCAAGAAGTGGAACACATTTTTCAGCTCAAGATTATGAACAAATTGGCAAGGCTTTCTGTGAAACATTGATTGATTTTTCTGATGATGATCCAATCAAGGTAGGTTTTTTTTTTAATTATCATCTTAATCAGAATCTAATGATCTAGATGATGGGAATGATTTTATTATTTTATAGGAAAAATTACGAAATAAAATATTATTGAGATTAATCAAAGAAGGATCGAGTGCTGATGAACCAACTAATATAAATCTAACAGACTACTCAAGGTATACTAGACTAGAACTAAAATTGTATAATATAAAAATTAATCAATTCAATGAGAAGTTAATAAATTGATTTATTTTTTGTAAAAATCCTAGTGATGAAGGAGATTATTCAGAGTCATCAACAGAAGAAGAAAAACAAAAGAATAAAAATTTTGAATTCATTGATGATCAGTCACAATTTTTAAACGTTCCTCCACCATCTCCAGAGTTCTCTAAAGCTCAAAATGTCAGTAATATTAAAAAACTAAGATCAAAAGCTATGATTAGAGAAGCTTATCGAATTAAACGAAAGTATTTGGTAAGATTTGATATTATTATTTATACCCTGAGAAATTATTTTATTAAATAACAATATTAATAGAATCGTCGAGCAATGGATTTACCATCAACAGATCCAGGAAGTGACATGTGTTGTGATTTAACCGACTCAGCGGATGAGTTAAACCAAAACATTCAACTAAAGGAAATAAGTGGTGGAGTTGAAAAAGAAGAGAACAAAAAGAGTTATAGAATAGAATCACTACCGGTACTCAAACCACAAACTTTGCCATTTGGTGAAGATCTGACAGCTAAATCACCCAGTAAAAATTCATCAAGACAACGAAATGCTCCACCCATTAGGTTGGTACCTTTGCTATTAGTTTATTATGAATTAATATTTAAAAAAAAAAAAATTATTCTGCAGATTTATGAGACATTTATCACCAGTCATACCAAGAAGTCAAGAAACTCAAATGAAACTTATTAGTCTGAAGCAACAGATTTGGTCAACTGGAGTCCTAATAGATGGTGATGATAATGATGATGAAGAGTCAAACTATCCAGAGCTAGCATTAATTGATCATCGAAAAAATGAATCATTGCTCAAGTAAGTCATTCTCCATTATTTAATATCAATTATTTTCAAAAAAAAAAAAATCAACCCAACTATTCCAGACTGTGTTCGAAGAAATTAAAAGCACTAGAATACACTAGCAAATTGGAGATACGTAAGCTGAAGAAGACTAATCCTAAGAAATCAGTGAAGATTAATTCTGAAATAGAAGATGTGAAAAAATCAGCAAGAAAAAAACGTACGAATATAAAGAAGGATAAATTAACAACAAATATTAACTCACCAGAGAATATGATAACGATAAATCATGGTAATACTGAAGAATTAAATTCACTAAAATTATTTGGTGTATTAAAGCTACCAAAAGCTCAACCAAAGCCCAAAGATTCACGTAAGAAATTTCGTAAGAGTGGATTAGTGGCTAGTGCTGCTGTCCATGTGTCCAAGTTGAAGAAACAAAGCCTATCAGATAATTTTAATGAGAGTTCGAGTGGTGATGAGACTCAGATAGCTATGAAAAATAAAATAAATAAACAAAAACGAAATTTAAGTGGCAGACGTAAATTAAATGCATTTAGTGCTAATATATTGTTGAATAATAGTAAATAATTAGGATAAATAATTATGCAAAATAACACTGCCTTTTATTATGAATTAAAAAATTAGATATAATTTTAAATGTTCATTCAATTGATTGATGATTGAATTTAATTATGTTAATTGTTTTTACATACCTAAATATGTTTTATTAAATAATAATTAAGTAATTAATAGATTACTTAAATGATTTTGTTGTTAATCAAGATGATTATTAATAAATTTATATGTTAGATAATTATTCTTTAGTATTCATTTGTCCAATTGTTTATTATTTTGTGAATTGTGTTGATTTGTTTTAATGTGTTGTTTATTGCGTTGCCGGTTTACATTCCTTTAATATAACCTCACCACCATTGTTATCCATGAAATTGATTGCATAGAAAAGAAATAAAATGTCATATATTACCAGTAAAAAATAAAAATATTTATAATAGTTTGAAGGATTATTTTTTGTAATTATTATAACACTCTTATATAATTATAACAAGTAATATTTTGTTGAGAAAATTGCGAAATAAAAACAAAAATAAAAAGACGGTTTACACACGTCATTTGGGTATGTAAATGAAATTATTGACAATAGGGGGCAGTGTATGGGTTACCGACCGATCTTTGTTATCGACCGGAATTTATTTTTTTTACCGATAATAGGAAACAACCCACACTGCTAAAATTCGGAATAAAATTTTTTATAATTTATTGCAAATTATAAATAATTATTACTCAATTTTAGTTATTAATAGCCTATAATAAAGCAAGTCATATATTAAATTAAATAGTGCAAAAATTAGTCCACTAATAATACGATATTAGTTTGAAAAAAGAGATAATAAATGTTTAAGATTAAAAATTAAAATTGTTTTTTTTTTGGTAATTAAAAAATTCAAAGAAGAATAAAAATGCAACCGAGATGATTATTGTAGAAATTAGGAATAACAAAGAAAAAATTGTCAACCCTTCGATTAAAAATAAGATGGATAGAAAAAAGAAGAAGAATCAACAATATTCCAATGATAAGCAACACAAAGTAACGAACAATAAGACTATTTCAACTAGATTAAATAATTAATTATCTGGTAAAAATAAATAATTGTGTTTGATGATGATAATGGCTGAAAAAATTAATAAATATTTTAAAATAAATATCAAGTAATGTATAGTGGCTTAATGGGATTAACTTATAAACTAATTGATAATAATCCAATCCCAACATGCCAGAAAAATAATGTTCAAGATTGGATAACCATCAATCTCCTCTTCGGCTGATGCCATGATGACCTGTATCAATGCTTCAATATCCCTGACATGTATATGACCAATACAAGCAACTTGATCACAAGCCTGAAGAACACTTATTCTTTCAGGTCATGATACAAGGAGGATATTCAAGCCTCTCTAAGTCCAGTTGATGCGAAAAATTATTTTCTTAGCTAAAATAAAAGCAGAAGGCTTTTATTTCTTGGACTCAATCATTCTACATCCAAGAATGATCCTAACAACTTAAAAAAGACATTTACAGAGGTTCTTGAAAATTATCAGGCTCTCCAGGAAAATTATTCAGGCATTACTTCATCATGTTTACATCCACCTGAACTCTCTTCCTGGTATCTACCTAAACCCATCAGCTGGAGCCTGTCCCTACCTACTTAGAATAATCTCATTCACACCAGAAGATTCTACGTTACTTGGACAACTTCGCGGCCTACTTAACACCTATATCTGGGAAACGGAAAATAGCAAAAAGAAAATCAATTATTTCAACCGAGGTACCCGGGTACCAAACGATCATAACACACTCAAAAGAATAAACAATCATCCATATGCACATCAATCATCAACAACCTAGGATTGTTGATAGCTCATGATGCTGATGGAGATCATGATTCCCTTGGAGTCTTTTGAATCTGTGTTACAAGACTCGCCAGGAAGATCATGGTCTCAAATTATTTGTGTTGAAAATGATCCCACGATGATGCTGAAATTCCTAACAAAAAGGGACTACCCGGGCTAAATGACTCTAGTCTAATGACTCTAATTGTTGGGCAATAAGTTACCATATAATTGCGTGTGAAAAATGATGAAGTGATGAAAAGAACATTGATTTAAGTATTTAAATGAATGAAATTTTTATTTATTTTTAAGATAATTTTAGTAACTTATTGCGGGATTGACTCTAATTTTATCAACAGTGCATGCATGATACATAAAAAATTAAAACTGCCCTAGAAAAACCTGAAAACCCTTGGTGAGATATTCATTTAATCAACTAATCTTAATTTGTTGCTAAAAAATTCATAATTGTTGATTAAATTTATAACTCGTACCATCATCGATCCTCTTCCAGAGCAGGAGCTAATTGTTTAATCATTAAAAAAAAATTAAATTAATTTTAAAATAATTTTTAATTTATTGGTGCAATTTTTTGTAATCTATTAAACCATTAGTTTAGTTAAAATGAATGAATTAAATTAAAAAATTTTAATTGGCAATGAAAGCTCTGAAGAAGATAAAGGGAGCTAAAAAAACATCCAATGATGTCCCAAGCATTAACTAATTAATCATTTGTTTATAATTAATTGATTAATGGTCACTGTACATTACTTGAATGACCTTGGTAGCTAAAAAATACGACCGCATATCCTCGCGTCGTTTCGGACCTTTCGTCCCGACGTCATGAGGACCGGAAGGAAATTATTTTCTCACTCACCGATCTCCAGCGACGGAAGAAAAATCAGGAATTGGCTGACGAGAGTCGTGCGACGGATGAATCAGCCTTGGAGATGCTCTGATGATGATAGACTGCATCCATTGATCCAGTGATGGATGACAAAGTGCTCCAATGATGAGAAAGTAATTAGTCCAGCTGTAGAATAATTTTTTTTTTAATCCATCATTATGTTCAATAAAATAACGGAAGCTTTGTAAATTTATTTTTATTAATTATTGATTTTTTTTATTGTTGAATAAATTAAATTAAAAAAAAATTTCTTAATATTTTATATTTATGGGATTTCTCAATTCTTAGAATTTCGCATAAAAAAAAACTTTAAAATCCTTTATTTAGTTAAATTAAATTGAAAAATTATATAACTCAATTCTTGAAGGAGATATATTTTGAATATCTAACATAGAATGTTTCTCTTTAAGAAAAAAGAAAATTTTAAGCGCTTGTTTGTGCAAAATTCCAAGTATTGAAATACACTGTTGATTTCTAAGAATTCGCAAGGCTAGAGACTAAGTTATTAGACAACGAAGGTGATTCGTCGGTTGATCGGCGTCTCAGGGACGCGTGGACTTGTGACCAATCAGAGAAGCGGAATAATTAATAAGCGTGATTCTTATTGGCTGATTATTACCGCGTTCGCCTTGTGACGTCGTAATATTTAATTTCATGGAACTCGGTTTATTAATTTTAAAAAAGTGTAATTAATATAAAATTTAGATTAATATATAAAAAATAATCAATATTTACCGATAATTATCCATGACGCCATTACGTCGCCTCGCCATTATTCCGCAATGCTCCATTTTTTAATCCCAAAATTGGCACAAACACACTTCACAGCTTGACGTAAACACTTTATTTACACATTTTCACTATTTTACTCATTAATTTATTGCTTCATAATCACTTTTATCACATAAAAACCACTTAAAATATATTTAACCCATTCTCACTTTATTTTCGAATAAAAAACTTAACAAGCACACCTAATCACTCATAAAATGCTTAATTATTTATTAAAAATGAATAAAAGCCACTCACAATTAATTATTCACTTGATTATTAAATATATTCACACGTACTCTAATAAACATCCGAACACTTCGAGACTCCGCACTGCACTGAACATTCCCGGCAATTTTGTTCTACTCTTTTACCACGCCCTCTCTCCTGCGCAAAGAAAATGCGCATTAGTAACAATGCTCCAAAATAACAAACATTAATTTGAGAGCTAATTAATTGTTTAAAAAACAGTCAATTATGCTTCTTTATAACTAAGTGGTGTTCAAATTTGAATAATTATGATTCATCCCAGTAAATTAACAGTAACGCCAGCCATTTCGCGTCGATAGATTGCCTCCTGTTGGAAATGTAAGCAATTCTACCTGTTTATGTCACACTATACCATGTACTGACCTACCTCATTGTTTTCAAGTGATGATATTATTCAATTTAATTTTTAAACGTAAACAAAAAAATTATGCAATAATAAATAAATAATAAAAAAGAACAAAATGTATAAGCATTGACTCTGATTTATTTATTAATCTAACTTTAAACATTTTAAATAATTATTACATTTATAATCTAGTCATCTACATGTTTTTTAATTAATCCACCTATAAAATTATAAATATTGTGAACCACATCACCGACAATAGTTTTCAAAGTTTTCGGTCGCTGTACAATCACATCATCAGTACCATCTGTATTTCTTTTAACTACTATCACTGTCACAGGATCAGTTGAATGAATTTTTCTCATAGTTTTAGATATTTTTTTTATCAAATTATCATCTCTTATCAGAGTTGTAGGCTTGGTAGTGGTCATATCTCCAGTAGAAACAGTCGTAAAAGTTATGCTTGTGGTAACATCATCAGGAATAGCTGTAGAAGTAATTTCAGTCGCAGGATCAACAGGTGTAGAGGAAGTAACAGTGATATTGGTAGTAGCAGCTACAGTAGTAGTTTCTTCAATTGTTGTAGCTTCTGTAGAAGTGAAAGGAATTTTTGAAGTACCTCCACAATTATTTCCTGTTTTAGTAGTATCAGGAGCAGCAGTAGAAGCTTCTAAAGTCGTAAATGCCTCAGTTGTTGTTTCTACAGTGGTTGAAGCACTTGTTGGAGTACCTCCACAATTATTTCCTGTTTTAGTAGTATCAGGAGCAGCAGTAGAAGCTTCTAAAGTCGTAACTGCCTCAGTTGTTGTTTCTACAGTGGTTGAAGCACTTGTTGAAGTACCTCCACAATTATTTCCCGTTGTAGTAGCATCAGGAGCAGCAGTCGAAGCTTCTAAAGTCGTGACTGTCTCAGTTGTTGTTTCTACAGTGGTTGAAGCACTTGTTGGAGTACCTCCACAATTATTTCCCGTTGTAGTAGCATCAGGAGCAGCAGTAGAAGCTTCTGAAGTCGTAACTGCCTCAGTTGTTGTTTCTACAGTGGTTGAAGCACTTGTTGGAGTACCTCCACATTTAGTTATTAATTCAGTAGTTGTTGAAGCTCCTTCAGGCTTTTCAAAGACTCTCGGAAGGTTCCACATACATCTAGTATAATTCTCTCTTTCCCTACAAAAAATCCAACCATTAATCTTCCAATCAACCTTTATTCCTTCAACAAATGCCTACCTGATATGAGTAGAGATCCCATGAACTGCATGAGTGGACCAGTTCAATCCTCGCTGATGTAAATCTTGATGACTCTCAATCCTACTCATGATTCCTCCATAGCTAAATGGAGCCCACTCATATATATATTCACTGCCAAGGCTGTAATGTCATAAAAAATTACAACCAACATCGAAACTTTCATTTCTTATTAACTAAAACACCTGATAACTTACATGTGTCCTATTTCCTGTGCTGCTAGGAAGTAGTTCCCTCGGAAATGAGGATGACGAACAACTCCTGGGATCGGAGGATAAAGATCATCATCTACATTTTCACAGGTTCCACTGGCAAAAGATGTACCTGCATTAAATAAATTAATCAATCATTATTCTGATCAATAATCATTCCTTAAATAGCAAAGAAATATTTACCATAGTGTTCACAAACCCCATCAGCATCACAAAGTGGAAGACTGTAGGAAAAAATAATGATGATAATTAATCACTGAGTATTTAAGCTTGATTTAAAGTAATTAGGTCATCAGAAAGATCAAAATAGAAACCTACCCAGTCATTCCCATGACCATGTCATAATCTTTGGTGAGAAAGATGTCATTATACTTCCGGAAATGTCTGATTAAATGATCAAGAATTGGAACATAGCTGAGACATTCGTTGGAGTAGTACTCTTCTTCTATCTTACAGCTTGTCTTTTCAAAGTATGGTGATGATTTGGAATCCTAGAAAGGATAAGCTATCATTAGATAAATAAATTATCTTTTATATTATTTATTTTACAATTCAAAGGTCTAGAACTCACCTTTGGGATGACAATACCTGCGATGTTTAATTGAATACTTGGTGATGCGAACTGAGAGAACAGCATATCAACAGCATTGTAATAAACAATCATCTCTTTTATCACATCTCTAGCGGTTTTATTCCTAAAACAACACCATATATTTTTTTTATCAACATTTATTTATTATTTATGGCTTTTGGATACTCACTCGACTGACTTCCAATCCAAAGCTACCAAGATCTCTGGTATAATCTGCCTTCTTGTTGAATTTAAATTCATTGGCAGTTGGTTTGGAGTAGAATAATTATATTTTTTAACTTCTGCAACAAATAAATAGATAGAATAATTAGCTAATCATTAAAAAAAAAATTTTCAAGTGTAAAAATAGGTCTTACTTTCTGAAAAGCTTGCTGGAGATGGAAACGTGACATCAAGGAGGACATATAGATTCTCAAAGACATGCTGGATGACAGAATCTCCAATGAATCCTTCCTACAGACCAAGTCAAGCTGTTAGGATATTTATCATCAGCTAAACATTAAATAGTTGTATTAATAATTACCCATGTCCAATGAGTTTTATTTCCAAAAGCTACCAATGCCACTTTTTCTTGATAATTTTGGAACATTGCAAAATCAGGGAAGCCTTCAGGAACCTGTAAGTTTTATTAAATCATCAACAATAGTCTAGCAGTATTGAATATAATCAAGATAAAAAATAGAATAGTACATACTTGGTCAATGGTTGATTTTTGATAGCTGATGTCTCCAAAGCCTGTGTAAGTATTCTGTCCATACCAAACAGCTGTGGATTTGTCTGCTAGGATTTTACTGCGCTTGATGGTCACTGATGATCTTTCACCACTAAAACAAAATGTTAATAAAATTGATCTTGGTTCAGGACTACTTATAGTATCCTAGATAATTACCTTATCAGCTTAACTATTTCCAACATCATTTCGTCATCTTGGAAAGGATTGTTTCCTTTAACCAGATTCAATCGCACATCATCAAAGCCATCAACTGGAATGTATTTAGCAATGATTTAGAATTATTTTATAAATAAACTGAAACATTATAATTAATTAATACTCACCACTAAGTTCATTGATGTCTAGAAATGTGGACCAAATGCGATCTTCAGCTATTGGTAATGCTTTTAGTCCAACAAAAATAACAGAAAATGTTAGATAGATGAATAAAATATTGCTGATCATCTTGATGTGTTGTTTGATAGAAAAAAGGTTCTCGAATGAGGTTGAAATGCTCTGAACTTTTTATATCTCTTTCATTTCACCATCATCATTATCAGTTTCTAGCATTTTCAGACGTATTATCTGTTTGATTTACTTCAGTTCTAGGTCTCGAATAATCCCTTCTTTCACAATTGTCAGAAAATGAATCTTAATATTATTTTAAATTTAAATTAGAAATAATTTTACATTAATTAGTTACAAAAATTGTCATTATTTTTTCATGAAATAATAAATTAATTATAAAAGACAATAAATTGTAGGATAATTGATCATTAATTATTAATAAAAGGTTTATATACAAATAAAATCAAGGTTTATTAACGTAATTAGGTCAGTTGATCAATCTTGTGTTGACATAAGCTGAAATGGGATGTGTTGTTTAATTTTTTATACCTTGATGGCTTCATTACTTTCTTATTTCTTATCAATTCTTGTTAAAAAGAATTATAGAATAAAAACGATAACTCAAACTGTAATGATTACAATGTCAACAATAGTTTCCAAGGTTGCTGAGGATGAAAATTAATTTAATAATCGTATTTTTATTTAATAAAAAATAGAAAATCATTTTTTTTTAATGTTGAGCATTGTACAGACCAACCTGATGTTCTCTTTACATAATTAATGAATGTATGCTTCTTAAATTTTTGGTTTAATGATACGAGGTCTCTTCAACACTTTCTCTTTCATTTGATTTTCATTTTCTGATTCACTGTTTTCTGAAGCTTCTGTTGATTCCATTTTATTATTGACATCAGAATTATTTTCAGATGTTTGCCGATCAACATCTCCAGCATCTCTTTGGGGATCTTTTTCAGTCTCTAAATTATTTGTCACCAAATTCAATGTTTCACAGTCAAGCAGAGATTTATCAGCTTTCGTAGAATCATTTAAAGCAAACAGAACGATATTATTTTCATTAGATATTATTTGACTCTCTGACTCCAATGACACTTTAGTACTAACAACAGTTTTAGGTGATGGAATTAAAGATGCTTTGGGTATTGAATGTAAAATCTGTGTTTGAAATCTTGATGGATCTTCCTGACGACGCTGTTTGATGAATGTTTGTGCATGTACATACATATAATATAAGATTAGATTAGGACGTCGTTAAGGAGATATGCAAGGATTGGAAGTTAGCTGGAAAAATGATGAATCATATAAGTTATCCTTTATAAATTTATTATTTCCATATCATAAAAACTACAGTTTTGTTTATTTATTTAGAAATATGAATAAATATTAATGATTACGAATAAGGAGGGGAAAGATATGATTTGAAATAAACATTTAATAATCAACAATACATTTCTTTACGCAGAAATCAATTAATGTATTTAATAGTGTGGTGTCGGGTAGGTAGAAATTGGCAAGATGGTAATAGAATATGGTGTACATATTCATGTTGTTTCTTACAATTGTAGTTGTTGTTGATTAATTCCGTGCAGATATACATGCGAATAATATATAGATATATATGTATATTATTCAGAAGAAAGTGAATAATAAACTGCAACTCCAATAATCACAAGTCTTTTTTCAATGTATTGAGTGTATTACACATATTATCATTATAAATTTATTGTTCCGGTACATTTAAAATGGTAAGTAGCATTCATAACCTATTTTAATTCAATTTTCAGTAAACAGTAATGCATTTATTTCTACATTTGAATCAATCTTTGTGTATTTAGCTAAATTAATGTAACATTTCCAGTACTCTTTGATTCACAAAACTGAAAATGCCCATGAAGACAGCATCTGGACATGTGCATGGGGTCGTCCAAAGAAAAAAACATCGGAGCAAAATAATGACAATGAAGATTCAATGTAAGGAATTAAATCAAAACAATAATAAATCAATTAAGATGATAATAATCGATGTGTTGATAGAATTAATAATAATTATTCTAATTTTTCTAGGGACTCAATGAAATCTAACAGTGAGGAAATAAGTGAATACATAGTGACCGGTTCAGTTGATGACTACGTGAAGGTTTGGGAACAAAAGGAAGGAAGTTTGAAATTAAAACACAAGCTGTCAGGTCATTCACTTGGTGTTGTATCAGTTGCTATCAATTCTGATGGTACAAGTAAGTACTTCGGTATCTTTCGTTCATTGATTTATTGGAGACAATGATTGAAAAATAAATAATGTCCAGAATGTGCATCCAGTTCATTGGATTCAAGCTTGAGACTGTGGGATTTAGAGTCAGGAGAAAAGATATCTACCATTGAAGTAGGCCCAGTAGATATCTGGACAGTGGTATTCTCTCCTGATGATGAATTTATTGTGTCAGGAAGTCATGCTGGTAAAATTCATATGTATAGAACAGAAAGTTGTAAACAAGAACAAACGTTGGATACTAGAGCAGGAAAATTTACCCTGAGTGTTGCCTATGTAAATTGAATAATTAATTAATAATACAGATATTTCAAGTTTAAATAAACTAATTGGTTGTTAATTGTTCTAGAGTCCTAATGGAAAATATATCGCCAGTGGAGCTATTGATGGTATCATCAACATATTTGATGTAGCTTATGGAAAAGTATTACGTACTCTAGAAGGTTAAAAATATCATTACAATAAAAGCCATGAATTTTTGAAGATCAAATCAATAATAATAAATATTTTTTTGGTTTTATAGGACATGCTATGCCTATCCGATCTCTCTGCTTCTCACCAGACTCACAATTACTCTTGACTGCATCAGATGATGGTCACATGAAGCTTTATGACGTGTAAGAATAATATAAATTAATACTGTAGATGATTGTTTTTTATCTTTATTAGCAAACAATTTTTTATTGTACAGAAAAGATGCTAACGTTGTTGGAACACTGTCTGGACATGCATCTTGGGTTCTTGGGGTGGCATTTGGTCCAGATGGTCAGAAATTTGCTTCCAGTAGCTCCGATCATACAGTAAAAATATGGGAACTTGCCCAAAGACAGTGTTTACATACTTTTAATGAGCATAGTGATCAAGTAAGTTAGGAATAAAAAACAAATATTAGGCTGGTGCATAAATCTTTGCAAAAGGTGGAGATTTTTAAAGTCATAAAAACTTCTACTATTTTTTTTTCATAAATCTGTCATGAAACGAAACATTTTAAGAAGAGAATCATGAAGATTCATTGATATTTCGATTTTTAATGCTCAAAAAACCAAGTGACAGTATCTTCAAACAATGACTTTTGCGACACCCTAATATTTGCTCCGACATTTCTCCTACCTGGCTAAAAAATATTGACCAATAAAATTATTTGTATTTTGTCAGTTGTAATGAGATGTTTGCTTTTAGGTTTGGGCAGTCAAGTATCATCCTGAAAAGAATAACTTAGTTGTATCAGTTTCAGAAGATAAGTCAATCAATTTATACGAACATCCACAGTAATAAAACATTTATCATAAATACAAAACAAAAAGGTAATAAGTCAATCATTGTTCCTTTAAATTATTATTTTTGTATTCGATTTTATAAACTAAATATTACTTTTGTACATCACCACAAAAGTTGACATTCTTTTCTTAAACTATATGAATGTGATGATAAATAAATAATCATGGTTTATTAATTTAAAAAATCTTTTGATATATTTCAATGATGATTATTAACCACTGAAGACTACTGAAATGATAATAAATATGAATGGTATACAAACTATTGGCTTTTAAATATTTTATTTAATAATTTAAAAGTATACTTTATAAAAATGTAGCATTCATTAGCTAAAGTAATTCCAAACAATTTACAAATAGAAATTTTTCCATTTATCTATACATAAATCAAAGAATAATTAATCATTTTTATTACTAAAAAAGATTTTGTTTTACTTGGAGATATAAAATAAAAAATGATTGATATTTTTATTTAAAATATATTATTTATTGTTAATAAGCTTTTATATGAAGAGTAAAAGGTAAGTATTATTTTTTTTTTATTATTATGAATAAAATACTCAAGGGGAGTATTTTTAATTTTTACTCACATGTAAATGATTAGTCTCTTTTCAAAACGAAATACGCCGAGAATAGATTTGTTATTCTAAAACTCTACTTGAATGCATTGCGCCAATCACGAAATAAATAAAATAAAGAATGAATTTTATTTATTACTTTTCTAATTTTTTTTAACTGTAATTAATCAAGCTATGGATAAAAAATATTTCTTAACTATTTAGATTGTTTATTTATAAAAAAGAAAAAATTAATAAAATAAAACATGCATTTAAAAATATTTCTGAATAATTATATTAATTATTTACAATATAAAATAAATAAAAACAAGCTATTTTTTTCCTCAATGTATTGTTTTATACAACGGTCGTTGTTTTAAATATTATTTACATGTAGAAATCCCTTTATTAAATGCATTTACTCAATTTAAATAAATTACAATATAAGAATAAGCTTTAAGTATGAATTATTTATCATTTTTTTGTTTGTTCTAATTATTTCTTACTTTTTTTTTAAGCAAAAAAAAAAAAATTCAATAAAATATCAATGTTGATTTATCATTTTATTTTCTCAAAAAAATTAAATAAGATAAGTTATTTAATGATAAATTAGTAACAAAGAATAATACTTAATCGTATTAAGTATAATTAAATTAATAAAAATTATGGTAATGTCTTAAAAATGATTTTTATGCGGTCATTACTTGATGTGAAGCAGTAATATCACCACTTTCATTGGTTTTTATAGCATTCGGTGTTGATAGCTTTGATCTTGAAGAATAATTAATAGTTGGTATTTGAATATTATCAGTATTACCTGGAGAATCAACACTAATAAAAGACCCAAGTCGAGAGATACGTTTTATTTGATTATTCTGTGATGTTTCTGTATGATCTTTCCTCATCACCACTGTTCTATTATCAAACTTTTCATTGACTTTGGAGCTAGAACATCTAACTGGTATCTTACATGGAACATCACCTGTACTTGAACCAGTCAAGTCACAAGAATCTTGATCTATTCCTTGACAATCAGCATCAACATCAGTTGTTATACCATTGAATGTTGAACTACGGAATAGTCGTGTTGGTGAATGACTCACTGTTTTAGTTCCACTAGATAATTCAGCTGCTCCAGTATCACTTTGTTCTGACTTACACTTCTGAAATCGTTTATTCCTATTTTCATCAACCTTCTTCCACAACGTTGCGACTTTACTCGTCGTCTCCTTGGTCAATTTTTTAGTTAATTCAGAGCTTGATGCTACAATGCTTGAATTACTATTAGACCTTTGTCCAAGATTGATTGGTTTCTTCGGTATTTTAGTATTAGTATTGATGTTGCTTGATAATATTTTACTTTCTGTACCAGAATATCTTTTATTCACTACTGTGCTAGGTCCTTTAGGACTTGCTATTCGTTCAGCACTAACACATTTAGTTAATTTCGACTGCTGAGGTCCAGTTTTAGCAGCAATTTTTGATTTAGTTGATGAAATTTTTGTCATCGATCCACGCACAGGTTTAGCTATCTTTGATTTACTTGGTGATGCTGGAACAACACTCGGTACATTCTCCATTTCCGGCTCGTCTTTGGTAAAAGTATTTTGCCTTTCCAGAGGCTTTGGCACTTGAGTGCTTTGATGTCCAGATGATCCATTGTCCGCAGAGCTATTTAAATTTTTAGCCGATTTGTTAGCAAGACTTGTTGATGATTTTCTTTGTGGAATTGAACTTCTTTTATTCACTGTCATATTCTTGACCGTCGATGATATTTTCTGAGTGACTCCAGACTTTGTTTGATAATCATTCATCACATTTTGTTTGAGTGTTGATGCTCTAGTATTTCGAACCATCGGCGAGACACTTGTACGTCCACCAGAGATGTTTATATGAGCAGATGTAGCAGGTGTTGATGATACTTTTTTATTTGGATTTGAATACAAAGCCTTTCTACGTCCTCTGATAGCCTTAGGACTATTTGATGGTGATTTTTCTTCACAATTATCCTCACCAGCTTCTTGAATTTTTGGTTTAATGATACGAGGTCTCTTCAATACTTTCTCTTTAATTTGATTTTCATTTTCTGATTCACTGTTTTCTGAAGCTTCTGTTGATTCCATTTTATTATTGACATCAGAATTATTTTCAGATGTTTGCCGATCAACATCTCCAGCATCTCTTTGGGGATCTTTTTCAGTCTCTAAATTATTTGTCACCAAATTCAATGTTTCACAGTCAAGCAGAGATTTATCAGCTTTCGTAGAATCATTTAAAGCAAACAGAACGATATTATTTTCATTAGATATTATTTGACTCTCTGACTCCAATGACACTTTAGTACTAACAACGGTTTTAGGTGATGGAATTAAAGATGCTTTGGGTATTGAATGTAAAATCTGTGTTTGAAATCTTGATGGATCTTCCTGACGACGTTGTTTTGGAGTTAATTTAGTACGATTTATTTGCGTTTCAAATTTATCTTTCTTCGCACCATCATTTCCTTCTTTTTTAATCAACTTTGCTGCTATTGTATAAGTCCTGTACCTCTCTTTAGCCAGTTGTCTTCGTTGTTTTGGAGTTACTTGTTGCTTTTTGGGAATCTTCTTCGGTGTTGACTCTGCTGAACTGCTGTACTCTGTTGATATCGGTGTAGCAGCATCATCAGTATCATTATCATTGACATCCTGGTCCGTTGTATTTTTATCAACATTTGTTTCATCTATTTGAAGTTGATTATCAATACAAAGAGTATCACTGTATAGGGTTTCAGTATTGGCATCCATTGTAGTATCATCTATTTCACTAATCACATTAAATAACGAGGGTGGATTTATGTTTTCAAGGTATTCATTGTGACTATTGTTGGAAGAGCCTAGATGTTTGCTAGGAGTTTTATTAACGTCATGAATCAATGAACTTCCAGAGTTGGGATTTTTACTATCTGCTATCTCAGATACAATACTTGCAACACTTAACATACTGTTCTCCATATCTCCATTGTCTAGAATTTCATCCATCATTGAAGGTGGCTTGACATTCTCCAGCTGTGAAACATTACCAATACTAGTGTCGTTTAATAAATTTTCTAGACTTCCTGTATGTACATACTCCTTGACTAGTGATCGTTTAGCAGCGATACTCACTGGAAGAGACTTTTTTCTGCCATGGTTATCAAAAATCCTAGATTTCAACAATGTTGGAGGAAGAGACGTTGAATTGCGTTGATCATCGCCATTTTCTGTCCCCACAAAACTCATGGTCAATGATAGAATGCTGTTCATTAGTGATGGAGGTTTAATATCATCAAGATCTTGAGTGTTCTGATTAACATTAAACTCATTAGTCATTGCTTCAGCTACTTTGAGAGCCTCTGCTTCAATTATTTCAGCAGCTGCTGTATTAGACTCTTCCATAATTGTGTCTTTATTGATATTAGAAAAAACTTCAACCATTTCTTCTTGGGTATCACTCTTAAATGACGCTATTAATGGTACACTCATGCTGATTGTTGGAAACGATGAATCATTTGGAGAATCTTCATTCCATGAATCACTGTGAAGACTTTGCTTCATTGTTATTGATTCTTTTTCACGCATTGCTTCAGTCTGTTGAACTAGAGTTGCTGTTAAACGGTCTAGTGATGCTATCATTGCATCTGGATCACGCTGGCGTCTATATTTTTCTGTCTGATTATCAGCTTCTTCGGTATTATTTACTGGATTTTCTGGTTTAATACATAACTCTAGTAAAACTTGCTCTGATTTATCAACAGAATTAAACGATTCTGTACTCACAGGTTGGGATAGGATTCCTTGACTAGATTTTAATTTATCTTCAACATTATCATCAACAATATTCATCGTTATTTTATTTACAGATGGTGGTTTAGTTGATGTTAAATCATTCTGATTTTTTGAATTTTTATTCTCATCATCCATTGACTCTAAATGATAACAATTATCATTATTTTCTTCATGCAAATTATCATCATCAGAAATATTTCTTCTAAATGATTGCATATGTCGATTATTTTGCATACCAATATGAATACAAGCTGCTAATAAGTCTTCATCATCATCATCACCATCACTAGCTATTGATTCAGTCAGGCTTTCTAATTCTATTATACCATTTTGTTTCTTTATTACTTTCTGTTCAATTGAATACGGTTCATTGATTATTTTCGTCTCACTATTGATCGCTAAGTTAATATTAGTTATATTGGAGTCAATATTAATTGATGATTTCAGATTATCTGGTTTTTTTATATTCAAAGAATCAAGTTGATTTTGAGCTAACTTCTTATAACTCTCCAGCACTTTTTTATTGGATTTACCTTTCAAAAAATATTGAATATCATCATTGGATTTATTTTTATTTAGCTCTAATTTACCTTGTTTCATTTTATCATACTGCAGGTCTGACTGTGATGTTGCACGAGATGGATTCAATGAAGTATCATGTGGTGTACCTTCAGTGTAATAAGTTTTTACAGTATCTTCTATGGGTTGTTCATTTTCTAATAAATATTCCAGTCTTGGTTTTTCATCTTCATCCAAATTGCGTTCAGCATAGCGTAAACTATAATTAGTTGGCTCATCAAGATCAGTCTCAGCATAATTACCAAAAGGATCACTTTCCAGCTTGTGATTTGATGCATGTAAGAAACGTGATTTATCTAACAATTTTGTAGATTCATTAAAAACAATTGAATCAGTTGATGATCGTGCTGATGAATTTTTATAATTAGTTAATTTATGTCCAAATGTTTCGTAATCATTAGAATTTTTATTAGCTATTGATTCGGTTGATTCTGCTAGTGATAATTTATCTTTAACTGATGATTGTAATAAAGAACAAGATGATTTTTGATCATCAGCAATTGCCCATGATATCGTTGAAGTGATAGATTTCATGTTGCGATCATTGACATCAATTTCCATGAGCTGTAACTGCTCAGGTATGACATTTTTATAATGAAGAGCATATCGTTTTTCTGTTTGACTCGATACCCCGTATGCATTGAAACTAACAGCAGAATGTAATGATAAAGATTGTTGTTTAGATTGTAATTCATTTGGTGTAAGCTCATTAGATGCGTATCTATTGACTCGTTCGAATATCGTATCTGAATGAGTGCTGGTGACTGAACGCATCGATTCCTTGCTTTCACTTCGAGATACTCCATTTGTTTTTGGTAAAACTTCCTGGTTATTATGATTCTGATAAGTTTTTCTTTGAAGTGTAAGATCTTCATAATTGGAATCAATTTTAAATGAGAATTTATCTTCCTTATTAGTTGGAGATGTACTAGGTTCAATGTTATCACATGTTTCCGACAGATTTTGATCAATTTCTTGCTCCAGTGCACGCTGACGTCGTACCGCAAGTGAAGGTAGAGTTGGTAAGCCCAAACATCTTGCAGTTGAATCCAAATGTACCAAGTTACTACCATATGGCCGAGCATTAAGGAGGTTTTTCAATGCTGCTGATGAACCCATTGATATCATTTTATGTTTTGAATGTACTAGACTTCGTAGCATTGGTACGGCTCCAAGATCCCAGAGGAGACGTTGATCATGTGGACAACGAGCTGATAAATTCCAAAGAGTACCACAAGCATTACTAACAACAGTTAAACTTGGTGATCTTAATTGTCTCAGAAGAACTTGCAAACAACCACGTTCCCTTACAATAGCACGATAGTCTTCTCTCAAAGCAATGTGACTTGATACATTCCTAAGAATTCCTCCAGCATTTTCTACAATCGACAAGGTCTTAGATGGAGCTTTATAACTTAGCATATCAACGAGAAATGCTAGTGCTCCTTCAACAGCACAAATATCAACTTTATTAGTGCTACAGTGTGCTGATAAATTCCATAAAGCTGATAGAATTGACTTGAGTGTTGATTCCTTTCTACCTTCCATTGCTGCTCTCATCAAAGCCGTCACCGCACCAACTTCCCTAAGAGTCTGCTTGCTACTACTATCAGCACGCCATGATAAATTACGCAACACACTAGCTGTAACTTGACGTAAATCATCACTCGAACTTCTCAATTGTGATACCAAGGCTTTCATGAATTCACGAAAAGAACAGAGCAGTGCTTTATTATTCCCATCGCCAAATGTTAGATTAGTCAATGCCATTCCAGCGTATCTACGTAAAGTTATACAACTCTGATCATCAGAATCACTCCCGTGTACCGCGTGATCCATTTCAATAAGCTCTGTTACAGCATGTAGTCCACCAAGTTGGCACATGGCATGTCGATGTGCTTCATCAAAAGATAGTTTCATCAAAGCTGCTATGGTAGGACCAGGATGTCTTTCAAGATCATCTAAAGGCCGTTCTGATTTCAATGATATCCGTAACATCTGACAATAATCTCTTATCTGTTCTAGCAGTCTCAACACCCGTGCTTCACGTCTTCCTATTTTTTCATCACTTCTTGCATGAACTACATTATGTAAAGCACGTGTTGCACGCTCTCGTGTCTCAGGGTTTTGTCCATTTGCATGAATTAATTGAATTAATAGTGGTAGACAACCAGATTGTCGCATTATTAAACAACTGTCGATTGAATTGCTCATTGCTAAGAGAGTTGCACTCATATCTTCCCGTCCATCTGTACTTCCTAGCATTCCTAGAAGACTATAGACAACATCCACTTTAGCTCCTAGACGTCGTTGGCCATGTCTACCATCTAGACATCCATTTTCTCCATAGTTCACTATACTTGCCATTTCCTTTAATTAAATAACAATTGCTTAGATCACCATGGCAAAATTAATATTCATTTTTTAAATATAATTAAGTGCTTTTATTACTTACATTGTAACTTGTCGATGAATTTTGTTGATCAGGATAATTAATTTGTTGACCAGTCCATGTATCACGTTTTACTGGCCACGTACTGTGCTGTGAAATCAAATTTTTGTAGGCTTCTGATGATTTATTGTGCTCATTCTCCTCGTTATTATCATTTTCAACGCAATATCTATTGGTCCTAGCATAATGCTGAAAGATAATTCAAGATATTTAAAATTATATTGATCATAGTTCAATGATGATGATCAAGAAATAAATATTATCTCCAACAAATTAAGCTGGATGATTTTGAATTTCTCGTGATAATAAAACAGTTGATTTTAAATAAAGAAAAAAGGTCGAGAGTAAGAAAATCAATACATGAGATTGGACGTCGTTTCACAGCTACTGAATGGTATGCGCAAAAACACTTTTTTTCGCATTCAACTACTCATCTAGTCTCTCAACAAAAATTCTTCATATTTGTAACTAATAATTATAATAATGTTTTTAAGAATCAGATAATAATGTAGCTGTCATTGAAGATGATTGCTGATAAAAGTTGATTTATTTATTCATAAATGACTAAGACATACCCCAGGATTTAGTGAATTACATTTAGCTTGACTTGTTTTAATTGGCTCCATAACATAATATTTAAATAGTTTTAAAATGATATTTTTAATATTATTTTTGACACATTGTATTATTGATATACGTTCATGAATCACCCTTGTTAAATATGATTAACTATTAAAAATGTGTAATGCGACATGATGCGACACTACACACAACAGCTCGATAGTAAAACTGCAGTGAACTGAACAGAACTGATACGATATATGTAGTAGAGAGATTGGCGTTGGAGAGAAAGTCGCTTCTCTAGCCAGGGGCGGACATTTTCGTCATCATCAACTAGAAGCACTGGGCCCCCTAATCTTTAGATTTCTATCAGCACACAACAGTACCGGAAATAAATGCTGTGTGATTTTCTATAGGAGGGTATAGGGAAATCGCATGTATAACCTTCAAAAAATTAAACAGCATTCATGTCCGGTACTGTACATACATATATAATTACATTTGTATTAAATTGTACTAGTCACGTGATATTCACATATTTGTATAGTATGTTTCAATGTACATTACGTTATATTCAAATTGGAAGTTAAATTTTTGATTATTTTTGACCATTGAAATTACAAAAATAACATGAATGGTCAATGTTCCATTTGCTGTGCAATTTTTCAATCTTCTGACGAATTATGTTCACCCCTTTGTGGACATGTGTTTCATTTTTCGTGTCTTTTTCAGTGGCTTGAAAGGTATTGTTTATGTTTTATTATATCTAACCTATGGCAACATTGAACAAAATATTATTTATTTCCTTGTATAAAAAAGGTGTTGTTAATAATTAAATATTTATTTTAGATCAAAAACATGTCCACAGTGCCGGCAAAAAACCAACTGCAGCCAAGTACATCGTCTTTATATCCAAACTGGCAAGAATTTAACCCAAAGTGAAGATTCAGCAGTACTTCAAGAAAGGCTGGATAACCTGGAGTTTAAGATGAAATTGAAGGAGACTGATCTTAATCATTATAAAAATGAATCACAGAAATTGAAAAAACAAGCTGTAGAATTGAGAAAAGAGGTACATAAATTAGAATCTGAAATAAATTTAAGAAAAAATCATATAGCAGCACTACAAGAGCAGAATAAATATCTAAAAGATATTAGTGTTGAGAATGAAACATTAAAAAATGATAACTCACGGCTTAAGAAACAATTAAAAGACATAGAAGAGTGAGTATATTAATTTGTTGAATGATTATTTCCTTATGAAAGAATTTTTTACATGTTTATGTTTTTATTTTAGTGTAAAAAATATTTTAACAGCAAGCAACGATGAAGTTAACGAAATGATTGACTCAACAAATGATCGTCGCAAATTAGGGGTATACATCAGTGTTCTTAAACGGTAAAATATTTATTTAAAAATAGAATATCGTTTAATATTTATATCTTATCTTTATACTTATCAATTTATTTCAGTGAATTGACATTGGCTAATTCAATACGAAAAGAGTATCGTGATAAAATAAAACAATTAAAGAGTCAATTAAATAAGTATGAAACAGAAAAAGTGTAAGTATTATGATGACAATAAATTAATAATAATGATAATAAAATTAATTTATGATATTTAATTACAGAGCTGGTTTAATAGAGCAAGAAAATCCAAATAAACATAAAGAAATTGAAATCCCAATAGTGAATCTTGATGATCCAATTGAATTGAATGAAAATACCTCTTCAACTCATTTGAAGGTTCACAATCTTCGTGATAAAGAAAAAAGAAAATTAACTGTACAGCAAAATTCATCAGTTAATCTTCCAGAGAATTCTATTCTAGCAAAGAAACGTCGTCTCCTTCGTGAACCATTGGTAATATTTTTTTTAAATCAATTTTCTTTTTCTTCTTTTATGTTTAATCATGATGATTTTAATTAATTTAATTGATTACAGACAAGTAAATTAACAAATACGGAATCCTCCTACAAAGCCAATGGTCTCGGAGGCTTTTCAAAAATTGAGCACTTTCCAATAGCTACAGGTAAAGTTAAAAAATAATCAGAAACTTCCAAAGATTTTTTATAAAAAATTCTACGACTTCGAATTAGATATACTAATTTAAAACAAACATTAGAAAAGACATTTTTTTGTTTGTAATCATTAATATTTATATCATTTTTTTTCTAATTAATAAAAATTTAAAATTATTTCCTTAAATTATACCGAATCTTGAGTATTGTCTTCTTCAAGCTTTTCTTTTTCAACGCAGTCATCATTTTGTACCTCTGCCTCAGGACTTTGTACATTATCATCAATCATCAGATCTTCATCATCTAGTGATATTGTTTGTTGTTTCACTGGTTTTAATCTACCTTGATTATCATCCTTCTTCGTGACATCAACATCTTCAATAATAAGTTGAATATTTGATTCAATAGGACTAGGTAATTTCTGATCAACTTGATTCTGCATTTCTTCAACTTTAACTTCTTTAATAGCAAAAGCTGAAGGTCCATCTTCTTCAGACTTTGATTTCTGCATTTGCCAGGCTTTTTTAAAAGGATGTTCCTGTTCTTGTTCAACTAATTTAGGTCTCTCTGGAAGAAGATATTCTGGATCTTCCTCACTTGGTTGACTTTTAACTATTGATTCTCGTTTGAATAATTTCCCGGGAATAGTAGAAATATTATCATTGCTAATACTATCATTATTATTAAATTGATTTCGATTTTCTACATTAGAAATACTTGATGTTTTATCTTGAATGATTTCTTTATTATAATCAGCATCAGTTCGACTGTAAAAATCATCATCAGTTTCCTGAGATGATCCTAGAAGTGCCCGTGGTCCACGGCTCACAGTCCAAGCATCCATCACTCTACTACCAGTTGGACCTTTCAATAAAGCTATCTTTCCTTCTGCTGATGATCTTCTAATTAAATCTGGCTCATCAGTATCAGACTTGTCTTGCTCCGATGTCATCTTCTCAACGAATCTCCTTCGTCTGATTCTCAATTCTTGTTCCCAATCTTCCTCATCTGAGACTCTAGGTCTCTCTATTGGCCTCCTTGGGCTTCTTTTTCGATGCAACGGTTCGTCTTCACTTTCTGACGATATAAAATTAACTGGAACCTTCCTGAGATTCCTTGGAGATACATCAGATGAACCGAACATTCGAGGTTCAGATATCCGTGAATATAACTGATCTCTTTTATCACCAAGACTTGGTGTTGTTTCTCTAATTCTAGATCCTAAATGAGTATCTAGCATCCTAGGAGTGCTTTTACTTCGTCGTTTCTCTCGATTCATCATTGAATTATGATAATCCTCCGTCATTTGTTCCCATTTTTTAACCTTCTCGTAAGTATTAAGCTCTGCATCCAAGTCATCATTGCTTTCAAACTTTTCGTAATACCTTGGGTTCCAACTCTGCTCATTATCTATTTCAGAACCTTTAGAATGATCTTTTGAATGTTTAGAATCCGTCTCATCAGCTGTTGATGTTTTGATGACCTTCGTTGACTCCATTAAAACATTTTTAACTTCTTGAATTGGAATATCAAAGAATAGAGTTAAAATAATTGATATAACAATGACTGTTAGTGCTTCATAAGGATCAATAATTTTATAAACTTGAAATTCAGTTGAGTAACGAGTTGATGCAGCATTATAAAAGAACACTGCAAACTGAGTTAGATAAACTGAATAGGAGATTCTGCTGAATACAACGAGCCAATAGTTGGACAAGCATCGATTAATAGTACCTAAAATGATTATAAATTTTTTTAATTGGTTTGTTGATGGAATAATTCTATTTTCATTTTAATTACCTCCATAGCCAGTGAAACAGGCAAATATTAACCAACAAAGTGCCAAAGCCCAGGCAACTGGACCAATAACAGCATAGTGTGCAGCATCTTCTGCATTATAAACATAATTGCGAGATGATGCATTCCAAGGCCAGAATAAAGCCCATGTGAATAATAAAATTGTTATAATCCAAGCTATTGCTATAAATATCTGTAAAAACATTCCATTCAATTATTTAACTTGTCATTAGATTAATTACAATGTTTTTATACTTACTTTATAGATATTTAATTTCTTCCCAGTATGATGTAAAAGTACTCCAAGTCCAATGCCAAATAAATAAGGTGTCACTCGATGAATTGATACTGCATAAGTGAGATTGGCAGTTTTATAAAGATGTTTTATTCTTGAAATAATTAAACATTTATTTATTCTTTATTGTATTGAAAAAATAAAAGTTTTTGTCACATCAGTGCGGAAAATTGAAGTTTTTCTTCCTGTCTCGGTGAACGAAAGTGACGTTTTTTTTCTAACCCCAAAATAGAAACTTCAACTTTCCGCATTGATTCTGACAAAAAAAAAGGATACACAGGTTGGAAAAGAAGTGAATTATCACAGACCATGTGTTTTTCTACACGGTATGAAAAGACTCACTTTTCTCCCACGGTGCGTAATATGCTAATTATTTATCAGACACTTACGAAATCCCATGGAATATTACTAATGACAAGTAATTATTGATGGTAGCAAAATAACGAAGAGTTGCTGATACTTGGAGTAGAAAAAATATCAAAATTATTCCAATGATTGGTTTATTTTGTAGAAAAAATACTAAAACTGGTGCCAATAGTGAAAGCTGCATGTCAATAGCTAGATGATGAGTATGTGTAGCACACTGTAAATATTAAACAATAATTATTTTATTTCAAGAATGCTTTTAAAGTAAATATTATTTTCATACCATTTCCTCAAAGGGAAAAAAATTTTGAATGTATAATAAATTAGTCCATGCATTGTTTTTACACAAATCAGCATTCGTTTTCATAATACTGTTCCATTGTGGACCGGAGCCAAAGTGTTCCATAATAAATGCATACCAAAATATTATGATCAGTAATGCAGGTGTGAGACTGAAATACAGAGTCATTTAATATTGAATTTAATTTCATAACTTGAAGTAAAAGACCCAGTACTTGATAACTATACTCTAACGTAGCTAGATAAATGATAACATCATCAAAAAAAATTTTATTAACAGTTTTATATTTATTTATATATTAATTTAGATGCTGATATTTAATCAAGTAATGACAATTCACTTAAAAATATTTATTAAACTGACAAGAAAATTTTAATGAAGGGTTTTATACATTATTATATCATGACTTAATGTTGATCAGCATCTAGACCTTGACTAAGTATAGGATCTCTTACTTTACAACTGTTTAAATAAAATAATAATAATCATTACCGTATATATCTTGCTATTAATCGACAAAACCATCTAATTTCACCATTTTTAGCATACTCTTTGGCCATGCTATGAGAAATAAGAACTCCACTGATTAGAAGAAAGGAATCAGTATAGACTACAGCAACTCTTAGAACTGATGTGACTGGATGATTAGCTAACTAAAATTAAAAAAAAAATATTATTTACAATATCTTGGAGTCAGGTTTTTTTTTCGTTATTTTTATGACCGAATGAATAGAGGCTATTTTGTAGCAAATGATCTTTCAAACATTCTACATTTCCTCATTATTTCAAAAACGTTAATTGTTGATGGGTAACGTGCGATTCAAACAAATTCGTCTTACAAATGTGCATTGTTGCTAATATCTATTATTAGACGGTGTCTATGAATTTCAGTAAAGTCATCGAGTAATCGACTAATGAAAAGTTCTTCATGTAGACACACCAATTTTTTAAATCATCATTGAAGTTTGAATAAACTTACCTCAGTAAGGGCTTCCCTATTAGTGTAAGGAAGTCCAGTAATCGAAATGATCTTATGACCAACATAAAGTATAATAGTTGCAATAGATCTTATTCCATGGATACATGTTATCTCATCTGAATCAACATCAACTGGTTTGAAAAGAGCTTTAGTTGTTTTCTTCAATGAGAATGACATGATAATTCTCTCGGAATAATTCTCTAGAATATTATTCAATATTTGATGAACATCAATGATTCATTAGTTTTGGTGTTGGTTAATCAAAATGAATTCTACTTACGTTTGTCTTTATTTGTTATGATAAAATCTCGAAATGTTGCAACGATAACCAGACAAACAATCATAGCATAAAAATACCTAGATGAATATTATTATTTAAATTAATATAAATTTATTATTGATAGATGTTAATTACTTACAAAACTCCAATAGTCTCCTTGGAATAATTTTGAACTTTATGTTTAACATAACAATTAGATTCATTGACGTTGATCGTAAATTTCAATCCACTGATATTACCTAGATGACTTAGCGAATTCTCCATGGTATTTTTTGCATCAACTTCAGTGCAGGCAGCAGGAATACAAAGTCCCCAGTTGACTGTTGTAAATTTAGGTATAAAATGACCTGGCTAAACACATTATTTATTTAACAATTAAATAATTAAATAATAATTAATGTTGAATAAAAATATAGACTTACATCATTCATAGTTCCTTTAACAAAGCCACGACTCTGCATCAAGTTGAGAGGAATTTTCATGTTTGTTTCTAAACTTTGGATATCTATATTTACTAAACAATATTTTCCCTGTATCTTCAAGGTGCTATCTGGCATTTTAACGTGAGCAATAACGCCAAGACACTCATCAAAGTCACCCAATTGATTAATATTTCCTCTCAATAAGCCAGATGGTATTTTACCACTTGAATCCAACACTGAAATTGAAAACTAAAGAGATTTTGTCTGACTTTGAATATTTTTATCATTCCAAAAGATATTTTGAATTTCTTTTGTTTAGATTTTATCTATAAATATAACTTACTTTGTAATGCCCATAATTTATAACCACGTAATTGTCGTAGAAATATTTTCCCATGCTGTTGACAGATAGTGTTCTCCACTGCTGTAAAGTTTGGTACGAAATTTGGCAGTTGAAGTATTTCATCATTGAACTCACTTAGGGATACTGATGGTGTTGCTTTCTTTTTTACTGCTTTTTTATTCTCTAAAGTAATCATCAACATTGCTATCAATATTTATTTATTGTTTTGATTTATTAAAAATGTATAGCTGGTACTTACTTGAATTAGACTTGGACTTTTCTTTAGTCTCTTTACCACTCGTTTTCTTCATTTCGTTAGGTTCTTTCTTCTTAACAACTTTCTGTTGATCGGTCGTTATCTTCTTCGCTTTTGTATTCGTTTTTATTTCCTCCTTTACTGGTTCCTTTTGAACCTGCTTAACAATTCTAGGTTCTTCTAATTTTTTAGCTTTTACCATTTTATCATTTTCCACCTTTTTCTCCACTTTCTGGGAAATATTTGCTTGAGATTTTTCTTCTATCAATTTTTTCTTGTCTTTGTCTGCTAGGTGGACCTTTTCGAACTTTCGTAATATTTTCTTCTCTTTAACTTCCTTCTCATCAACAGGGTCATCTTGTTCAACAATTTTCACAGGTGTTGGATTGATGATAGGCTTCTTCAATTTGCTATCATCAGCTGGCTTTCTTTTTTTTTTTGTCTAATTCTAGTTTGGGTGATGGTAGTTGACTCTCTTTATCTGGTTTATCAGCTAATTCTTGGCTCATGTCTTTTTTATCTTCTGAATCATCATCATCATTTTCTATGATGATATCTTGCTCATCTGATTCTTCATCATCATCAACATCAGTTTGGATTTCTTTACTTTTAATTTTACTGTTGCTTCCATCATCTTCATCATCTTCATCATCATCATCATCATCATCATCATCATCATCATCATCACCACAATCATCATCATCATCTTCATCATCATCATCTTCATTATCATCATTATCATCGTCTTCATCATTTTTATCATCATCATTAACACCATTAATTAGTACTTTAGCTGTTGTCAAAATTTTATTCCTCTTCAACAGATTAACTTCACTTTTCCAATCCCTTTTATGATCTTTAATCCTATCATCATCGTAATATTTTTCAGCTTTTATCTTATCAGCAATCTTTATTCCAACACCAAACCTTTCACGATTAGCATCACCGCGTTTTTTTGACAGGGTCAAGATACCCTGGCCATCATCAATCGAACACCTGCCTCCAATTTTATCAGCACTAGTACAATCTCGACTTTCGACAGTCCCAACTTGACTGACATCACGAATTCGAAATCCATAACTGACACATAAAAAAATAATTAAAACACCAGGAAGTAAATAAAGAGATTTGCCCATCAGGGCGATTGCCATTTTGAAGATTTACATTGAATTAATTGAGAATTTTAGAGAAATAATTAATATTTTAGATGATTTTTTTTTTTTTTAATAAATAAAATATCCCTAAAACCAGAAAAAAAATACTCGTTATTAGTCAGTTCTCTTTTTGAAAAGAAAAAGTATAATCACTCTTAAAAGCACATACAATTACGAGACAACGTATGGGTCGCTACTGAAAAGCATCTTACCCTGCCGCTAAATTAAACCATGTGGCATCATCCCAACAGCTACGAGTTTTATTTAGCATCAACATTTCTACAATCCTCTCACGTTTCTCATCTATCGTTCATTCGGATTTTTTTTAGAATTTTAAATATTTTTAAATAGTAAAAATATCCTTTTACACCTAAAAAAAAAAATGTTACAACTCTTTTAACTTAACTGTTTCTCAACATAATCAATTAGTCCAGTAGCATTAATTTTAAGCTCTAAAATAAAAAATTGTTGTAGTGATTAATGACTAGAGTAAAATAATTATTACTATTTTTTATCGAGTGTCAAGGTAATTTTGTTGCTTAAAAATCATCTTAAAAAATTGAAAAATAGAATAAAAACCTTTATTAAAGAAACTGAAGTTTATTCCATGTCAGGTGGTCGATCAAATTGTTTATAATAATTTTTAACCATCAAAGTAAAATTTGACGAAAAAAAGCTCTAGGAATTTTCTTCTATATAATTAAATAGCAGTATTACTTTTCCAAAATGCAAACTTTCTAATATATTTATTTAAATAAATGCAATAAGTAAGTCAAAGAACAGGATCATATTTTTTCTAGCTATACCATGGATCCAATAGTCATCTTGATGATGTCTGCGATAGATTTGGCGTGGGTTTTGATAAGTTAAGCAATAAAAAATTTCATCAAACAATCCCATACTAATTATTCTGATACATTTTCATCATACAAATGCTCTAAATCATCTTTCTTCTTTTCATTTTGTTCTTTAAATTTTTTCCAAACCTCCTGATGTTCCAGAAAGTCATCAGGATCCATCATCAATGTCAGATTGAACGAGCGAATGGTTTTCAATCCAAGAGTAACATTAGGTCTCTTTTGATTAATTCTGATATACAATTCATAAAATGTCTTATTAATAGTATCATTTTTACAAGACAGAAGAATTATATTCGACTCATCACGAGTTATTGATTTAGGATCTTCAAGATAATCCAAGTTAAACTTCAATTCTCGACTTAGAATAATATTTTTCAACTTAGGATACAACAGATCATACAGTGGTTTAATTTTCATCACAGTTATCACGTGACTTTGACACTTTGTATTGATGGTAATTGGAGTATCTTGAGAAATCATCTCTAGATGTTTTAATTGCAATTTAAATAATTCAGTAGAACGTAAATTGGTCAATAGAGTCAATATAGATGCAATAATAGTATCAATAACTCGACGTGATTCAATCTTTCGTGGTTCCACTGTTGTAAAATTAGCTACATATTTAATAATTGTTGTCAACATCTGTTTGATTCCATGATGCAGATCCAGACGATCATCAATAACTGTCTTACGATTCTTACGTGGAAATCCTAGCTTACTAGCACTAGTACTTAGTGCTGGATTTATTCTCTTCATTGTTGAATAAATACTGTTGATATAGGCATTTGATAATTCTTTATCTGGTCGACCGGATTTCTTCAACAAGTGCAGTGCCTCTGATACTGTTTTATCTGTCAATGATAGTGGATCAATGTTAAGTTGCCTTAGCTTGGCAAAGTGAGTTGTTTGGGTTTCAATAGTCATGTCACGATATGAAGGCACCTTGACTGGTTTAACTTGGTAGGTTTTTGATAACTCATCTCGGTAATTAAATGGTCTATATTCAGAATCAAATCCTTCCACAACTGTCATAATGTTTTTTTTTAATTTTTATCGATTTAATATCATACCACTAATTATAGTTAATTAATTTTTTTTTTCTGCATTTAATAGTTATTTAGCACTGATGAATTATCTCGTTGATGAACTCATTGCTCATTTTCACACAATTTGTATCTATACAGTGCCATGGTGCGTGTTAGGAATGGCTTTTCAATTATGCACTTGTTGATTTTATACTCTGTGTAGAGGTATGAATCTTCAGTTAGTAAACAGAGGATTAAAATGTATATAAATGTCGTCATTATGACTAAACTTGTTGCTGCATCGAACATTTTCTAATAATTGAGTAATCGGTTGATCAAAATATCTGGATGATATTACGTCAGATGAACAAGATAATATTTGTACGTCTAATAAAAATGATGAGAGAGAGAGAAATTAATGATATGCTTAGGCTTCTATATTACTCAGTTGTGCAATAAAAATATTTAAATTTATTGAGAAACTTCATTTTTATTGATTTATTTTATTACATTCTGAAAGGTATTTACATGAAAAAATATTTAACTGGTTGATATATAAATTAAAATTGTAATAAATAATTTATTTAAATAATAAATGATTTAAAAAATAAAATGCATTCCTTTATTATTTAAAATTTTACTAAATAATTTAAGATATTATTTTATTTATAGCACACAGATGGATACATTTTATTTTGTTTATTGTTTTTTTTTTTTATAAATTAAGGTGAAAAAACAAGAGAGTGATTTTCTGGATGTCTTCTTAATAATTTATGACATCACATTTCTTAAATAATATTTTATTTATTTTCTAAATTATTATATATAAAAATTTCCCGTAGAAAATCATGTGTTTGTACTATTTTGAATAGAATAAAAATGATTACACCTAATTACTTACAGCCTTGATTGATCATATAAACTATCACGTTTTGCTGGAACTCTTGGAAGTTCTAGTGTTACTTGGCCATTATCGTCAGTAAATGTTTTATTATCATGACCATCATTATTTTCTTTAGTATTATTCTTTAATGGTTCATTGATAAATAACATGGCTAATAAAAACATAAATGAACCTAAAAAAAATATATAAAAAAATTATCACTGTTTTATTAAATAAAAACTTTTAGCTTAAAATTATCTTACTAATTCCATAAAATCCAGCATAATAAATATAGAGACTCTCTCTAAACCCAATGACTTTTCTTGTTGGTTCAACTAAAATTGGTAAATTACCACCAATATTGTTCATAACAAATAAAAATACTCCAATAGTCGTTGATCTCATGCTTAACGGAACTATTTCTACCATGACAGCAAAGACAATTCCAAACCACATTTCAGCTGAAAGAGAATAATTATTTAAGACATTTTTGAAAAATTCATTAAAATGATAAAAGTATAAATTAATTATCTTACCAAAAAAGTATGATATTCCTAAAGTAATCATAGCCCAAAGAGGATTAAAATACACAGATCCAAATGAAAAAGGCGTAGCTACCAATTGACTAATAGCAAGAACAGCAACACGTGATCTTATTCCTAATTTCGCCACGAACTTATCACTAATTATACCACCAGCAACCACTCCAATACTTCCTACGACAATTGTAACAGCAAAAAGCCACCATCCTAGATCATAATCTGGGAAATAATCTCTATAGTATAAATCACAGTTATATGCAAAACACATTCCACCTGAAACAACAAATAAAAAAGATCATCATACTTTAGCACAATGTTACATGACTCTTTAATAAATAATAAATGACATTAAATCTTACCGCAATGCCTTATACTAGCAGCTAAACACAACAAAATGACTCTAGGCTGGAATAAAACTTTCCACGTGGATGGTTTTGTTTCATTACTAGCATTCATTGTTTCTTCTCCAATAGATTTTCTTTCAGGTTCAACTAGGGTAAATGCTGTTAAAACAGTTATTATCAATCCAATAATCCCAGCACCATAATAACAGACTCTCCATCCCTTGAAAATCATTTTAAAATGACAAAATTGTTAAATTGACTATGAAGAATTATATAGAAAAATTTTTAACGGATAAATCTTTCGATTCATTATCAAATATTATTGAATACTTACCAAGTCCCATGCATTTAACTGAGTTATGTAACGACCAACTGGAAATGCTATACCATATCCACCATAAATGCCCCAATTAAAAATCGACATCACCAATCCACGTTGATCTTCTTCAAATAAATCAGACATAAGACCTGTTGCCAGTGGATTACAACCTGCTTCTCTGTCAATTTATAAATAATAACTATTAAATGCATTATTATTACAATCTAACAACACTTAACATTTAAATGTAATCTATTATATAATATAAAATAATTACATTTTGACATTGATCATAAGATAGTAGCTAAATGATTGATATTGTCTAACTAATCTAACTAATTTTTTAAAATAAATATTGATATAAATTAGTTATATTTATATACAATATATGATAATTATTGACTTTTTATATTGTTTATACTCATCTAATTAATGACTATTATTTTATTATAGTTCTTAGAATAAAATAATTGATGGGCAATTATGTATGACTAGACTTAACAATTTAACGATGCAATACATCATTGAATTTATCGTAGAACATTACTCAACACGTCACACAGTGTCTTAATTACTTATCAGTATTTCAATCATTTTGCTACTTGAATAAGTCTGCTAATTATGTATCACATAAAATTTCTATTTCATTTATTTATTTATCCTTTCCATAATTATATTTGAATAAATGATCTCCAACTTACCCAGCAGCTAGGATCATACGAAGAACAACCAGTTGCCAGTATTCTTTAACTGAACCCATTAAAATAATTGCTATGCTAAATATTAATGTGCATACCGTTAACATTCTCACTCTGAAAAAAAATAATTAAAATAATAAATTAAATGTTGGAATAAAATTAATTATATTATATAGTTAACTTACCGATGATATTTATCAGCAGCAATACCTAGTATGACTCCGACTACAGTGAACACTGCGATAAAACTTGGACCAGCTAGTATTTGATAATCCAATCCCAGTCCATTATAATTCCATTCACAGTATTTTGTTCCATTCAGTTCTAATGATAAACAACTAATCAAAACTATTAGGTAATTAATGGTTTTAAAGGACAGAGATGTTGATTAAATAAATCATTGAACCATTAAGATAACAATAGCGACAATGATCAATGGTCTTGAGAGATTGTTTGAACTTACTGAGTAGAATTAATTGCACTTTCACATGATTCTGGTAGCTCATATGACATGTATTCTGTTGAATTCAACTGACAAGAAATATCACCATAATGCAAGTCAATGGCAGTTGCTTTACTTGTTACACCTAAAATGATATTTTAAATATTAATTATATTTAATCAATTGTGTTATTAACTTCTCATGAGGAAGTTATTGTAATTCGTAATTTTATCAAATTTTTTAAATTGCTAATTATTCAACTCACCTATTAGATAATGTCCTAATTCACCTACTATGTAACCAATTGACAAAATAGCTAGTACATAAGGTTTATAAAGAAGCTTCAACTTCTCAGTTATATTGGCAAACATAATGATTTACCTGTAAATTATTACAACAATTATTTATTTATTTCCAATTTTGTTCCTATTATAGAAATATCCATCTCTAATCTTAATCATATGTACTAGAGTGCTCGGTAATTACTTATAAAAGAAATTTCTTAGCTTTTTATAGAACATTATCAGATCTAAAATAATAGGCCTTTTTAAAAAGACATTAATTCGAATTTAAATCATTCTTCCATGACTTTTATTTCCACTGGATATATCTTTCTATGTCTTTATGGTAGACTAATTCTATTGTTTACATTGTTTAATTAACAATAATAACACAGTATTAAAAATATCTATGTAATCTTTAAAAAAAAATTCAAATAAATTAAACAAAAATACTATCAATTAATTTTACACTTGAATAATATACTGAAAGGAAAACAACTATTTTTTTCTTCGTAGAAATGATTTGACTTGAGTACAAATACTTCCTACATTTTTTAGAAATATCAATTCAACTAATTAAGATTCATTTTTTTTTTTGTACATAATTAATAAAAATATCATCAATAAAATTATTATATAAAACAATACAAAGATAATAAGATTGAAAGAAGAAAAAAATAATTTAACAATTAATAATTCGCACAATCATTCAATATTATTATAAATATAATGATCTGATGATTGTTTTAATATTATTCCCAAGGCTATATTAAGAAGACTAATACAATAAAGGTAGTGATACAACTTATTTCCTTTCACTTTTAATGCATTCACCAGAACATTAGTTCATATTCTTAAATTAATAAACAGCTCTACATTACAAATATATTTGGAAATATTCACATATTATTCACATTCATAACTCAGTTACAGAGAGTCTACCATATTCTCTTTTAAAATAACACTCAACATTTTTTCTTCCTATCCCTTTGATATTATTTCAATTTTATTGTTCATTAATTAACAATAAAAATTTTTAAATTATTAAAAGTAATTAAACTAATAATAACATCTTGGAATCACATAAAATGATATTACTCTTGATATCATATAATTATTCTTATATGTAAATTATCGAATGCTAATCAAATGTTACGTGATATTTCATAAATATTGATAGTTTTAAACATACATATACGTATTTGTTAATAATTGAATTTCTAATCATTCTTTAAATTCATTCAAATCAGAGTAATCATAAAAAAATAAATTAAATAAGAAGGAAATAAATCTCATCTGAAGATTCATCAACATTTGAATACAATCTTGGCATTATTTTTTGTCTTATAGAATGCTTTGATTCATTATTACAATCAATGATCAAGTTTATTATTAATAAGATACTTAGATTTTATGAAAAATTAAAAGATGAATGCGATTGAAAAAAAATTTAAGTATGTTTAGTACATCCATATAAATCTTAAGATATGTCATACGTAGACTGCCTTGAGCTAAAATCATTGAAATGGAACTTAAATTATTATAGTAATATTAATTTATTATTATAATTATTATTAAGGTACGAATTATATTTTTTTCTTCTTTTTTTTTCTTAAACTTATTATTATGTATCTTCTTCTTGTCACGACGCATTATATAATTAAATTGTCAAGTTATTTAATGATGAACTCGTCGAATAATCATTTCCCTTCATTCACATTGCACTTATGAACTTGGATACTTTGTAACAATAATTATTTAAAATAAAAAAATATTCAATGACAATCTTCAATAAATTTTAAATGTCATTCTATTTACTTATAGGTTAATTTAAAAAAATGTGTTTTAAAAATATTTTTAGTATTAACTGCCATTATTATGGTTAGGTATTTGTTAAATTATCCTGGATAGTTACCAGGAAGTGTGTAAAAAAATATCAGGAAATAATAATTATATAAAAAGTAAATATGATCGTAATGAAGGTTATAATATCATTTGAAGAATTTATATTAACATTATATTGCAATTAATTAATTAATTGCTAATTATCCAAGGTTTTTTGGAGCTTTTTATCAGCTGAATTTCATTGGTAATTGAAGAATTAATAGAAGTGAATCATTTATTTTGTAAATTGATATTAATTTTATCATTAAAATCACCAACTTAACCAATAAATTAATTTATTTAAAAGAATTTACATAAATTTATTTTTTATTGTGACAAGAAGTGTTGTCTAAATTAGATCATAAAATCGATTGTCTAACAACTTGAAAGATGCGAAATTAATTCGATACCAATCGATATATCGAATTTTTTGACAACACTCAATTGAATATGCCTCCCCTGATTGTTATCACTCGAATCATCTTCAAATGAGATCAGTTATTGATATTAAAAAAAAGAATAACTAAAATAAATTACTCACAAGGTAGTTGTGTTTAGCCAATAAAAAAAACCGTCAACTATTTTTTAATATAAAAATTAGAGGTTCAAAATTTTGAAATTAAAACATCCAGATTAGATGAAATTTTTCCGACTGTTGAGGGATGGAAATGAACAGAATGGGTTTCATATTCAGAAACAAGTATTATTTATAAGAAAACTTCAAGGTTCAGTACTTTCTATTTGTGCACCACTAAGTTGAATAGAGTGGGAGGTAAATCAAGGAGTACTTAAACAATGTGGTTGAAGTTCTGGAAATGTAGATACGACCTTTCGACTTTCAAGGCTACTCTACACGTGATGATATTATTTGTATTACTCTTTGTGAACTTCCGGCTTTAAATGCGGAAACTTTTGCTTTATTTTGATAATTTTTTTTAGGGAATCCTTCTATTTTAATATAACCAAATTACTATTGTGATTTCATTACTCTACACTGAGATAAAAAATTTTCGCTATACAAAAAGATATTCATTTTTTTAGAATAGAATATTTAATGGATTTCCATTCATAAACATTTTTTTAACTTTCTAGTTATTTTTTTATAACTATTTTTTTTTATAACAAAAAGACTGTAAAATAAGTTGAGTAAAAAAGACTCAAAAGATTTTCTCAGTGTAGTTATCAACATAACGAAATATTAAAACAAGTCAAGATTATTCATTAATTATTTTTAATAATACAAAAGAAAGTATTAATTATTTAATTATCTATCATAATACATCATTCCTTTCTAAAGCTTTCTAAATGTCTAAACCTGATGACTTTATCAAACCTTTAATATTCTTCGCTCGATTAGATTATCTTGTCTAATATCTAAATCATCCCAAAAATAATTAACTCAAATTTTCAACATTTTCCTCATTTCAAAACTAATTAAATAGGATTCTATTAAAACACAATAATTTCTATTTTTATCAAGTCGTATTATCGAAAAATAATTTACAACATTAGTCAGAAAATGAATGGATTATTTATTTTTTGGAATTACTGCAATATTTATGAATAAAGAAAATATTTTTTAAATTATTTAAATGCCAGGTATTTATAAAAATGTAATAAATATTTCAAACAAAATATATCATCCACTTGTTGTGAATATTATTATTATTATTCATAACAATATCCCGGATAATACATTTTTATTCAAATCTATTCTACGCACTCTCTGTAGCTATCGACCAGTTGATAACTATGACAGAAGTTGCTCCTTTCGTCTTCTTCTACATCAAATGTGTATTTGAATTACATTGGCTCAATAATCAAGTGAATATTGCTCATCAACATCAAGCAAACTTAAATAATACTAAACTAGATGAATAATTGCTTGCTGTTATCCAGTAATTAATTAAGAAGACATTTTATCAAAACCTATCTTAAGTCAGGTACGTATCATTGTTGTCATCCCAGTGAGATGAATAATCAGTGTTATTTTTGGACTATTTTCCAACGTAATAATCTAATCATTTTTAAGAATCTCCAGGGAGCTAGGATTTTCTATCCCTCATAGAGGTTTTTCATCTACCCAATTTCCTACATTGCCAGGTTGAAGATGACAGTTGGTTTATTTGTGTCTAATTTTTTACAATAATCTTATAACACTTGTGACTCCAAAAAATCTATTATGTGGTTTGTATTCAAGTGCTAGTAGTTTTAAAGTGTTTGTGAATTTTTTTAATAGTATAAATTTGACCAATGTCTTACTTGTACAGATTATCAAGCTACCAAGTGTCAATTATAGAGGTAAACATCGAAAAAAATTCAAAGTCCCTGTATTAATAATGGATCCTCAGTTGAATAATTAAGTGTCAAAAAAATCCAAAACCATCATGGGATCATTGCCAAATTTACATGAATTATCAAAAGGGAGACTCGACAGTTCGTTGTATCGACCTACACCAACAAGTAATATCACCCAAACAAAATTGCCTCCTCATCCAACACCGTTGGCACAGACCAACAGACGTGTTAGAAGCACTACCCATCATCATGCACTGTGGGATGACACCATGCTAGAGGTTGGTGATATTATTATGGTGTATTAAATATTGAATTAATGTTATTTAACATTCAACAGCACATGATGACATATTCACCAATCTCTTGTCAATCAGCAAGAGCATCAACATTGTCATGTCGTCGAAGAGAATCAATGACATCCTCAGCTGGGACATCATCAGTTAGGAAATTGATAGCAGCAGTCAGAGCTACACCATCAGGGCCAAGACTACCAAAGAAAGTTATTGCTAAACATTGTGCAGTGCTTTTTTTCGGTCACATGATCATCTCTGCAGTAATACTGCCCATCATGCCACTTCAGGCCGGATTTGGAGCCTTCAATCCAAGCCTAGGGCCACTTTTATTAACACTTTTATATGCCGTAGCTACTTTAACTTCTTGCTTTTCTCCAATGATCATTCAGAAATTTGGAATTAATCTTGTTATTAGTTTAAGTCATTTAATCACCACTATCTTTATCAGCACACATTTATTCCCTAAATGGTATATTTTATTACCAAGTTATGCATTGCTTGGCATCACCATCAGTCCAAGTTTTGTAGCTAGGATATTACATATTGATATCTGTGCTGCTAATCTCAGTATTATCAGTCCTGATTCAGAAGATTCGGATGAAAGTAGACGTGAATGTCTGCTGAGGAGACTTAACAGGGCTATGAAACTTGCTGAAGATCTTGGCTTGGCAATTGGTAAGTCCAAAATGATTTATGACCATGGCAATATTTACGTCAAGGCCAAGGTTAGGCACATGAGATTATTGTCTTCCTGATAAAACTACCAGTTACCATATATAGCTTGATGTTGATAATAATTTTTCAGGTTGTTTAATAGCAACGTTAATTATCACAATCATCAATCCAGTGCCACTAAGTCCAATTGAAAGTGATGTACAGTATACTTGTGGTGCTAAATATTGTCCTCAAGAGACCTTTTTATACAATGAAACATTATTTATGCCTTCAATCACTAGTGAAACGACTAAATTACTACTAAGTGTCTTATTGGGACTTTGTTTGCTAGCTTTTGGAATTTCATGCACATTCTTGGACTCAAGAATTAAAAAATCACAAACACTTGGTGATGGATCACGGAAAATAGCTCATTTAAAATCAATTAAAGCAAGCTTCCAGGATCCAAAACTTCAATTAGCTGCACCATTGACACTATTTATCGGTCTGGAGCAGGGGTTTATTTTCTGTGATTTTACTGAAGCTTTTGTTGGGTGTGCACTTGGTAATGCTGGCACTATCACCACGTGCTTCCTTAGCTTTGCATTATTACAGGCATTGGCTGGGGTCACATTATCAATGCTTATCAGACACATCCGACGTTATCTAGTTGTTGGTAAATATTCAAACTATTTTTATTATCAAAATAAAAACATAAAAAATTGAAATCCGTAATTTTGTCATCTTTTAGTTTTTTCTACTAATTACAATAACTTCTCAATAAAATATTTTATTTCAGCTGTGGGTTTTGCATTTCATGCTTGTTTACTTCTAACTCTAATCACCTGGAAGCCAGCTATTGATGATCCAGCATTGTTCAATGTCATTTCTGCTGCCTGGGGTGTCTGTAATGCCATCTGGGAAGCTCTCATTCTAAGTAATAGCTTATTTTAAACCACAATAATTAATTAAGTAATCAATTAATCAGTATAAATATTACATATTAATATAAATAATAATTTTTCAGCATTATTGCTGGGCTTATATCCTTGTACTTGGCAAGGACCACTGTCAACATCAATATTCTGGAAATGTCTTGGAATATTTCTTGCCCTTGGACTCCACGGACTCGTGTGTACACGATTCCGAGTATTTGGTCTCGCTGGAATGCTTGTATTATCAGCAATCCCATACGCTTGGCTTGAAATACGCTTATCAAAACGTGTCAAGTGTTTAGCACCTTTGTGATTTGAACATTCCAATGAAAAATGGTGTAAAGGATATTATAAAGTAAAAAAAGAATGAGTGAGATATGTTCCATCTAGCTTAATATGACAAAGACTACCGCATTCTTCTTTTCATCACCATTCTACTACTAAAAGAAATGTTCATAATGTTATCACACATTCAGCGAGCATTCATAACTGTGAAACGTCATTCAATAATTTTTAATCATCAAGAGAAAGGATTATTGAAGCTAGATGGAACAAGTTATTATGTTAATACAAATAAATATATAAGTCAAAAAGTAAGTAGTAATAGATAACTTTCTTTTATATATTTTATATATAAATATTAAATAAGATTCTAAATAATATAACTATCTTTCTTCCAATAATGTTAATTCATTTTTAAAGTAAGCAGTTATTTAAAAATTTCATACTACTCAAAGCTTTTACCACTGCCCAGTCTCTGTAACCGTTGTCTTGTTGAAATAAAATATTTCTAATAATTCAATTAATATCATAAAATAAAATAATATTAACTCCTGACAGACAAACAGGATGAAAAGTACCCACCCCAAATTCGTTTCGACTCCAATGTTATTTTTATCTATCTCAATTTAAATTAATCACTTCAATAATATATCTGTCTGATGCAGAATTGTTTGAACTTCAATTTGAAAGAAAAACATTTTTTTTTTAGCTACATTAAAGTCGAGATATTAGAATTTATATGGTACTAGGTACTTTTTACCCTCATTACCTAGAGAGGAAGTCTGTTAAGGATTTATGATCCAGGAAAAAAATGATCAGGACCAATCAGATTTGTATATTGGTTGGATCTAATTAGATTTGATGGATTAGATCTGCATAGATTTGATGAGAATATATTTTATCTGATCATTTTGTTGATCAAATCTGACCAGATTTAATCAGATTTTCTTAGATCTAAATATTGGCTAGATCCAATTAGATCTGATCATTTTTTCCGAGAATAGTTACTTATATTAAAAACTCAAAAAAAATTGTATAAATGTATAAAAGTCCAATTTTTTTTTATTACACTCAATACTTCAACAATTAAAAAAATGTATCAGCACATATCAATATACACTAGAGCAACAGAAAAAAGAATAAGAATAATAATATTATTGGAATTGATATTTAAAAATACAATATGTAAATTTAAAAAAAGAAAAAATGAAGAAATAAATAAATATTATATTTTAGAAACATGAAAATTATTTTAAAAATAATAATAACGTTATAATGATAAATTCACAAACACATTTTAATTTTAATTTGATTTAATTTTAGTTATTTAAATATGTTAATATAAATAGTTTATTGTCTCATTGCCACTGATTTGTAAATATTTTTATTTTTCTTACAGAAATTTATACAGGGGTATAATTGCCTTTTGGCCGATAAAACAATTGACCTGTTTTTAATCGCCTTAGTATTTCTGTCATCAACAATTTCTTTTCTTTTTTCACTTTTTTAAGAATTCCACTATTTTCATGAGCACGTCGTGATAAATAAGGTAAAACTTCTTTCACTGGACCATAAGGTATGTATTTATATACAGAGTAACCCGATTGACCTACAATGTAATGAAAATAAAAATAACACATTATAAATAATAGCAGTGTAAAGAAACTTTTATCAAGTGATAGAATTTTTTATCATTTTTACCTAACGGAAATGTCACATGGTCACACATTCCAAGTAATTGTCCAAAACATATCACTTTATCTTCTGGAGAAATACCGATTTCTTTCATTCTAAAAAATAATTAAAATATATAAATACTTGAAAATGAGTTTCTATTCAAAATAATTGTTATCTTAAAATTTTTAATTACTTTTTAATAGCAAATCGAACGGTATCTTCATTATGAGATGCCACCATGATAGCCAGTTTTTTCGGGTCTTCACCACGGTCTTTATACTGCTTCATTTTCTTCAAGCATTCCATGAAAGTGCGATGATAAGATTCAGTAGTAGCTTCATATGTTGGATTTGTTGGGTCTGGATAACCCATAGCTGCTGCTCTAGCTCGTTCCTTGATGAAATAATCATAATTATTATTATTATCTTCCCATTAGGAAGTTATTATAATGGAGTTGATTATTGAAATTCGTAAATTCAATAATTAACTATTTTAATTTATTTTTATATAAACCTGTTCTATGTAAGCTCCCCGAACGATTTTAGCACCAAAGTAAAAATTTTGCCGTTCAGCCTGCTCGAGATCAGATTTGACTTCATCAAAGGTATCCTTGAGATAAGTCTGGTAGGTGTTGAACACGACAGCCTAAGACAAAATATACACCACACGTTCATCATCTTCATTTTTCAGAGCTCTTCTTCACGAGATTATTTTTTATTTTATCATACTCTGCAATGATATAGTTAATAATAGTACAACAACATATTTAAATAAGCTCAAGTACCTTGTGTGTATTGTATTTTCGCATCATTTCTAATGTTAATCGTGATATCGCCGGTTGAAAGTATGTCTGTTCAGCATCTATCATTATACGTACACTCAATTTTTCAGCAATCTATAATTAAAATTCAATCATTGTTATAAATAACATTTATTTTAATTAATTCACCACTTTCACCTACCGTTGCAATGTTATTCAATCTTCTAATCATATTGCGAAACATTTCTTCTTCTTTACGTGTCAATTGCGTCATTAATCTAACCATTTTTCCCGTACGAATGTCCGGAACTTGAAATGTCTCACTTAATTCATAGTTTTCATCAATTATTCCACTCCATGGAAACAAATGGATTACTCTATTTAGAAGTTTAATATTTTATTAAATAAAATTTGAATAAAAAAAATAATTGTTCTATTGAATAAATCATTTACCCTTCTTTATCCGATTGAATTTTTTCTAAAAATTTCTTTACTGGTATGGCATCTTTAATTTGAACTTTTTCTAATTTCTTTTTTAAATCATCTGGTGATGTATGATGAGCTAGAACAGCCCCTTCACCACCAACGACATCAGTCATATATTGACGTGCTCGCATAATTACTTCTGATAGTTGAAGCTAAAATGATACGTTAATTTATTTTACCTTATTTAAGAATTTAATTATTTCTTTATTACTTTAATAATACTCACTAATAATTGTGGTCGTCCAAGAGCGGTTAATTTAATGGCAATAATACCCATACCATTTGAAGCTTCTGTAAAATTATTTCAAACAAATTAAATATTTTATTCTTTATATGTATTTAAATGTTTATTATTCATTACCTGAAACGGCTTCAATACATTTTATAAATATATCCATATTCCGTTCACACGAAGCCTCATTTAAGTAAAAATATGTCCTTGCTGATGACACCTTGTATCGACGATCAGCAAATGATTTTTCCACGTGATATTTCTTAATTGTGCCTTCCTTCCTTTCATCTCCAGCTTCAGAAATTGAAGCTCTAAATTCAAAAATTTTGATTACTTTGAATAAATATATTATTTTAATTTATTTAATAAAGAGAGAATAGATGGACACTGCCTTACTGCCTTACTGAAATGATAAATAAATTAAATTCTCCAACTTTATTAATACTCACTGCACTTCACGTCTTTCTGCTTCCTCCTGTGATATATCTTCTTCAACAGAATAATCAAGAATTGGTTTAACACCAAATTGTCGTAATCTATCTAAAGTCGGTCTAATACTAACTTCATCCTCTCCAGCAACAAAGTGTCCATAAAATGTTGACTTCATTAAATAGGTAAATATTTTCTCACCAAGGATATTTTGGGCCACCTTCATCAACTATATAAAAAAAAAAAATTATTTATCATTTAACGTAATCATTTATTACTTAATAATAAATCTCTTTCTCGGAAGTGTCAATAAAAAGTGAAAAAAAAAGCAAACTGATGACAATTCTAGAATAAAGATACCATTGTATCTGAATGCATACAAGATACTCTTATCAGTTTATCTATTTATGTTAACCTTGTCGTTACAAAACAATTATCTCAATAAAACTCGACCTTGACTGATAAAAATGTAAACAAAAGAGTTTTTATTTACCATAATATTTTGACTGCACATGTTATTTTTTTTTCTTTCATTGTAATTATCATAATTAAAAGATGAACAAAGCTAGCATCGATGCAAATGATCAATTAATTCCATAAATATAATTTAAATGTTTTACTAATTAATATTGCCACGTTATTCACTCTATTAGCATAAAAAGATTGACTTAATTACCTTGATTATATCAGATTAATTAATATTATTACAAAAACCAAAAATAAATTATCATTGAATTCTTGAAAGTGATATTATGATATCGAATTATCAGCTCATATTTCAGTCATAAATTACACTTTTATGATTGTTATTATTGACTCAAGTCTTATCGGACTTTTTACATATGCAGTTAATCCACGACATCATTGAATTTCTGAGAAATAATGTAATACTGATATAATAATTACCTTTAGGTTATTTTCAACAATATAATTGATAGAACAAAATTGAAAACAAATATATGCACGTAATAATTCTTTCATAGTTTTGCTTTTGAATGCTGCCACAGGATCATTAAATGTTAAATCCAACGGATCGATTTGTCTGCCCTGTACCGTTTTGGTATTATTGGTCGGTGTCATAGTCACCGTTGTTGATGATTCTTCATTCAATATTTTACTTGATTGTGATGCTGATCTTGATATATTATTAAAACCACTTGTTGTATTGACATAATTACTTTTAATATTTTGATGCTTATGACACTTTTTGACTAAACTATGACGTGTTATTAATCTTAAAAACGCCATTATTTACTTAATAATAATATATTATTGAAATATTTAATTATAAAATTATTTAATATGGCTTCTTTTTTTTATTCAAAAAATATAATGGCAATATTTGAGTTTATTTTAGTGATAAATAGTTAAAGAGTTTTATTTACTTTGAGAGACATGCGGTCGAACTATAAATTGAAACTAACGATGTTGTACAGGGTGAGTCGGTACTTATTCCCCCAGTTGAGTTACTTCAGGTGTTAAAAAAAAAAGTTCGTATATTGATATATAAATAGCGTATGTATGTGAGGGGATATTTTTGTATATGTAACAAGATGAATTACATAATTATGTAATTTTCATAAAGATGAAATTAAAATATTGCAAAATGGTACATTTTTGCATTAAATTTATCGTTATTAGTGACTATCGCGACATCTATAGAACTATCAAAAATATTTAAATTGTAGTGAAGTTAACTGCAGTAGCCATCTTTGATATTTAAATAGATTTCCGGAATTTAAAAAATTTTATTTAAATTTAAGTGAGGTTAAATACTCACTGAACTTTAATAGTAATCAACGTGATAATTAAACAGAAATAATTTATTACAATTAATCAATGCAATTAATTTGATAAAACAATTATCCTAATGTGAGTAAGAATATTTTAATAACTATTTATTGATTATTAATATACTAATATTCAATGATTTTTATAAAAACTTACATATTTACTTAAATATTTTACTGTTAACTTTTTATTGAAATAATTAATAATTTGTTTATCAAATACTTCAACTCTTTGTCTATTATTTTTATATATTAATTTATATTTAAAAAAAATATATTTTACAATAAACTACGAGTCTTTATTTTCTGAACACTTTTGATTGAGAATCTCATTTTGTCTCCGTTGAAGAACTTCAGCAGCCATTTGTTGAATAAAAGGATGATTTATTTTATCAGTTGTATTTGAAAAAAATTCTTCAAGTTCCCCAGGAATTTTGTCACGCCTCTCATATTCATAAGCTTGAGCAATCAAATCAAAACGGTCGAGGTCTTTCACATACTTTGCTTCTGGTGATTCTTGCAATTCGTATTCCTGTCAATTCCAAATACATTATTATATATAATAAAAACAAGGAAATATTTTAGCTGATAATTTTTTTTTAACATGTCAAGCATAACATAAATTATTAACTTTCTGAGTAGCTGATGGAATCTGCATGTAAACTAAAGAAAAGAATAGGCAGAAAAATATGACGGCTATACTTAATGTATTGCTTACAGACTTGAAGCAAGACAAGCAATTTCTTGCTGGACTCTTGTCCAGACTATCTTGGTCATCAACGCTATTGCCATTTATGGCCCATAAAATAATCATCTTTTGTATTACAAAACTTACTCTGAACAAATCCAGCAGTTCAGGCCCTTTGTTCCCCAGCAACTGGCATATATTCACCATGGCGTTATCTTCTAATTTATGTTTCTCTTCAACTGAAACACCACAATGAGGAGTAATATCTCCAACAATGCATTCAGCCAAGTCATGTATGAGAGCCATTTGCATTATCCTAGAAGAGAAAAAAATGTATAATTTCTTAGAAAGAAAATTTATTTAATAATAAAGAAGTATTGTCAAGTGCCTTACTTGGTTCGATTCAAATTTTCTGTCGAATCAACAAGAAATGAAAACATGGCCATTCGAAACATATGAGACGCCACAGTTTCTGGTTCGGAAATACCCTTCAAAACCCATCCAGTCCGTTTCAAGTGCTACAATAAAGTATTTTTATATTGTTTTTTTTATTTGTAAATAGTCTATTAATAAATTCCCTTCGGTTGAACAATATATCTGTGAAAGCATTGACCTAAATAAAACTTTCTAAATATTTTCTATGGCCATATTGTAATATAATAGATTTATAAATACTTTGTTAACAAATCTGAGTTTAAATAAATCAATGACTTTATTTTTATCAGTTTTTATTCGTAATTTGGGAAACTAGAAAATATGTAATAAAACAAAGTGTACTTACTTTCAAACGGCCAACTAATTCTACAAATTCTTGAAGTTTTTTGAAATCCATTTTTTGAGTATATATTTATCGAGTTAATAATGATTAAATTATTTATTTATTTATTAAAATATTATATTGATATGTCATTGACATGAATGTCAACAAAGATATAACCTCAAATTATTGATAGCTTTAAAAAAGTATCAACTTTTTAGGTTAAAAATCATTAATTTAAATTCACTAAACTTTGCATGAATACGAGAGTTATGTTAGATTGTATTTGTAATAAATAATTAATTAGTTAATAATAATCAAGTTCAAGCTCACGAGTGTTAATATTTAACAGTATCTTCTTCGAGTTCCGGAATGAGAATAAATACACAAGTTGATACCGCGTCCCTACTCTTCGGGTGTAGTTACTACAACAACCGTAAGTGTCGCACAAATTAATTGATCAATTGGATTTCCTACTGTATCGACAGACCTAAAGTAAGATTACTACTTTAACCTTTTTTCAAAATTCAAAATAATAAATTTTATCTCGAATAAATATTCGATAAAATAAAATATTTATTTACAAATAATAAAATACTTATGAAAATGTACAAATATTAAAATTTATTATTAATAAAAAAAATTAATATTTTTACTTAAATGACTTAATAATTTATTTTGAATATTAAATATAGGGGAGACTACGATTTCTGTAGCACCGTAATTTTTTTTTAAAACAAAATTTGTGTGGTAGATTGTTAACCGAGGGACCAAAGTATGATATTATCAACCACTTAAGTAAGGATAGAAAAGATCACTTTTTCTTTGCCTAAAAACAGGAAGCAAACTCGAACTTCCGTGGTGATGAGAAAAAATTTTTGTCTTATTTTGGGTTGTTTCAGTAAAATTCATTGTCATTTTACGGCAACAGGGAAACCGTAGTTCATGTTTTAAATACGTATAAAAATGTAAATAATATACAATTTTATATCGACTTAACCAGGATTTGTAATAGATGTAGAAGAGAGTGATTTATGAGTAAGAATACTCTCAATATTACGATGAATCCGTGCTATCTGTCCACGCTTATTTTTACTTGATGTTTCTCCCTCTTCGATATACAAGTTTCCCCCTGTTTCCGGCCATCCGGCCACCACCGGAGTCTCTCGTTTCCGGTCTGTAGACAAAGAATAGAATGAGTTAGTAAGTGAGTGGTGTCAATCGCTATTATTTATATAATTTCCTACATCTCCACTCCTACTAATAACATTAACTTAACATCATAATTAACATTTAATATTATAATCTCCAAACAATTGACCAGCTTAAAATTGAGACTTTAAAATTGTTAAATTGATAAATTGTTTTAAAAATAAATATCATTCAATCAATGTTAATATTTTTTTATAGAATTGCGAGTGCATATTTATTCTTATCAACGCAGTAGGATCAATGACGAATGAACAGAGAAATGACATAATCAGAATTAAAGTGGAGAAAGAGACAGAATAAAATTATTACACACATTATAAATCATAATATATAGTATAGAACAAAAGAGAGGCCAACTAGTTACTTGAACGAACATACATTTGTCATTAATTCGTATCACGAATCACGCGTAACCGTTTCTTCTCTTTCTCGAGGGCGTTCATTCAACACTCAACTGTTATTATTGGCCTCATATACACTCTCATAAATATCGTATAAGTCATAACATTCTTGCATTATTAACATTCCTTTTCTATATCCATCAACTTTAAATAATAAATTTTTATTGAGTTGTCATTATTGTAAAACAATCCTCATTGTTATTATCGTTAGTGCTTGTCGTTTTTATTATTCATTACTTGTCTGGCTGTAGCTGAATGAAACTAATTAGTAACTAGTTATTTTACTTTACGACATATTTCAGAACACTACTTTAGATTTTTTAAATTTTCACAATTTTGACACTCGATAAACAATGGTAATAATTTTTTTCGAGTGATAAAATTTTACATAAGTTATTCAGTGATTAATGAATCAATTATTTATATTACCTAATAATTTTTCCAAATAATGGCACCTCATTTCAGGATCTCCAGGATTTATTGGCGCTCCTGACGTTAATTCAGCTAATTCTGCTTTCACCATTAGATTTAATCGTGCCGAAATCTCCTCCAAGCCTGCTGTAATTTTAAAAAAAATGTGTTAATTTATTTATTTATTGAATAATTATCATAAATGAATAAATATAATATTTAATAAAATTAATTTATTTATATTTCATTGCGAATTTAATTTAAGTTTAATAATAAAAAATTATATTGATAGAATATTTAATTAACAAAAAGTATCACGTCGCATTTACACACGCAATTTACGATGAAATTTTATTCGTGCCAACGTTCTTTGGCATATTCACATTTTGCCATTTGCCGATTTATTCCCACGACAATACCGATCTACGTGATGTGATTTTTTGCATCATTTCACCTTTTGCATAAATAATTACATATCAACTTATTTTCATTAATGTTTACATTTAATTATTAAATTTTAAATTATTTTAAAAATCACATTACTTACTAGAGTTATAAAAAAAAAAAATATTAATTAAAAAAAGTTTATGATGAAATTAATGAAAAATATTCTTAATCAAAAGTGTTACACGAATTGTCAATATTCCAAACACAAACATCGACACACCTATCTCCGAATTCTTGATGATAAAATAAAATCAACATAATACTTTGTAATTATCAAATAAAATATCTATTTTCTTTCTGTTTTATTTTTTCTTTTTTTTCCTTTCAACTACAAAGACGCATCCGGATGCGGTAGGTCGAGTCAAGGTAACAAAAAATCCGTGATCTGGTGTTCAATGAAGATATTACTATCGTGAATCTTAATTTTAAAAAAAAATTATTTCTGATTTAATTTATTCTTTTTTTTCTTCATAGTAAAATAATAGTTTAGTTAATATGCAATCGTTTACTTACAAGTGATATTAAATTTTAATCCATACCATCATTATTAATATTTTTAAGTCAAATGAATTAATAATTAGTCAGTAAAAAAAAAACATCTCCCATAAGAAATGCATTGCTTCCATTCTGACTAGTAATGTCCCTTTCTCGCGCATGGTACTACCTATAGCGCTGTTTTACTTTGATGGATGGGAACAGAAAAATACGTAAAAAAAAATAGAAAAAACCGGAATCTTATTCCCACTTTTGAAGAATATTTTCCAGTTTTAAAATTAAAAATTGCTTTCATTACTAAAAAGTTGCTTGCAAAAAGAGTAAACGATTGCACATTGACTTGACTATCATATTAATGAAAAATATGAATTAATTAATTATTTATGCATTACCTGGTTCGAAATTTCTCTTCATTCGCCTCCATTGACGAACATACACCAACGCAGAACAGCCAGCGACCAAAAAAAAAACAATGCAGGCACACACAGCCAAAATTAAGGCTGTGGTTTGCCAGTCCCATTGTGAATATACGCTTTCATCCATAAAAGTGTCAGATATCTGAACATAAATACATAAAAATTCACTCAAACTCACTATTATTTATCATTCCAATGAAATTAAATAATAAAAAAAAAAAGAGATTTACCAAAATTGCTTTTTTAGCTACTATTTCTTCCTCTTCTTGATCACTTTCTTTCTGCTCTTCTTCAGCAGTCTGATTCTCGACCTTCAAATTGTTCTCTTGCTGTTTACTAGGCTCAGGATAATTTTCTACATCCGAAAACGACCAGAGCATTTTAGATTTACCCACATTGATTTGTTGATTCACATGGGTTTTGTTTTTTCCATCAAATGACCAATCAACTTCTAGTGTTGATGATGGACCACAAATGGCATCTTTGTTGCTAAGACAAGGATTTATGGTGAATTGTGGAGCACATTTAGTACATGTCACACATGTAGATTTGTCAGTCGACCAAAATTCCACACCAGGCTGACATATTGGAAACGATCCTGTCGATTTTGATAGATCCAATAACAAGACTCCTACTGCTAGGCTTGTTGTCAAAAGTCTGGACAGGAATGCCTTCAGCATCACCTTGGAAAGAAGATAAAAAAATATTAGCATGATATTATTTACAAACTAAACTAAAATAATCAAGGAATAATATTGTCAAAAGCATTGTTTGCAAAACTATTTAATTATAAATAAAAAAGAAATAAATGGCGATTTTAACTTAACCAATCAAAATTAATTATTTAATTAAAAATGGAAAAGAAGGGATGTTGATACTATTGATGTAATCCCAATTATTTTCTATTTTTAAATAAAATAATAATTCATTAATTATTTTAAATAATCATGCAAACAATCTTTCACTCTATTCTAGCTACTGCTTTAGGTGTCTAGATGTTTTGGATGTCTTTTTAATAATTAATGACATCACAACACTATATTTTTATTAATAAAATATTATTATAAAAGTGTGACCTTGATCGCAATGCATTGTTAATGAGATTTAAACAAAATGCATTGGTTGGCGTCTGTTACATCCGGTTTACCGGCTTATAATTGCAACTGTAGTTATAAATTGTAATTCATCAACCTCATACACACACTTTATCTTATTTATTAAATTACATTAACGATTATTAATCAATTAATTAAAATAAACTTATACAATAATTCCATCAAGTAGTTACATAATAACCAAATCTTGACATTTTTATTTATTTATTTATTTTTTTTTAATTTATTATTTTAATATCTTTTTATGAGTACTTACGATGTCGTCACAAATAAAGTCATAATTATGGCGTAATTATATGGATCAAAGAGTCAAATAAATTATTAAAAATAATTGTCACAATATAAAACACTATTTAAACACTTAAAAAAATAAATTAACAATTTTTAGTAAACACAAAATAGCACACAAATAACATTCTTCATACTTTTGAATATTATTTTAAAATTTATTGACACGAAATAACTGTATAATAATTTAATTATGCTATTATATTACTTGCATTTCGAATAGACTAGTAGAAAATAGTAATTTTAAGAAATAAAATACACTTGTTGGGTGTAAAAATTGAAGAAAAAACCGGCGTTACTTAAATAGAAATGAAATTGATGTTTCTCCACACACAGTTGGTGTAGCTGATTGTGAGAGAGTAGTTCGACTGGTTCTATCTAATTTCCGCCTACACGACTAACGGCCAAGAGAGAGAGAGGAGACCTGAAAGAAGAGAACACACTAGCTAGTAAATGCCAACAGTACTCTTAAGTGGGAGAAGCGACGAAAAGGAAATAAGCAGAAAAAGAGAATGTAAATAAAATTTTCGAACTCACCAAGCATTGGAACCTCCAGACGGTCAGTATGAATTGTTGGAAATATTATTTCGGCAACAACAATTGTTTTTAAGAGGTTAGAAATATGATTGTCAAATTTATTTATTCAAAGATGTCTTTGTTTCTTTTCAGAGTAAGATAATTAATATTAGTAATTTTTTTCGGAAAATTCCGGATGTTTAGGACAGGAAATCTCGAAGTATTTTCAGACTGAAGTATAAATCGGAGCATCTGGAGTTGGTCTATCGTTAGTTGATGATTTCTAGTTAGTTGATATTTTTTACTTTGCTACTTTGTTTTTTATGCTTCTTTTCCTTTTTGTTGATGTCAAAAAGCACTTGAGTGTGCTCGAGGTGTCAGAGTGTCAGAATTGAACATAATTCATATGTAATTTTTTTAATTAAACTGAGGTTAGAGATCAAATTAAGATGAATAAAATCGTTTATTTACAAGCTACTCTCCATTGGATCTGTAATAATATCAATTAATATCTTGAATGCTATTTTTTTAAATAAATTCTCTGTAATCCGATTTTATATTTATTAAAAATGCACTTTAAAAAATGGTGACAATTTTTTTTCTAAAAAAATAAAATTCAAAGTCTATATTGTATTAAAAATTGTTTATTTATTTTTATTAATATATATTTCATAATTATTTAATGTTTAAAATGTATTATTAGTTATTTAATCTTTTTTTCATTTCATGTAATAAGAGAAATTGATTCAAATATTTTTGCATTTGAATTGGGCGCCATTTTATGAAGGACATCTATCAGCAAAAAATAAAATTATTACCACTCGACACTACAGTTTAATGTGTGTGTTTACGTCTGTGAATAGTATGTTTAATGTGTGTGGGCTACGCGTTGGTAGTAAATTATATTAATTTTATTTATTTGTAATATTTGTTTATTTATTATTTTGCGAAAATGAATCATCAGTGTTCGATATGTTGTGAAATATTTAAGTCTTCCAATGAATTATGTTCACCCCTTTGTGGACATGTATTCCATTTTCATTGTCTTTCACAGTGGCTTGAAAGGTATTGTTTATGTTTTGTTATTTCTAACTTAAAAAATGGCATCATTGAACAAAATATTATTTATTTCCTTGTATAAAAATGGTGTTGTTAATTATTAAATATTAATTTCAGATCAGAAACATGTCCACAGTGCCGGCAAAAAACAAACTACAGCGAAGTCCATCGGCTTTATTTTCACAATAGTATAAATTGCGAAAGTGACAATTTAGCGACACTTCAAGAAAAGCTTGATAGCTTAGAGTTAGAAATAAAATTAAAGGACACTCGTCTTAATCGTCATAAAAATGAATTACAGACATTGAAAAAAAAAAACGAAGAATTGTCTAAAGAACTAAATGACTTAGAATCCAAAATGAATCAGAAAAAAAGTCATATGAAAGCATTACGAAATGAAAATATATTTTTAAAAAATATGAGTATTGGAAATGAAATGATGAAATTGGATCTCTTACGGATTCAAAAACAACTACAAAATGCAGACGAGTAAGTATATTAGTTTGTAAAATAATTATTTATTCATTTAAACAATATTTTACATGTGTATGTTTTGATTTCAGTTCACAACAATATAAAGAACTATTAGAAGTGAAAAATAAATGTTTAAAAGATGTTACTGCTGAAAATGAAACATTGAAAAATGATAATTTTCGGCTTGAAGAGTACCTGAAAGATAAAGAAGAGTAAGTATTGTAGTCTGCGTAGTAACAATTCATTTTAATATTTTCTAATATCCATACCTTATTATTATACTTATCAATTCATTTCAGTGAATTGGCATGGGCTAATTCAAGACTAAACAAGAATCGTGATAAAATAAAAAAATTGAAACATAAACTGAAGAAGTATAAATCAAAAGAAGTGTAAGTATTATGATGACAATGAATTAATAATAATGATGATGAAATTAATTCATGATATTTAATTACAGAGGTAGTTCAAATGAACAAGACAATTCAAATGAAGATAATGATACTGAAACTCCAAACGAAAATCATGATGATACCACTGAATCAAATGAAAATGCCGCCGCACCTTGTTTGAAAGTATACAATCTTCGTGACAGATAAAAAACCAAATGATAATTTTAACACCTTTAGAAATAATATTTTTTTTAATTAATTTTCTCTCTCTTTTTTTTTGAAGAATAATCATGTTAATTTGAGATAATTAAATTGTTAAATAATGAACTCTTTTATGTAGCTAATGATCTCGGAAGCTTTTCATAGATTGAAAACTTCCTAATAAGTATAAGCAAAGTTAGAAAATATTATGAGCTTCCAAAAATTTTATACAAACAACTCTACTACCTCGAACTAGGTTAACTAATCTAGTAGAAATATTTATTAAAACATTGATATTTTTTAATAATTCATATTTATATCATTTTTTTAAATTAATAAACATTAAAAATTATATTACATCCTGAGCATTGTCTTCTTTAAGCTTTTTTTTTCAACACAGTCATCATTTTGTGTTTCTTCAAATGGAAAAAATATTTATTTCATTTACCACTCTTTATCAATAAAATTCCATTGAAAATGAAGTTCTTATATATATAGTTTTAAAAACATTTGCGGTACGCTTCATTTCAAATAACTTCTCGGCAGTTAATATATATATATATATATATATATATATATAGATATATGATATGATGTACATAGTCCACACAGAGAGAAGTCTTCTCTCTGTGTTAATTATTCTGGCGAATTGTTTTGTTTGGTGATTTTTTCGTAGTCCATTCTCTATTATTTTTTTTAGTAGATGTTCATTAGACACTGATTCAAGGAAATATTGTTCTACGATTGAATATTTCATCAAGAACATCACAATAAAATTATTACAATAATAACCAAATCGACATTAGTTTTCAGTTCTAACCTCTGATAACTCCTGTTCTATGATGGAAAGGATTGCATTGGATAGACTTTATTTATCCCGCTTGTCAGATGTTGATTCAGAAGTCATTCTTATAACAGCAACAAACAGAGTATCCGCGATTGAACAAATCATTCCAGTGAAGCTTGAGCACCCTAATCATTTTGGCTTTTTACAATTTCATTATAAAGGTCCAGGATTCTGTAATGTTTTTTCTCTCAGTTCAGTTAAAGTTAGTGGATTATTGTTAATACAATCAAATACTGAAGATCATGAAGTCTTTCTGAAAGATGTACAAAATAACATAACTGAAGGTGACTGGAATATCATCCACATCGATACAAAAAATGAAAGTGATTGTCATTACTTATTTGAAAAATCCATAGAGGATAACTGTACAGTTATTTTTGCCATGAAGTTGATGATTGTTGATGCGAATGACTCCTCGCGACAACTTGTTCTTTATCTAAATAAAGTTGATTGCCTACTCCTATGTCGGGCAATAAAAGAGAAAGATATGAAAATGATTAAAATGTATCTTAACTTCAACTTGGACATCAATGCAAGAAATGAAGCAAGTGAGACACCTCTTCATGTTGCTGTTGATTTAGGAATGTCTGATGTCGTGGATCTTCTTATCAGTAATGGTGCAGATGTTAATGCTTCCAACGAACACCGTCGAGTACCACTTCACAGTGCAGTTATAAATGCTAATTCAACAATATTTGACATTCTTATTAAAAATCAGGCAAAACTAAACGAGAAAGATGATGAAGCTCGAACTCCACTTCATTATGCTGTAGATACTGGAAATATGGAATTTGTAAATATTCTTCTGAAAAGAGGTGCTAATTGTAACCTTAAAGATTCCTGTAAGAATGCGCCACTTCATTTGGCAGTTGAGCAAAATAATTTAGATATGATTAAAGCATTTCTTAATTTCAACTTGGACATCAATGCAAGAAATAACGCAGGTGAGACACCTCTTCATGTTTCCGTTAAATCTAGAAAAAAGAATATCGTAGATCTTCTTATCAGTAATGGTGCAGATGTTAATGCTTCCAACAAACAGCGTCAAGTACCACTTCACAGTGCCGTTAAAGAATATAATTTAAAAATATTGGACACTCTGCTTAAAAATCAGGTGAACTTTGATAAACAAGATAGAGAAGGTCAGACTCCACTTCATCTTGCTGTTGGTGCTGAAAATTTAGATGCTGTTGATATGTTTTTGAAAAAGGGTGTTAATTATAAACTTATAGATGCGTGGGATCGCACACCACTTCATTTGGCAGCTGAAAGAATGCATTTAGATATGATTAAAGTTTTTCTTGATAATAATGTTGATCCTAATATTGTAAATTCATGTAATCAAACTCCACTTCATGTAATTGATCAGTTAATTCACATAAAAACTTATGGATACAGAAGATTTGGGAATCGTTCACTAGGAGACGGCCCTAGAAATACAGAATTTTATTTACCATTTATTATTACTCTGTTAGAAAAAGGAGCAGATCTTAATTTTCAAGATAAAGGAGGTAATACTCCTTACAATAATGCTGTGAAGAATGGACGAAGAATACTTGCAAAAGCTTTTCAAGAATGTGAGTGCATTAACGGTGTTATCGCTGTTAAAAACAAAGCTCAATCAGGGAAATTTACTTTACACGTAACATTAGAGACATCTAATGTTGAAATGAAGATTATTCAGTGTATTGTGAAAGCTACTAGTGACATTGATGCTAAAGATGAACGTGGAAGAACAGCTCTTCATATTGCAACGATCAACCATTTAGATAGTTCAACGGTTCATCATTCTCACAAATTCTTATATACCGAACGTATAGAATATCTTTTACGTAATAAAGCTAATATCAATGCAGTCGACAATGATATGAGCACTCCACTTCACCATGCTTGTAGGAACAAGAATGTACATGTTGTTGAGTACTTGATAGAAAAAGGAGCTGATCCTAGGATAAGAGATAAAGATGGTAAAACTGTACTTCACTATGCATGCATGATGGATTGGCGCTACTCACAGTCATCCTCTCACAGGAGGAAAGATGTTCAAAGTAAAATTATCTCCATTCTTGTTAAAAATGGTGTATCTGTTAATTGGGATGATAAATTTGGTAAAACACCTCTACATTATGTTGTTGAAGAAAATGATGATACATCCTTTTATCTTTATCAACTACTTCTACAGAACGGTGCTGATATTAATATTGAGGATAATGATCGTGATACAGCATTTGATAAATTATTGAAACAACATTCTCTATCTAAATCTAAAAAAGTAGCACCATTCATACATCATGTGATCAAAATGAAAGTTATGGAGAAGTGGGTTCTTAAAAAAACTTTAGATAAAATTTATGAAGAGAAAAATAAAATCTTTTTGAAACAAGTAAAGAATTACGAGGATAATTGTAACATAGAGATTAATGCTATGAAAAAACAAAAAATTGGTCAGAGTGATATAACTTTCTACGATTTTCTGAAGACAAGTCCAGATGATACAGCAAATTATGCTCAGAATCAAAATATAGTGGAAGCTATAGAATCAAATCAATTGAAAAAAAGGTTTCCTATTTATAATGAATTTTTAAAATGTCATTTGCGTGAAATTCAACAATGGGATAAATCATCTGATCAAACTCAAGAGTCATTAAATACTTTTAAAAAGAAAAAACTGAAACTGTAGTTAAAAATTAAGTTCAATTATACTAAAAATAATATTTTATATTTTTTTAAACGATTCACTTCTGAAGAAGGTAATTGAGAAGGTAAATAATACTAGATTCTGTTCGAATTCGAACAAAAAGTTCCTCAAAGGGTCAGAAAACACCCAAGCATAACTCAAGAAATCTTTTTTTTTTTTATATTTATAAATAATTTTTTTTACTATGTATTGTTATAAACTACATAATATTTATAAATAAAAATGCAATTATCCAACGGAGAAAGAAACGATGCCAACGCTTATTTATAAGAACTAAAAATTAAATTAGAAAGCGCGGTATTTTAGAGATGGACAATTAATTGTCTTTTTTTAAAGGTTAGTTTAAAGCATTTATAAAAAAATGTTGGTAAATAAAATGTTTTTATATATCAAATTTTATCATCTAATTATAAAAAATGTATTTTCTAAAATAAAAAAATGTTTATTACAGCATCAAAAATACTTCTAGTCTATAAAAATTATTAGATATCCATACTGACTATTAATAGATAAATAATATACATATATTGGAATGTGAATCACTATTGATTATCATTAAAAAAATTTTGATTTTGTAATGAAACTATTATCTACACAGACAGTGAAGGACGATAGTAAGCATTCAGCATTTCTTCCATCAAGAGTACTTATCGGAGTACCGTGGATCGTCAGTTAGCCAAAAATTATTTTAAAGGTTATTTAAACAAGATTTCTCTTAAAATGAGTACTAAATTAAAAAAGGGAACTTCAGGTATGATAAACTATTATTTTATTTATTTTATTACGCTTTTATACTCTCTATGTCGTCATCATTGTTTTCATATTTTGGAGTTATTGAAAATTCTAACCTCAAACTCATCCATCAGCAAATATTAAATCAATCATAATTTCCTTTGTTTTTATTTTTTAAATGAATAAATTAATATTCTGGTAAATTTTTTGCTCCAAAAACATATAAACAATGTGATCTTGATGACAATATATGTGTTGACGTGGACCAATCAACAATCCACACATTTAAAAGTTAATGATTATCATTAATTTATGATTTATTTATGTTTTTTTAGGTTATGCTGATTCAACACAAGATATTTCAACAAGAAGATCACTTTTAACAGTCGTATTAATTTTTCTAACCTCACTTGCAGCTTTGTGTTATGTTTATGCCAATTTCCCAGATCTAGATGAGTAAGTTTTTATTTTTATTTATCAAAATTTAATCTATTTTATGAATATTTAATAGCACTTAATCTTTATTGAAGCTAAAACATCAATTTTATCAGACTAAAATCATTTTTAAAAAAACATTTGACTTTTTAGGAGTGAAAAGAAGTATATAAAATTACCATTACACATTGAAGATGCTCAGAATCTTGGAAGGGTCCTAGAACGATATAAACAACTGTACTACCTCGAAGTCTTAACTGGTTTATTTATTACATATATATTTCTTCAAACATTTGCAATACCAGGATCAATATTTTTATCAATCCTATCAGGATTTTTATTTTCATTTCCACTAGCTTTATTATTAGTATGTACTTGTAGTGCTATTGGTGCATCACTTTGTTATTTATTATCATCACTATTAGGTAGGAAACTTTTATTTAAATATTTCCCAGACCGAGCAAATCAATGGTCTCTAACCATTGAAAAGCATAAAAATAATTTACTAAATTATATCATATTTTTAAGAATAACACCATTTTTACCTAATTGGTTTATCAACTTAGCTAGTCCTGTTATTGGTGTTCCAATGATTCCTTTTATTGTTGGTACATTTATTGGTGTTGCACCACCATCATTCGTAGCTATTCAAGCAGGACAAACTTTAAATAAATTGACATCATCTAGTGATGCTTGGTCATGGACAAGTATTATTATATTATTCATATTTGCTTTACTATCTCTAGTACCTGTTTTATTTAAAAAGAGCTTTAGACAAAAGTTTGATTGATTTATTCAATTAATAAACACTTCCAAAGAAATTATTTATTATGACTATTATTCATTTATTAAGGAGGTAGTTGCACAACTGATAGCATAGGCTAGGGAAAATCTACATTAAAATACAAAGAATGATAATAATATTTGATATTAAATAAAACTTAATAATTTGAATTTAATAAAAAAAATTTGACTTTTAATTATTATCTATCAATTTCAAAAATTTTATTGATTGTAATCTTTACATTTGGTGAATGCAACAACCTCCTTCAATTTAGCTTTATTAATAATTATCTGATTGGATTGAATTTCCCGCGTCATCAAACAGTATTATGGCGATCATCAATATGGAGACCGTCCGTTTACGCCAAAAGCGAGAATAAATTGTTAATAAACAATAACAATCTGTGATTTTTTACAATCAATAGTGACCAATAATATTTTTATTACCTCTAAAATAATAATAAATAATAAAAAAAAGCGTTACATTAATTTAAATGTGTATAATCCGAGCATATTTTCATTATTTTTTTTTTCCAACGGGGGTGTGACTACTTAGTTTTCCACTAACTGTTTAATTTATTATAAAATTAATCACATTAAATAAAAAAAAAAAAAATAAATTAATCATAATAAACATCTAACAATTATTTCAATTGAGTGTGATACTATTTAAACTGTTGGCAACAGTTTATTTTATTATTAATTCCAATAATTGAAGTGTATTTGCTGATATCGATGATTGGAATAAGAATTTAATAAATATGGCTCAACAAGAATTGCCACGAGACGTGAGGAGTGATAGTAATAATATTATTAATAATACCAATATTCCATCAATTATTGTTCCAAACATAACCTGTCCTCCACCACCGCCGTATCCCACCATCAATCTTCCTCCGGGTCATCCGGCTAGCATTATCAATGATCGAGGAGCACCACCATCCTACGAAGAAGTGATAGATCGAAATGGTAAGGTCATAATTGCAATAAAGCTTTAAATACCATTTATAACCTTAAAAAAAAATTATTTTGTTTTATTCAGCACCACCACCATCATATGAATCCTTATTCGGACGAATGATCGAAGCACAAAAGATTTGTAAAGGAGTTGTTGATTTTGTATTAAACATAGTAGTTCTTCTTCTCGGCACCAGTGAGTTATAAAATAATAATTTAGATGGATTTAATTATGTGATTTGTAATGAATAAAATAATCATTAATTCCAGTTGGATGTACGATTATTTTTGGAGTCACAATAGCTGTGCCTTTAAGCATGATGATTATCGGTGGAATGTATTTATATGACTGTCCTCAAGGCGAATATATTCCAGTGTATCTATTAGTAGCTGGTGGTTTTGCAATATTTAAACAATTGCTTTATTTATCGGCAAGAGTTCGTCAATGGCCAGATGATAGAGATGAAGAGAGAATTCGACAATCACCAACGTTGACTTTAATTAATTGCTTTATGCTAGGCTGGTTTATTATTGGTAAGTATCCATTCAATCAATCTGAACTGTTTTATTTTAATTTAATAATCGGATGCTTTTCATTTTAAATTAAATATTTATTTTAGGTTCAATGTGGGTTTATAAAGAATACGAACCAAATTATGATCCATCCCTGGGCAAATACTGTAATAAAACTTTATATTTATTTGCATTCTGGCTGATAACACTAGTCTACATATTTTTGGGAATTCTGACTGTTGGCTTGTGTTGCATTTCTGTTATCACTATTACTTTTCAAAGCAGACCATTGGATCGTTTGATGTCTATATGAAAAAGGGATCGTTAATTTTGGTACAAGAATTTTTAGATCATCAAAAATAAGTAATACAGTCTATAAAAGCGAAATAAAATACATAATAATGACAGTTAATTAAATAAACACTGAGTGTGCCATCAAAAGAAAAAAAAAATGAAAGAATGATAGAAGACATTGGAAAGAATGATTATCGGCTGTGTAATTTTTCTTTTGTGCCAAGAAAGACAATGAATGAATTTTAGTATTAATTAAGAAAGTTGAAACATAAATCGTACTATCAATGTGTTCCTAAGTGAAAGGCAGGTCAAAAAAATTGGTATTGTAAATGATGTATTTTAATTAGAAGACATGGAATAGATTAATTATTAATTAAATTTCTTTATAAATAAAAAGATAATTATTGTTTCTTATAATTTGATTATCATTAAAAGTTATTATTGAATACAATAATTAATTCTAATTAACATAAACAATTGACAAGAGCAAAAAAAAAAATAGAAAATAATAGCAATGAATCTATCTGTATTATATCCATTTTTTATATTCCAACTACTTTTAAAATTATTTACATAAATAATAATTATGTTATTGTAATCAATAACAATATTAATTTTTTTTTTAAATATATTATTGATACAATTATTGTATATAACATAACAGACCATGATATTAGATGAATAAGTGATTAGTATAAATAATTATTAAAATAATTGATTATTGATTATCGATGTGATCATAAGCGTACAATAATTATTGCATTTAATTATATATTTGTCTTTTCGGATAAACTAAAATTATTGTATATAAATATTATTACTACGAATTATTTTAACGTCTATGATAAGAATAACAGATATAATAATCGTCATTATTATTATGATTGCAGTTATTTTTAATAAAAATTTATTAAAAGAAATTTGTAAACAATGAAAATATATATAATAAATTTAATATGAAAAAATGTTTATTTGTTAAAAAAACATTATTAATATTGATACCTATTTTTTTAATAATTCGAATTTTCGCGCGTACTGTCATTGCGAGGTATCGAATGCGATTTATCGAATTAACTCTCTCGAATCTATTCGATATATCGCAACAGACTGTCATGTCCGTTTTTATCAAAAAAAAATTGTGTGCAATTTTGCGATCAGTGAAAATAATGAATAGAAAACGGTAAAGTATTACGAACAAATAATTAAAAATTAACCTATTATTACTTCTCACGCAAAAGAAGAATAAAAATCGTATAAATGTGTAATATTAATTTATTACTAAACATCAAACTTACCGCGAAAGTCTGATATTAAATTTTTAATAGTGAGTTATCACGATTTTGAATAATAATTATTTACACGTATGTGACAACAAAGTAGATATACTGTCGTTTAGTTCACTTGTATGACAGTGGCCACATCATCTTTAACTTTGTCCTTGATAAGAAAAAAACAACATTATGTTACGGCAATACAACCTGTGAAGCCGACTTGGAAAAATGAAAAAAGCACAAAAAAAAGACATAAAAGGTTAGAAATATATATTGATGAAATAATTTTACAGAAAAATCATCAAAGTTAACCTTAAAAATTTTTTTTATCAACATAATAAAATAATTAAGCATAAAATAGTGGAGTAATAGTTGTAAATAATGTTGAAAAAATCTTGACAAAAGTGTAATTAAATATTTTTATAAGAAAATCAGCAAAAATGGCAGACAATTTGATGTTTAAATTACTAGTAACAATTATTGGAACAACGATAATAATATTATCAATCACAAGTGTGAGTCAATGTTCATCTGGAGATGAATCTTTCGAGTATATGAGTAAAACAGAACGAGCTGAATTGAAAGAAGAAGCAAGAGACATGTTTTATCATGCTTACAACGCTTACATGGACAATGCATATCCAGCTGATGAATTAATGCCGTTGAGTTGTAAAGGAAGATATCGAGGATCAGAGGCAGACCGTGGAGACATTGATTCTGTGCTTGGTAATTTCTCTCTAACCCTTGTAGACACCTTGGACACACTAGTGGTCCTTGGAGACCTAGGAGAATTTGAGAATGCTGTTAAATTAGTCGTCAGAGATGTCTCTTTCGACACAGATGTGATTGTTAGCCTGTTTGAGACCAACATCCGTATGTTGGGTGGACTCCTGAGTGGACATATACTCTCAGAATATCTTCAGGCACGTGCAGACATCATGTCTTGGTACCGTGGAGAACTCCTGACTCTTGCTAAGGATCTTGGTTTTAGATTTCTACCAGCTTTCAACACCAGCACTGGCATCCCTTATGGCAGGATTAATTTAAAGTACGGAATGAAAGGTGTCCCTCAAGAGATGTGCAGAGAAACCTGCACCGCTTGTGCTGGAAGTATGATATTGGAGATGGCTGCATTGTCTAGGCTAACTGGAGAGATGATTTTTGAAGAGAAAGCACAGAAAGCTATGGATGCTTTATGGAAAATTCGACATCGGGGAACTGATCTGATGGGATCTGTGCTGAATGTACACTCTGGAGATTGGGTGAGAAGAGACTCTGGTGTTGGTGCTGGTATTGATTCTTACTATGAGTATTGTTTGAAAGCCTACATTTTATTAGGTAAATATTTATTATTGATGGTATTTTTAGTCTATAAGTTTATTTTATTGATTTATTTTATTTTAGACAGTGACAAATACTTGATAATATTATTTTAATCAAGGTTAAATATGTTACAGATTGTATAGACCAGTGAAAAATTTATAACTCTATAATTAATGGCAAACATGACATTATTAATTGATTGTTTTAAATAGTTTATTTTCATTCTTGTTCTTTGTAACATTTTATCTAACTTTAAACATCATTGCTATTCATTTCTTTTTCATTTAAATACATCAAGGTATCAAATTAATTGCATTAATTGATTGTAATAAATTATTTTTGTTTAACTATCATATTGATTATTATAAAAAATTATTTACAATGTAGTAAATACAGCTTTTATTTAATTTTCATTAAAAAATCATGATGTTTATCGAAAGACTTTTGTTACTCAATTATTTAAAGGCATTCTAACAGATAAAATTGATAAGTTCATGCCAGTAATATCTAGAGAATGATAAATAAATAATTTTCTTTCGTTGTATTTTAAAATGAAAAGTTTTACTCAACACTAGAACATTTTAAATAAAATTACAGATTATTTTAAATTACTTTGCAAACGATTTAATTATTTTAATTATTATTTATTCATTCGGCAGTAAATCAATTTAGTTATTAACATTTTTAAATTATTTTTAATACTTGATAACAAATTATTCAATCATCTGATTTTTAACATTACTTTTACTGAATTTAAATTTTATTTTAAATTATTTAACAATTATTGTTTATTTAGCATTCTCAACTATGTTGTCGATGTTTCTTATTGTTGAATTTTTTTATTTTTAAATATTGTTAAAATTCATTAAATGTCATTTTTAAAATTAAAATATTGTTATTTATGTTTTTAGGCGATGAAAAATATCTAGGAAGATTCAACAAACATTACCAAGCGATAATGAAGTATGTGAGTCAAGGTCCAATGTTGTTAGATGTTCACATGCACCGACCAAACACTAATTCCAAAAATTTTATGGATGCCTTATTAGCATTTTGGCCAGGACTTCAAGTAAAACCATAATCTTTAATATTATTTTAATTGAAAAAATAGTTATTAGTATGATATTTTTAATGAAACAAAGTAAATTGTGTTAATAGGTACTGAAAGGTGACATAAAACCAGCAGTAGAAACTCATGAGATGTTGTACCAAGTGATGCAACGCCATAATTTCATACCAGAAGCATTTACGACTGACTTCCAAGTTCACTGGGGCCATCATCCATTGCGTCCGGAATTTTTAGAATCAACGTATTTCCTATATCGAGCTACTGGTGATCATTATTACTTAGGTGTAGGAAAGAAGGTGCTGAAGAGTCTTCAAACGTATGCTCGAGTGCCTTGTGGTTATGCAGCTGTATCTGATGTGCGGACTAATAAGCACGATGATACCATGGATTCATTTGTATTATCAGAAACATTTAAATATTTATTCTTACTATTTGCTGAGCCAAATGATCTAGTGTTAGATCTAGATGAATTTATTTTTACAACTGAGGGACACCTGTTGCCTTTAACGTTAGGTGCTATGAGGATAAATGCTTCCTTGGTAAGTTCAATTATTAAAATTGTTAAATCAGGATTTTTCAGCATTCCCTTAAATTTCAGGAAATATTTCTGGGGTTGTTAAAAATAATTAGTATCAATTAAATTTATACTAAAACCCTGGGCAATGGATAATTGTAAAAAATTAGATTTATTATCTAAGCCATGCTGAAAAATCCTGATTTCACAAACTTTGATGACTCTCCTATCTTTTTATTAAAATTAAATTATTTATTATGGCATAATGGTATTTTTTATTCATTAGGAAGCTGATTTAGATGCAATAGAGGTCGATGAGTTAGATCGAACCTGCCCAAATAGTCTACATTTATTCCCAGCGTCTGTTCGTCAGCCTCTTAGGAACATGGTGGAAGATGTTTGTCCTAGGAGATCGTTGAAACGAAGATTAAGTGCTTCCCAATTTCAAGTAAGCCAATTTAATAATCACCCTAACATAGAATTCAATATAATTATTTATTTATTTTATTTTTCTTGTAGGCAAATAATATAGAACACATTAAATTACTCAGCAACATGGGAATTGTAGTTTTAACAATGGCTGATGGACGAATGCAACTTCTTCATACATTTTCAAACGTAATCAATTTATTTCAATCATCAAAAAATATTTTATAAAAATATTAACTAATCATTATTGACTCTTATTCAGGCCAAGTCAATGGAAGATGCTCAAGAAGGATTGATGTTCATGCAGGACATGGTGGAATTAAATAAAAAACAATCATTAGAGTCAGAAAAACGTCGAGTAGCTATCAAGTTTTCTAAATCAAAGACTGAGTCTGATAAAGAAGTCGTTTTGATCGGTGGTCCAGCTGAATTTGGATTACAATTAAAAGGATTATTTAAAGTCATTGGTAAACCTGTGTTAGCAGAACCCTTGAAGGCTTGTGATGAGCTCAAGAATGCACACGAAATTGAAGGAAATATTGCTATTGTCTGGCGTGGTGATTGCATGTTTGTTGATAAGGTAAAATCGATCAACCAATTTTTTATTCACGTTAGTGTTTAACATTATTATTTTTTTCTGTTTATTAATGATGCATAATTTTTAATTTTCAGGCTAGAACAATACAAAAAGCTGGTGCCATTGGAGGAATAGTGATGGATTCAGTGATAGGCTCTAGTATAAAAACATCTCCAATGTTTGGAATGGCTGGTGATGGAGTCAGTGTTGATGATATTAAAATCCCATTAGTTTTTCTCTTCAATCTTGAAGCTGGCGAATTACTCCAAGGAATGGCGGCGAAAGATGGTGCAATTGTTGTCACGATGGGTACTTTTCTTTCATTATTTAAATTATATAGAATTTATTTATAAATAATATTAATAATTAAATAAAATTAAATTAAATTAAATTTTATTGTAGAAGAATATGTGAATGTTGAAACGAAAGCTAATGATTCAGAAGACTACTCATCTGTATTTGAGAGACTTAAGGAGTCTGTTCAACAATTTCTTGCACGACCAGCTACTTCAACAGTGAGTATCATTGATAATCACTACTTGAAAAAATTGTGAGTATTATTAAATTACCATAATCATGTCAATCTATGTTTCTGTTTGAAAATAATCGTCATAAAATCAAAGTCAATATTATTTAGGGTCAAGGTTATTTAAAGGACAATAATGTTAATACATGATTATTAATTTAATTATCTGACTTTTCAATGAAAATAATAATAATTTCAAGATATAATAATAATAATTTTTTTTGTTAATTTTAGGAATCAAAAATGGTGAGCCCCGAACCACCGAAAACAGTTCAAAATGAAGCAGAGCAAGATACAGTAATCGATGTTGGATATTTACGTGCTATTATTCCAAAACAACAAACCCAATCTCCGTTGGTAAAATTAATAACAAATCTTCCAATCATTCCACCATATAAATTCACTGTAACATCAGAGCCAGAAATGATTGATACAGGAGGATTTTCATTCTGGTGGCAATCGTACAGAGAAACATTTATCACACGAATTTTATTTCTAACACAAAGACCACCGAATGTGATAATATCTCTTGATAGAATTAAAAATATCCACGATTGGCTACTGGATTGGGATTACATTGATAAAGATAAGCAATCAAATAAACAACTGGACAACGTGGAATTGATAACGTGGTTTTTAAATGAATTAAGAGATGCTGTACCAGATGATAAATTACCAAAATTATATTACACAAAAGAAGCTAATTATAAATATTCCCAAACCCTTAGGCAAAATGGTCATCGGGGAATTCTGATGGCAATTGACGATGAATTCCTACTGGAGGAAAATCATTTAAATCTGCTGATGGATTCAATAAAGAGAGTTAAACATCGACAAGACGGTGATGTAAATAATGATAACAATGATAGCCGCGAAAAGTCCGATGTTAAGAAGGATGATAAGAAGGGAAATAATAGGTAGAATAAATCAATGAAATAAAAAAGATTATGTGGGAATAAAAAAATACAAAAATCTGTTGAACGGATTTGAATATTGATGATGAAATTAATTATAAAGATGATTATAATGAAGTAAAATGTGATGTGAATGATTAAGATAAGAAGAAAAGAAGTGATAAAAACAGTTAAATAAATGTACGAGAATGAAAAAAAAATCTAAATGTTGTAAATTATGGAGAATTTATACATTTATTATTAAATTTAAAAATTGGGGTAATTTAAAAGAAAAAATGAAAAATATATCAGAAGAAATGAATGTTGAGAGAGGAAGGAAAAATGAATTACAATGATAAATGTAAGTAATAACAGTAATTTTGAATTAATTAATGATTTATAAATATTATGATGAACGCTACAAAAAATTTTTTTATATCAATTATAAATAAATAAAATAATGAATTTTTTGATGTGTAAAATAAAAAGAGTAAATTCAGGAATTAACGTGTGAATAATTGATATATACATTTTAAATAATTCGTAGTTTATTTGTTTTATAAACAAATAACTGTAAATAATAAATGTAAATGTTAATAGTAGTATACTATTGTTTATAATTATAATAATAAATCTTTATTGGATCAGGTTATTTTATGATAATAAAATCAAATGAATTCAATATTTTATTATTATTAATTTTATCTATTTTTAATGATATAAATAATTATTAGCTTATAAACAATAAAAGTCATCATTTACAATTAATATTTTTAAAAAAATTGTTTTTCAAATTCCCGCGCTCATATCACATTGATAATAGACTCATCTTTATTACCGACTGTAAATCATTGATTATCAATAATTGATAGTTTGAGAAGAATTTTATGTTACCGACAGTAGATTCATATTTACCAGCAAACAAAATGGCGATTGTTGTATTATTGTAGATGGCGTGACACATCACAAAGACGCGACGCCGAACTCAGTGCGCATTTAGTCTTCGGAGCACGTTCAGTTCGGGTGAAAAAAAAAAAGACTTCCAAGTCGTAGAAGCTGCAGAGATGGAAGAAATGGAGAAAAAAAAGTGTGAGAATTTCGGGGAGCAGAAGATGAATGATATAGCAGAAATGTAGGTAATTTAAAGCATGCATAAAAAATATGTATAAGTATACTGTCGGGGCATAACAGTGGCATTGAAAGACATGATTTTTAGGCGTAAGCTTCGATGACATTGTAAACACTTGGTAGGATGTTTCAATAATTACTTGACAAACCGGCTCTCATAGTTTGTCTAAACTAAATAAATATGTGTTATGTGTACAGTATATTATTTACATTATAATAGGTGATACAGGGCTCTGGGAATTATTTCTAACATTCTTTGATATAATTATTTTGATTTCGATGTTTCTAAATGATTTTTCGGTGCTTCTTTAAGTATCATTCAGAGTCAAGTAATGATATAAAGATGGATTTAAGTGTGGATTAGCAAAAATTGATATGAGTGTGAGACAAGTATATAATTTTCGTTGAGGTAAATTAATATTTAATTCCTGTGTACTTATGCAGGAATGTCAAATATCCACCTGTCTCGTTTTCTTAATTGCACAATCGAAGGATTCTTCATTTGATGAGGACACGTATGTGAAAGATGAAAGAACCAAAGTCAAGTCAAGTGGTCCTCGATCATAAATTCAAGCTTAAACATAAGAGTTTGAGTATACAAGACAGTTTTCACGCTTCTTAATGAATTTTTCTATCACCAAAATGAGAAAAAAATCTCCTGTGAACAAGTAATATTATTTTTAATTAATAAAATTAAAATTTTGAATAGTCGCTAGGAAATATTTTTTTTTGAAATTGATATGGTTATGTTTCCGTAAAATAATTTTTATTGAAAAAATACGTTTTTTAAGCAAAATTTCATTAAATTTAATAAAAGTACTTTATTTAAATTCTTTTTTATGATTAAATGCACATTTTTTTGTATAAAATTTTTTTTTTTAATGCAATTCTATTAAAACAAAAAGAAAATACAACAATCACTTATTAAAATTTTTTTTTAGGTTTTAATTAACCTCCAAAAAATTGTTAACCGTCATTTATCATTATTTTTACTTGACAAATTGGCTGAGTGGTTTTTTTTTATCACTTTGAAATTGAGAGCAAAAAAAGTCTTATATGCAAGGTTATGTTTCAGTTTTTTTTTTTTTTTCATTAAGAAGATTGATTAAGTCAGTTAAGATTTTTGAATGTTTTTTTTTTTTTTTACATGAGCACAAATCTTTTGAAAAATTAATACTCTTTACCTTCATGACGTTTTTACATAATTTATAATTACTTTATAATTGACAATTTTCATGTTCTCATGTTACGTATGAAATTTCTGATGTTGAGTTCGTATTACCTTTGATTTTTTTTTTTTTTATTTAATAAAACAAAAAACGTTCACTTAATACCTTCATTTAATATGAAAAATCCTTCGTTGCATGAATAAAATATTCCAAGCGACTATTTATCTTCATTTTTTCCATCTTTTATTTGATTTTTTCATTTAGTCAACTTGTTTAGTATTCTAAAAATGTCATGTGAAACTTACTCCGACTCTGGAATGATTTTTCGGACATTTCTGAGTGGAGATTTGACGATGATAAGATTCTTACATTACCTACGCAGTTTCTTTTATCACAATATAAATTTCATTGTTGCCACTATTACCATAATAACTTGGGAAAAAATTCTTTTCTTCCTTAGAAAGTTCTAGAGTATAAGGAATATTTTTTTTACTCAATCAAAGTGATGAGTTGTGCATATTTAGTTGTGATTTAATAATTTTATCAAAAAACAGTTATTATTAGGCTGTAAAAAGTGAAGTTAAGTAATGAAAAGAAATGTTTAAGTTATAGATTGATTGTTGGTACGTGTGATATTGTAAGTGAACAAGTAAAAGAGAGAGAGAGTCGGTAAAAGGTTTTAGAATGTGTAAGATTTCGATTTAATTCTCTTGTAATGCGATTTAAGTTGAGATTTATCACTTTCCAAGGGTAAATGTTGGCGCCAAGTCATTCTTTGGCCCCCTTTCCTCTCACTTTATGCCTCTTTCTTTCGTTGTACTTCAATAATCCTTTACAAATAATAACTCTTAAAAATTAATGTAGAAATCTGTGATCTAGATTTTTTTGAAGTAAAAATGCTGAGAAAAAAAAAATTATAATTTTTGTTAGTGATTATAGAAAAGTAATTAATTTGAAATCATTATGAATAAAGAAACAAAAAAAAAATTCAAGGTTAAGGTCTGAAGAGCTTATGCGCATGCTCAATCAAAATTGATGGTTTAAAAATGTATTTACGCATGCGTAGTAGATATTTTACTATTTTAAATACCACAAAGTATGTGCAATAAGGGCAAATAGAGAGAAATAAGTCTCTTACTGAATATTTCTATGATAAAAAAAATTCGATGTGATATCTTTTGGAATTTAATATTAATGTCTTTTTGACAAATAAAATAAAATCTCTTAAGACAGGTAGTTTTAATATCACAACTCGTTTTATATAATGTGCTTTTAGTCAAAGTTAATGATGACTAAATAGAGATGTATTAAATATATAAATTTTATCATGATGAATAACCAAATAAATATAAGATTTTAATTAATAAATCAAGATTACCAATTGATGGTAACACGAAATAATATTCACAGCAATAGATTTATTACGTTAATAAAAATACGTTTTTTGTTATTGTTATTACTTATATTTACCATTACTACTTCTAATATAAATCGTTTAATAATACATTATTTTCTTGACATTTGTAGGTTTTGGGTAAAAAACATCACTTTTCATCACTCCCCAGGATTCAAGTCAACACCATAACAGCAGCAGTCAACAGAACCAGGTAAATTGATTTAAAACATTTGACTTGAGGTTTTAAAAGATTCATAAGAAATTGAAAAAGAGATCTAAACACATCTTTTTGAGATGTGAAATCTCTAAAAGTCGAAAAGACAACCGTTATTACACGTCTATTAGTTGGACCTCCTGCGGTTTTTCTAAGAGCCTAGATCCTTTTCATGTCTATTTTTTGCGTCCATTATCATATTTTATGTACCTCTTCATCTTTCTTAAGGTTAAAAAAAATAACTAATTGACTAGAAAATAATTTTTTTTAAATCATTCCGTATTAACAGGCTTTGTGGAAGAGATGAGAAGATGATGGAGTCATAAAGTGTACATAAAATGGTGTCAACTTAAGTTGGTGAAAATCGTACAGATTAAGATAAATTATATCATTTTATAAATATTCAACTCTTTTAAAAGTATAATATTAACTGAAGTAACATAGTGAATGATTAATAAATTTGTGTTGAATAATATCTGATGGAAATTAATGTTAAAATGGCGTATCGATTGTGGTGACAATAGTGAGTTAAACGTTTTTATAATGCTGATCACCTGCCATTAATTGTGAATTTTTTGAACATCCAGTATGTGTGGTATCTATTGGTAATCATATTGAACAATGGACATTCTTCACGTCCAGACAAAACAAAATCCATTGCGTGACAACTTTTAAACGCCGGCGCCAGTCTCAGATATGCACTCTACTCTTGTCTTTTACTTGTGTCACACTTGAAGAATAGGAAAAAAAAAATATTTCGAGCGAAAGTCAGTTTAGAATGTTTTCTGTCACTTCTTTCGTGATATTAATCATGGCATAAGCTCTCGGGACCTACGATGGATTATTGTGGGAATAATAATTTATATGAGTGGCCATTTTTTTACATGTTTATGGATCATGATGTCATAAATTATACGAAAGACTAAACCATTCAAAAAATTCGCTGATAAAAGAATCATTTTCATTATTTAAATGACAAAAAGTTTATTTTAATCAAAAAAAAAATGTCTTCTCATTTATTTTGTAATTAATTAATGAATTTATTTATATTCAAACAAATCAAGTTTATAAATATTAATTTACAAAATTTTATTAGACATGCGCAATACATTTTAATTAATGTTAAATTTGGCTAAGCATGCATAGTAAATTTTTATTGAATATGAATGCGTTTGAAAATGTGCAGAAATTTTTTTACAGCAATTAAAATTCATTTACACATACGCAGAAAGATTTATTGATAGTTTTCAAAATTGTAATGCATCTTAAAAAAATTTTTTTTTAGTTTTATTAGAAGTTTTATGTACTGAAAAAGGGCATTAATGTTTGTCTAACATAATTATGTGGTTATAAGCTTTTTTTTCAGTGTATTGATAATAAAGGTTTTGATGAGAAAAATTCTTCTTTTAATCTTCTTTGCATTCTATTCATATTCACATCATAAAAAGATTTGCAATAATCGATTAGCATACTCTCGACAAATTCCAATTACATAGATACTCTTTCCGGGCGTGGGGGCGTGTATTTTCACGCTACAAGCTGTTGGTGTGTCGACTTGATGGTTTTAAACTTTAAATATTGAAGAAAAAAAGTGTAAAAGAAAGTCAAAAAAAGCGAGAAAGAAAGTAAAGAGAAGAGAGAGAGAGAGAGAGAGAGAGAGAGAAAAAGCTAAGAGATCGAAAGTCTCAGCTTGTTTGTAGACCTGTTTAATTTTGGGACTACGTGCTCGTTTTATCGTTATGGTCTTCGTCGGCTCCATCAAAAGAACTTGAATATTTGCTGAGATATTATCAACGAAGAACAAGCAAATCACAAATATGTTAAAATTCAATACTAATTAATATTTTTCAAAATTTTTTTTTAAATATTTTTTCCCATTAAATGACTTTTTTTCACAACAATTGACATTTTTCTTTTTTTTTTTGTTTCAGATGGTGAGTGTATTTGTGGATAAATATTAATTTAATTACACCTTTTGTTTCGGGATGTCTTGATTGGAGATTAAATTCCCTAGAATATCAAGACATTTGAGACCGCCATGACGGATTTAATTTGCATTTGCACGCAAGTTTAATATTCTATTGAATTACTTTTATTTCTGGGTGTTTTTATGTGCTCACGAGACAGTCGAGTACTTTGTGATAATTAATAAATTCTGGCGCCATCGTCGCGTGTTCGAATTCATTGTTTAGGTCGTTTTATATGTTATTACTTGGAATTCTGAGCTTTGATTAATTTTTTTGAATCAATTTAGGAGCTTTTTTTATTTTGTTTTTCAATTTTTTTATTCTTCGAATAAATAAATATAAATACAGAATTAATTATTATATTGTTGAAGTAAATTTTTTTTTGTTAAGTTTAGAACAATTTTTTTTTATTAAAAAAAATACTAGTGAAATTATTTGAATGATATAGAATAACAAATTGATATTTTATTTATAAAATTAGTAAATACAATATGACACTGTATGAATGCAGTGTCATGTACTGAGTGGTTATTTTCTAAATATAAAGTGTCTTGAATTGTTATGATTGCTTTGAAAACAGAAAAAAATATGTATATATCTTCATCTATATGTAGATTGACAAACGACAGAATTTGTTAGCAACGCTTTAGTAATTCGTTAATATTTAGTTTACGACTGAGACTAGTGCACATCAAACGTCATATTTATTTCTTTTAAATTAATCCTATCATTTTTGATAAATTTTTTCTTTCAAAATAACTTCACTATTTATTACAATATTTTACAATATTTATTATAATCATTGAGTTAACGAATTTTTGATTAGACTTCTATTTATTACATGAATTATTAAAAGAATCAAAATATTGAGTGATAAAAAATATTAGAAAAAAATGAAACATACAAATGAATTTGAAGTGAATGAAAAATTGAACCGTGGAATGTAAGAAATGCAATAACACAATTAATTGGTTATTATCCTACAGTAAATAATACCCTCAACATTTTTTTTTATTAAAAGTGATTGCTTGAAATGAAATAGTGCACAATGTTGAATGATTACTAAAAAAAAAAAAAGATTAAAAAAAACCCTAGATTCTAAAAAATACTCAAAAAATGCAACAAAATAAAAAAAAATCCCTAGAAAAGAATTAATCACACTAAGAAAAAAATATAATAAAAAAATTTATTCATTCAGCAGTGAAGAAAGCGATTTGAAAAAAGGGTAAAAATCACTAGATTCTCAAAATCAAAAAAAAAAATAATAAATCACACTAAAAAAGAATGCAATAAAAAATTTATTTATCAGCATATTTATCCAATAATGATATTTCCTCAGCTAAAAATATCTTAATAGCAGCAATTACCCACGAAATTAGTTTGTACACGCAAAGATAGATTATGTATCAACTACGTGAGCTTAGTAAATATATATTCCAGAAATTCAAGATAGTTCGCATGGCTTAAGATTGGCCTGACGTATATCTTTGCGTCATGAGTGTGTATCGGCAGTGGGGAGTCAGGGGGTCGGGAGGGAGGAGGAAGATGATTTCAAAGCCAGGACACGCCAGGTGCATTTCAACCAGTCTTCAGGACTCATCCTGACTCTTTAGACGCTTCTAGGATATCCGGAATTCACGGATCCTCAATACTCACCCTCTTGACCCTCAATATATCACACACCTATATCTACACATGTACATACATTTGTAAGAGTCAAGCCGTCGATCTACATGTGTGTACCCCTCTCCTTGTGTGTGTGATAAAATATAAATTCCAAGATTTAGATAAAACAAAAAAAATTAATATCCCTGTGATCTAGATCATCATTGGCATTATCTTATTGAAAGGAGGATTAAAAAGATAGAGAAGTGAAATGATGTATTTTTGGTGGAAGTATCAGTCAGTGAAGCAACGCCAACAGCTCACACTCTTTTTCTTACGTTGTTCTGAAGCGCTCAATCTTCTCGGGCCTCACGGTGTCTTGCGTGGCCATGCGTCGCTCACTGCGGTCCGCACCATCTCACGAACGCCACTCGAGCGCTTACAAATCCGTCATTTACATTATTTCAACAAATTTAACAATTATTATCCATAAATAACATAATTGTTAAAAAAAAAAAAACAAAAAAATTCCCTAGATTTATTCAAAATAATATCTAGTGTTTTTTTGCATTTTTCTCTAGTTTCTTTTTGGGGTAATTGTGAAGTGATGGTGATTAGTGATTTTTGAGTGTTAAGTTTCAGTGATCAGTGATTGAATAGAGGAATTTAGTTTTAGGATAAAAAAATGGGGAAATTTTGATTTGAAAAAATTTTTATTTTAAGGTTAAAATTTTTTTTTTTTTTTTTATAAAAACGTGTGTGTCTCGAGCTGCCGGAGGGAATTAAGGGCGAGAAACAGGGCTGAATGTGTTATGCACTCAAATTATATGGGTCTTAAAGCTTGTTGTGATGCAGAAGCGGCTGTGGCTATCGAGAAAATCACAGTTTACACGTTCACGTCTTTTTAAATTATTGTTAGTTCTTGATGGAATAATATAATTGTGAATACAAAAACCGACATCACCGTTATCATTGATATTTACGTACAGTAACAAGTGGGGTAAAAAAAAATTTATAATTTGGCAAAGGGAAAAAATAACATTTTGAGAAAAGAAAAGATGGGAAATTGTTGGAATGAAAAAATGGAGGAAAAATAATAGTGAATTATTAAGTTGGATTATAATTTAATCTATAGGTAAGTTTATAGACTGTAATTAATTAATATTCACACAACTACATAGTATAAGTATTTTCTAGCACGCTCTGATAATCATTATAGCTCTCACACCTCCCTCTTGTAACTTGCGGAAAATTTTCCGTCATTTTATTGGTCAAAATCAATTGAAAGGCGTGAGAACGAAAGTTTAAAGTGAATGTAATGATGAAATCAACCAATCAATTGTCGTTAAATAGTTAAATGATCTTTCCTAGAGCCAATAATCATTTTTTTTTATCAAGCTGGTAATTGTTAGTAAATAAAGAGAATGTTTGATAATGGTTATTGATAATTAGCTTGTTTTATGTTATGTTTAATTATTTTATTACTAGTTAAGAGTTGTTTAAAAAGATAACGTTAATTTATTAGTACCAACACAATTTTTCATTCCAATTCTACCCTAGAATTACTTGAAATAATTTTTTTTAACAAAAATTTCGATTAGAAATTGATTCTATAGGGATTTTTAATTTTCATTATTGGCATTTTCTTTTAATATTTCCGATTAAAAATATTTTAGGTTGTAAAGAGTAAATTGATAGGAGAAAATTATATTACTATTTAATATAATTTTAAATAAAAACAAAAATCCCTAGTTTTTAAAAATAATTTAATTTTTTGATGTTGTCAAATATGACCTTGACCTAAATATAGTAATTTTTATTTTATCTCTAATAAAAATACCGTAAATCTATTCAAATAGATTTGGTAGTTTTATAGCAAACATTCTTGTTGATCTGAAAAACACATGTCTCTTGTTTGCATTCATCATAAGCTAGTTAATATTTAATCACTCCAATAAAACACTTTTCCACAAAATAATGCAAATTTTGTTATATTATTTTCTATTAAATTTAATGTGATCTAGGGATATTTTCATTGTGAAAAATTTCACTTATCTTTTCCTTCTTCGTACTAAGATGGTCGATTTTATGTAATTAACAGAAAGTTAGGGAAATAATCGTTATTCAATATGTACAGAACAATTATTAAGAAAATACTCCATACTTTTTCTATAATCAATAAAGACTCTCTTTAACAAAACGAGTATTTTCTATTTAGAAAGCACCGATACAAATGTTTCTATCGGTGTTTTTAATCTAGTGAGAAAAATCGTTTAGTTGAAAAAATCCCTAGGGATACTAATGCCAACTTGAAAAAATTTTTATTGTGTTTTTTTATGTTATTGTTATAAAATATTCATCATTAATTAAAATATTAATAAACACGTCAAATTAATTAATTCAATGTTTAACGAGCGCCTTCTAGTTATACCGAATAAAACTATTTTTCTCACTAGATCAAAATAAGACACTTTTTCAAAAAACTCATTCGAAATCGAGCCAAATCTTTAATCATGTAATTAAAAAGATATACCACAACAATGTTTCTGTTAATGACTTTAATTACTTTGTACCAAAAATCTCATTTCTAATGAATTTCTAATGTCTTAAGCAAAGAAATTGTATTAAAAATCAATCAATGAAAAATTATTAAAATGTAAGATTCAAAGGTTACAATGATACCTCGTTAGTTGCCAACTATATATACTCTTTTTTCTCATCGTTTCAAGTCAGTTGTTTAAAAAGTGTTCATTTGTTATTTTTAAACTTTATAATTGAGAGTTTTGTATATTTAGTTCCAAAGTTGACAGTGACTGTAATTTAATTTTCTATCAAACCAGAATAGCGGTAGAATGGATAGTGACACTGAACGAAGAAATTAGAAGTACGTATAATTAGATATCAAATATGTATATATATATATATTTACTATGATACCCGGTATTGTGCGTAATACAGCATTTGTTCAAATAAATGAGATAATGGACAGGTGGAGATTATAATAACGACTGTGTGAGGTTAATGATAGGTTTGGAATTATCTTAAAAATGTACTTACTCGATATGATTATTTATTCTAATTTATATGTTTTTGTAATTTATTTTTTCTTTCAATGACTTCAGTTTTTATTCAGGTTTTGATGTATCGATTTTTAGTCATTTATCGATTTAAATTTAATTTTAATCACAATATTCATTCATAAATAGTGTACATTATTTATTTCACCTGAAATTAAGTAATTTCATTGCACAGAATATTTTTGTTAAAAGCCTAGGGTTTTTCAAATTTTTTCTAGGTATTATTGATGTTTATCTAGTAATTTTTTTGTTATTTTGTTGGTAATTGTGGTAAATAAGTGATAAAATTCTGTAGTCATCGAATAATAACTCTTCACGATGATGAATTATTCATTTAAGTTATGCTGGTACAATATTTAGTAATAATCTCTAAAAAGTTACAATAGTTACCAACTTTCAATAAAAATCACTCTTTTTTTAGTGAAAAAAAAAAAAAAATTCCTAGACAAAAAAATTTTTTTTCCAAATTTTTGTTGTCATATTTTTAATTATTATTTGTTTTTGAATATTCATAAGGCTACTGTAGTGACTGAATTTCAATTAAAAACGTGTGCTCGAAAAAAAATAATTGAATTGATAAAAAAAAAAAAAGTGGAAGGTAAAGAAAAAAAAATTACTTTTAATTTTCTCATTATAAATTTCACAAGTAGTAGTTAGATTTTATTTATTACCCGATATTAAACTTATTACTCAAGTCATGGCAATTGCAAAAATACAATAATAAATTCACCAGATTGCCATTTGTGCAAAGAGATAGAAAAAGAGAGGGATGAGATCGTAAATCGTGGTCTCACCGTTTCGAATCGGTAACGCCCCTTTAACGCAGGGTTTCAACTTCACTTTAATACACATCAATATATACATAGATATCTATGTACATATATATATGTTGATACATCGATATACATTGAGTTTAAAATTTTTTTTTTTTTTTCAAGTTGATAACATCGTAACGATTTCCAATCGGCTTAAGCAAACATTGCGTAGCTTGACTTTAATAACCATGATTTCATCTTATAACATTCATTTATCAGATATTATTCTTATTTTTAGTATAATATAAATAACCTATTGAATTACGTGAACGATACTACAATAGAAATGAACTATGAATCATATTGAAATTGAGCAGTAATGTATGACGATATAATAAGAGGTCGATTAACTACATCGTTATGTATACCTTGAACGTGCTTCTAAATGCATTCTAAATGTTAGATTTAACGAAATAAATGTTTTTCGCAATTTAGACAATCTAGGGATTTTTTTTGTTTGTTTTGGGGATTTTATTTTTTTCAAAATGCATTCAAATCTTTGAATTTGCAATAATATTTTTTTGTTTAACTTCAGACACACTAGGGATTTTTTTTTATTAATACAAAATTATTGATGTTAACTAGGGATTTTTTTTTGAGCAACTTAACAATAATGTTATTTAATTTAAATACTTATAGAATATCCTCTACATAATTTATTTAGAGGAATACCATTTTATGTCACTTAATCATGCTAGGGAATTTTCTTAATAACATAAAGATAATATCAAATGCATCTTTAGTAATTTTTATCAAAAAAAAAATATCTCTATATTTAAGCATACTAGGGTATTTTTAATAAAACTCAGTGATTACATTGGTTTGTTTAGACAATTTTAATAACTGACACAGGAAATTCTCAGCATTATTATTTTTCTCTCTAGACGCTCATATAAAAATCATCGCAACTGTGAATGAAATTTCCCAAAACCCTTCTCTAGTGAATGGTTATAGACTCTGAGGATAAAAGACGTGTATTTCCGCCTGTTTAGATTAAATAAGTTACCCCAAGTATCGCGTTAGTATTTAAACAGATCACGGGATCGAAGTGTAAATGATTGTTCGTCTATAAAAGTTACTGTGATAAAAATTTTTGATTATGTGCAATTATTACATGTAGGTAGTTGGTTATATGTGGTTTACAGTTAGGTCAAGTCTATTTATATCGGAACTTTATATTAGTAGTTTCTACGACCTTTTGATCGTGTGTCTTTTGATTTTTAGATACATATTGATAGTCTTGACGTCTCGGAAGATAAATAAACTTTCGATTCCAGGTGGTTTTTTGTTTTTTATTATTTTTAACTTATTTCAGTAAATTCTTGGTAATATACTAGGGTTATTTCACCCAGATAGTTTTTTTTTAATAAACAATTTTGGTTCAACAAAAATCTAACTATGAAGTAACAAATCACTTTCTGGTGTTTTTAACGAAATAAACAATGTTATAGAGACTTTTATTATTACGTAAAAAAATTATCTAGTACTTTTTTTTTTCTTACTAGATTGTCTAGATTTTTATTTCTTTAAAAAAACACCAGCTTATTGGATGTTAAAATGAAATAAGGAACAAATTGCAAAAATTCCCTAGAAGGTAGTTTCTAAAAATTCTCTAGGGTCATTGTTCAATTAACGTCAATTATATTCAACCAAAAATCCCCATAAATATCCTTAAATTTTTTTCAAACTGTGACTAATAATAATCGTCAGACAAATACTTTCGTGAATACTAAGAAAATACAATTAGGTAAGTCAGTGAGATACGTGAGAATTGGTGCGAAACTTGGATAATTAGACAGACGTGTCTCTCGAGTTTTAATTGAAGACACGCGTGTTTTAATCATTCCGAAAAGTATGAATAAAATAAAAAGAATAAAAAAAAGAGAGTAAGTGAGCTACTAAGTAAATAAGGGAGTAAATAAAAATAAAAGATAAAAAGGAAAAGGATAAAATGATGCATGGAAAGACAGAGACTGAATGAGAGAGAGATGAAGAATAGAGGGAAGGAAGAGATCGAAACCAGACATACATCTGAAATGCATCAGAAGCAAGACGAGAAAAAAATAATGGAATTTTAGTTAAAAAGTTAAACTTAGGGATGGGTAAAAATACATTTGTACAGCATATCTTAATTACGAATTAATTAATAATTTTTTCCTTCAAACAACTGAATTAATTATTCAAATTATTTCTGATAGAAACTTGAATTATTTTAGTTACTTTACAAGACACCATTTTTACCC